ACTTTTGAGGAATGTGCTTGGTTACCTTTTATATGTGAATTTTCGGTTAATAACTAAGTGTCCTATGCCTACAGGCTATATGCTGTCTAGAGAAGGGGGAGTCTGTTTTTGTAGCAGCTCATACATCAGCGGGGAAGACAGTTGTTGCAGAATATGCATTCGCTCTAGCCACCAAGGTAGATAATTCTGAAGAACATCAACTGCATTAGTATATTAGATTCCTTGTTTTGTTGGCTGATCAATTTTCCCATGTTCAGCACTGTACACGAGCTGTTTATACTGCTCCAATTAAAACCATCAGCAACCAAAAATACAGAGATTTTTGTGGGAAATTTGATGTCGGACTTCTCACTGGAGATGTTAGCATAAGGCCAGAGGCATCTTGTCTGATCATGACTACGGAAATATTAAGGTCAATGCTTTATCGTGGTGCTGATATCATACGTGATATAGAATGGGTAAAAGATATTTCTTATGTTTTACTTTCTTCTGTGTTTGATATTGTGCTCAAATCGCTCTATTTCTAAGCAGCCTTTGTAGTTCTGTGTGAAACTCAAAACATGTTTCCTTGTTACCGTTCGTATGACTGGCAGGTTATATTTGATGAAGTTCACTATGTCAATGACGTAGAGAGAGGGGTTGTTTGGGAAGAAGTCATCATCATGCTGCCAAGGCATATAAATTTTGTCCTTCTTTCTGCAACGGTACTTCTTAATGCTTTTATGTGCATCATTAGAAAACCTTACTTCTTTTCAGGTGTTTTTGTGTTTGCTATGCATCTATATTTGGCTATGAAATTTCACATAAGATGAGTTGGAAAGGAAGGAATATGTGATTTTTTTCTTTTGTTCGGGTCTCTGTTGGCCGCGATTATAATGAACTAACCCTCCAGTTCTTAGAATTTATGGAGATAGATATGGCTTCGTGGTTCAGTCATTATTCTCCATTCTTTTTCCCAATGTGCCCCTGAACTTATAACATGAATATTTTTCTTATAGGTGCCAAACACATTTGAATTTGCTGATTGGATTGGCAGAACAAAACAAAAAGAGATTCGTGTTACTGGGTGAGATTTAATGTGTCCTGGTAGAATATTGTTCCTTTAATTCATTGGTTGATGGTGAAGTTTTAATTTCTTAATTTTATGGGTTCTGTTATCAGCACGACAAAAAGACCAGTTCCCCTAGAGCATTGCCTATTTTATTCTGGAGAACTCTACAAAGTTTGTGAGAATGAAGTTTTTATTCCTAAAGGAATAAAGGATGCTAAAGATTCACAAAAGAAGAAAAATTCAAATGCAGTTAGTGTCGCTCCTAAACAGCATACAGGATCTTCTGCTCATCAAGATGGGAACAAATCCCAGAAACATGAGGCTCATTCTCGTGGCAAGCAGAATAAACACTCAAGTGCAAAAGATTTAGCAAAATCCTCTTATAGTGGTAACAGTCAAAACAATGGGGCATTTAGACGATCAGCAGCTTCAAATTGGTTACTGCTTATCAACAAGCTCTCAAAAAAATCCCTGTTACCTGTATGTTAGATGTCGGTTCTGTTTCTTATATTTAGTCTTATGTGTTGTCATTTCTGGTCATTATGTCTAACCTCTAATGTTTCCTTCCCCATTAGGTGGTTGTCTTCTGTTTCTCAAAGAATTATTGTGATAGGTGTGCTGACGCTTTGACTGGGACTGACCTCACTACTGGTTCTGAGAAAAGTGAAATCCGTGTCTTCTGCGATAAAGCTTTTTCAAGATTGAAAGGGTCTGATAGGAATTTACCTCAGGTTGGCTATCTTAAAATTTCCTGGTTTCTATCATTATAAATTCAAAGAGGTGCCTGATTTCCTACTCATGAACTGTGGGGGGGACACATTTTAAAGGTCCTCAGAGTCCAAAGCTTACTTCATAGAGGAATAGGTGTTCATCATGCTGGGCTGCTTCCAATAGTAAAGGAAGTTGTTGAAATGCTTTTTTGCCGTGGTGTTATTAAGGTATGTTTAAGATTTCAGGCTCTAATATTCTTGTGCAATTATATGAGGCTACATGATAAATACAATGCTCAAGCTAATTGTTTTTCATGCTTCTGGTTACTACCTTATGGACATCATTGTCGTCTAAATTGCTTCAGGCAATCTTTTGTTTGTAATCTTTCCGCAGGTGCTGTTTTCAACAGAGACATTTGCGATGGGGGTTAATGCTCCAGCCAGAACGGTGAGGCTAATTTGATATTGTTTCTGATTTTAATCCAGTGTTACAATGTTTATTGCAGGTGTGGATCAAAGGTATGAAGAGTTGTTGACATCTCCAGTGTTTACAAATTCCTTTTAACAAATGTGGGGATACTGATAAGCATATTCTCTATGAAATTTACCTATAACTTACTATTCCACGATATGCGCTACAGGTCGTTTTTGATGCTTTGAGAAAGTTTGATGGCAAGGAATTTAGACAATTGCTTCCTGGAGAGTACACTCAAATGGCAGGGCGTGCTGGCAGAAGAGGACTTGACAAAACTGGCACAGTTGTTGTAATGTGTCGCGATGAAGTTCCAGATGAGAGTGATCTGAGGCGTATAATTGTTGGGAGCGCAACAAGACTAGAATCTCAGTTCCGACTAACCTACATAATGATCCTCCATCTTTTACGTGTTGAAGAATTGAAGGTATCTCAAATGTCTGGACCATTGATCTGCCATGTGTTTTGCTAACTAGCCTTTCTCTTGGAATTTTCTGACTCGCCAATTTTCAAATGTAAGGTGGAGGACATGCTGAAAAGAAGTTTTGCTGAATTCCATGCCCAGAAGAAACTGCCCGAAAAACAGCAGCTTCTCATGATAAAACGTTCTCAACCAATCAAAAATATAGAGTTAGGCCAAACATACTGAATTTCATACTCAGAGGGATTACACAGCTATTTGCACTCTCTACATTCTACTTCGATGTAAAATTAACCTATTGATTTATTCGTCCAGATGTATTAAAGGTGAACCGGCAATTGAAGATTACTATGACATGTATATGGAAGCAAACGCATATAACAGTAAGATGTCAGAAGGAGTTATGCAGTCTCCTTATGCCCAGAATTTTCTTGTACAAGGAAGAGTAGTGGTCATGAAATCTGAAACGGTAAGACTCAGTCTCCACCTCTCTTTCCTCTGGTTCATTAATCGGTTGCTCATGTGTGTAAATTGTACAGGGCATAGACAATTTTCTTGGAGTCGTTCTGAAGGGACCTTCCAACACTAATAGACAATATATTGTTTTGGTAATAAAATCTGAAATACCGCCACCAGAGAAAAATATGGTCAGCATTGGCAAGAAAAACTCAGATCCCTCTCAAGGTTATTTTATTGCGCCCAAGTCAAAACGTGGTTTTGAAGAAGAATTTTATACGAAGCCGAGCTCTCGTAAAGGTCCCGTTTCGGTCAAGATAGAGCTCCCGTACCATGGAGCCGCTGCTGGTGTAGGTTACGAGGTTAAAGGGTTTGATAACAAAGAATTCTTGTGCATATGCGATAGCAAGATAAAGATTGATCCGGTGCGTCTACTCGAGGACGGGAACAAGGCAGCTTTTTCTCAGACAGTTCAACAGCTTTTGGATCTGAAAGCAGATGGAAACAAGTTTCCTCCTGCTCTAGACCCGATAAAAGGTTTTTTAACTAAATTATAGGCCTGTTTCGTGTTTTTCGGCTGCAAATTCATTTCCCCTATAAAGTTCATTTCATGATTCCATTTCAGATTTGAAGCTGAAAGATGCCGAGCTTGTGGAGACGTACTATAAATGGACCCGCCTGTTGCAAAAGATGTCCATGAATAAATGCCACGGCTGTGTCAAATTGGAAGAGCACATGAAGTTAGCTAGGGACATTAAGAAGCATAAGACGGACCTCAAAGATCTAGAATTTCAAATGTCCGATGAAGCCTTATTACAGATGCCTGCGTTTCAGGGCCGGGTACATTCAAATGAGAAATTCCAAAAGCAACTTTGTTTACTCTTATGTATGATAATTTAGAGTAACATGTAGAGTTCAAACCTCTTCTTGCAGATCGATGTTCTGAAGGAAATTGGGTGTATAGATGATGACCTCGTTGTCCAAATCAAAGGCCGTGTCGCTTGCGAGATGAATTCTGGGGAAGAACTGATATGCACAGTGTGTCTGTTTGAGAATCAGTTCGAAGAATTAGAACCGGAAGAAGCAGTGGCTATAATGTCTGCCTTTGTCTTCCAACAGAAAAACACTTCAGCGCCTTTGCTTACTCCTAAGCTAGCCAAAGCTAAACAAAGGTTTGTTACGACCACTCTTTCTCATAACTATAAACAGCATTTGATCTGATCTGATCGATCTGATATAATCATTGACCCTCTTTTGCATAGACTCTATGATACAGCAATCAGACTTGGTGAACTTCAAGCTCAGTACAACTTACAAATAGACCCTGAAGAATATGCCCAGGAGAATCTCAAATTTGGTCTAGTTGAAGTCGTCTATGAGTGGGCAAAGGTTTGTAGCTAGAAAGCAAGGTATCTTATTATACATTGCACGATTCATACATCTCTTAAACATATTGTATGCTTGATTTTTGCAGGGGACTCCATTTGCAGAGATATGTGAACTGACGGATGTCCCTGAAGGTCTGATAGTTCGGACCATTGTGAGATTGGACGAGACATGCCGTGAGTTCAAGAACGCTGCTGCCATTATGGGGAACTCGGCATTACACAAGAAAATGGATTTAGCTTCGAATGCTATAAAACGTGACATAGTCTTTGCAGCTAGTCTGTATGTTACTGGAGTGTAAGATTTGATTAGGAAACTGACCAGAGATGCTTGTCACATAACCTGAAATTCAATTCCATTTAACACTTTCAACAATGTTGATTTGTTGTCTGACCATGTCTTAAACTCCTGCAGAATCTGTAATGCAGCTTTTCGAACCAATATAGTGGTTGGATCAAAGTTTTTTCTTACGATTATTGCAATTTCTTATAATGGTAAAACTCATTTCCCCAATAGGATTGTATTTTAAAAACCAGTCAGATCCACGTCCAATTGAGACTACAAAAATGGGTTTCAGATACAGACTCGTACATGAAAACAAAACTATGAAACCTGATATCTCGTGAAGATAGCCATCAGCTTAGGAACTAGCTCGTTATGCTTCATCACGTATCTGTTCAAGAACTCCTGATCAGTACATACCAAGACTGATGAAATCGGAGGGTTTTCACTTCCGATCAATCTTTTCGACATGAGAGCTTTGATTACATTACACCTTGGCATAATCCTTTTCTCCAGGCTATATCCAAGTACCGCAGGAATCAAAACCACAGCCTCTAGTGGCCAATTCATCTTCTTCACTAAAAAGTCAAACTTCTTCTTCACCAGCGCTGCTGAATATCCAGTGCAGTGGGGATATCGCTTAACCATCATCCTGAACTCATCTCTGCTGAATCCCAAGTCTAGAAACGTTTGAATAGAGTCCAATATCTTCTGCTCTGAAGCTCGTATGCATTGTGGACGAGTCTTCAACACCGAAAGGACCTCTTTCTCCAACAGACCACACTTCTTAAGTGTTTCAAACATCTGAGTAATCTTCTTCTCCGAGAATTTCAAAAAGAAAGGCCACTTCTTGAAAATTGCCCATACCTCTGCTTCACTAAAGCCTAACCCTTTATAGACATTTACTTTCTCTTCTATGGTTTTATCGCTCATTTCGTAGACGACACGCAAAGCTTCCACAAATTTTGATTTGGCCGGATCAAAACCCATATCAACAACTTTCTTGAGTGTTTCTTCAAATCTCTCTTTACCATAAACAGGTTGAGAATTACTGATGAGCAATGAAAATAACAACTTGTGAGGCACTCCCAATTCTCTTAAAAGAGATATATTTCGGATCTTGTTCTTGCTCTTACCCTCTGGCCAAGAATGACACAACTTTTCACACTTGGAACTCTTACCATCTTGCATAATGTCCTTGACAAAATCATAGTATAAGCTAATAGATTTCTCCCCTTTCTTCCCCAGGATTGCCGGAACAATCGAAACAATCTCTGTTACCTCAGATCTTGAAGCTCCTCTAGACTGCAGAATCTGGAGCTTAGGAAGAAGAGATTTCTCAGCATCTGTAACAAGCAATTGTGGGTAAGTCCTAATAATCATGGAGACCTGAGAATCTTTAAACCCATTACTTCTAAGAAGCTTCAGAACTGAATCCGCATTTACCTTGTCCTTAAAGCTGACCTTCCTTGAGATCGATTCAGCTAGTCTTGTAGTTAAACCCAATGTATCAACCAGATACGATACAGTAAAATTACTACTCCCTTGAGGACTCACATCCTTAGCTATTGGAGTGGAGAACGAGTTGGTAAAAGCGAATACATTTTGCACAATGCTCACTGTAGTAACTCTTAAGCTACGCCATTTCTGCAATTCCACAGACCTTCTTCCATGGAGTATCAGAGAAAACATGACAATAACAAAGCTCAAAGAACCAGTGAATCGATTAGTGAAAAATGATATTAGGGTTTATGAGGAAGAAGAATTAAAAAAAATCATTAACAATTTAGAAACGGTCCTCTATTATTGGGCCTATTGAGCCTATTGGGCCGAGAAATACATAAATTGGTTAAAACTTAAAAGCCCATTGAATTTACAAGTTCTCTTAGGGTGGAGGGAAAATTTGGCGCCACTCTCACTCACTCACTCCATTTATGGCGGAGCTACGACGGCTCTTCATCATCCCCACAACAACAACTCGACCTCAATTGAAATTAGGGTTTCTCTGCAACTCCTTGACCAAACGATTCACCTCACTTCGTTTCCCAATTTCAACAATGGCCTGTGTCGAGACGAAGATCAACAACAGTTCCGATGCCGTCACCGAACCGTCACCAAAACTCCAAAAGCTCGATCGAAACGGAATCCATGGCGAATCTTCATCACCTTTCTTCAAAGTGAAGAAAATCTCCGAGAAAGCTGTTTTACCAACAAGAGGCTCATCTCTCTCCGCTGGATACGATCTCTCAAGCGCGGTGGATTCTAAAGTTCCGGCGAGAGGCAAAGCGCTAATCCCGACGGATCTCTGCATCGCTGTACCAGAAGGAACATACGCAAGAATAGCTCCGAGATCTGGTTTGGCTTGGAAACATTCGATCGATGTTGGAGCTGGTGTGATTGATGCTGATTACAGAGGACCCGTTGGTGTGATTTTGTTTAATCATTCTGATGTTGAGTTCGATGTGAAGTTGGGTGATCGAATCGCGCAGTTGATTATCGAGAAGATTGTGACTCCTGATGTTGTGGAGGTTGAAGATTTGGATGATACTGTTCGTGGTGAAGGTGGCTTTGGCTCTACTGGTGTTTGAAGAAGCTTCGTTTTAAGTATGTGTCTTAGTTTTAATTTAGGGTTATTTCGTCGAACAGTTTGTGGGCATGGCTGTAATATCTCTCTCTTTGGTTTATCTATTTAAGACTATCTTATCAAAACAAAACTCTCACTGCAAGAAAATATAAGAGATGACTTCACAAAAACCAAGCCAACTCTGTAAGGAGCTCTGTCTAATGGAGTGCTCAATGAATCAAGTAGGGGTGGGCGTTCGGGTAACCATTCGGGTTCGGGTCGGGTTTTTCGGGTTTTTCGGGTCTTCGGGTATGGAGAAATAACACCTAATTGGGTATATTTAAAGATCGGGTCGGGTTCGGGTAAACACCCATCGGGTTTGGGTGTTTTCGGGTTATACCCAAAACCTCGAAATATTTTTCGAGTTAGGATAGGATTTGTAATTTTTAAACCCGAACTAAAGCTAAAAAAAGCGAAATCAATCCAAACTGACAATAAAAAATTGAAATCAATCTAAAGTCATTAAAATTGATTGTAACAAAAGTACCAAGCTAAAATAAACTGATTGTAATCATCAATATAAAATAAGCCAACATTACCAAACTAAATTGAATTCATAAAAAAAACATTCCAAACACAAAAACAACAAGTTCATAAAACCGAAAAGCTCTTGAGTTCCTGAAACATCAAATGACATCATAGAGAGAATCAAGAGATTTAGAGGTTAGAAGAAAGGCAAGAATCGATATTATACAAAGATCCTAACATATATTATATAACATTGGATGATTTCGGGTATTTATTTGGGTGTTCGGATATACCCGATCGGGTTCGGGTACCCAATTTATTTATTATAAACATCCAACCGGATATTTGGTATGAAATATACCCAACCCAAACTGGTTACATCGGGTCGGGTTCGGGTTTCGGGTACGGGTATTTTGCCCACCCCTATCAATCAAGAGTAAAACGGAGACAGTTGATTAAACACAAAAACATAACCACTGGCTCTTTTTTTTCCTATAGACAAAAAAAAATGAGGATGACAAAGAGTCTTTCAGGCGAATTTAGGCTTAGGCAAGGCTGAGCCTAAGGTGTGGCTGCTTCTGCCGCCACCGCTGTGGTGGTGGATTGAAGATCCCAATTTGTGAATCCAGAATTTGTGACCTTTCTTTAGTTCTGGACAGATTTGGCTCGGCAAAAGGTTGAGTCTTCCTTCGCTTGTCAGAGATTTCTTAAACTGTTCCAACACTTTGACAATCTGCCAGAATTCTGGTCTCTTGTCTGTTTGCAACGACCAACATAGCTCGATCAGCTCTTTCATGGCAGCTGGACAATCTGTAGGTATAACTGGCCTAGCGTTCTGACCAATATCAACACAAAAATATCAGATCAAATCAAGAGAAAGACTAGAAGCTATTCGATCTATGGACAATCACAATCACGAAATAAGCAGGAGATGTAAAATGAATTACCTTATGCATGACTGCGAAAGCAGCTTGGACAGGAGTCATCTCCTCATATGGAACTGCTCCAGCTACCATCTCCCATAAAATAAGTCCAAAGCTATAAACATCGCACTTCCTTCCATGTGGTATCCGTCTTATCACTTCAGGTGCCATCCACCTATAAGTTCCTGTGTTATCGCCCAAAACATCACAGTACTCTTCCTCGCACGCTATGCCAAAGTCAGCAATCTTCAAGTGGAAGTCTTTTTCGATCAACACGTTCTCTGGTTTAAGATCCCGATGAACTATCTCTCTTGAGTGAATGTATTCCATTCCTCTTGCAATATCTAGACCAAACTCGATTAGCTGTTGCAAAGGAAGGGATTTTTGCTCGAGCTTATGCAAATATGATCTTAAAGACCCTCGAGGCACATACTCTGTGATGATACAGTTTCCAGTATTGACTCCCACAAACTGTTTCAGGACATCATCAATCAGAAGAAAAGTCAAACAAACCATACTCATAATTATCAAAGAGTTGGAAGATGTGTCTTCCAGTTTTCAAATGAAAATAACCACGCCAAAGGCATAACTCATATTTCATACAACCAAACCGACATAACATAACATAATAAATCACCTTAACAATGTTCGGATGGCTTAGTCGAGATAAAAGTGTGGCTTCCATGGTAAACTGTTTTTCTAAGCGAGCTCCCAAGAATCTGGCGTCGCTATTGTCAGGCGCAGTGATAATCTTCAGAGCAACAGCTTTGCCTTCGTATTCTCCATGGTAAAGCTGGCTATATACCCCATGCGTAAACTTGTCCCCGTAAGACACCTTAGACGCATCAATGAGGTATTCTTCAAGCACTCCCGCAGAACTTACTTTAGAACCTCTATAATCAACAGACTTTGAAGACCTCTTTTCTATCTTGCTCTTTGCCTTGTCTTGAATTTTCAGAGTACTAAGATCCCTAATAGGACCAGAGTGTGATAAAGGCCGCAGATTAAACGATTTGTTCTCAAAAGAATCCTTGCCCGAAAACTTGGCCTTAATTCCCTTCTCTGATTCTATTCTTCTAGGATGTGGAGTAGAAAACCTCTTAATATCAGACTTTGCTTCCCGAAAAGAATCGGGAAGAGCCATATGAGGCGACGGAGAAACAGACCTCTTCTTATTAGTGACTGGATTTCTCTGTATCTCAGTACCAACAACACTACTACAACGCGAACTCAGCTTCTGCGTTGTCGTGGCATGTGAAATTCCTACAAGTGATTTCAAATCAGCTGGTGAACTCAGAGGCATTCTTTTCAATCCAGAAGTCCTATCTGGATTTGACTCTAAGCTTGGGATAACCATACGATAACAAACAGTGTGAGAGAAATTAGCTCTCCTAATCCAAGAAGTAACCTCTCCATCCATGTTTGAATTATCAGCCCCCTCAACCAAATTCACAAGAAAGCTCTCAAAGCACTTAAAACTTGTAAAAAATAAGAAACTCTAATCAAGCATGAGTAGCAATCTCCAACAACAGCAAAAACAACCTCGTCTTCACATCCATTGAAGAAACACACCATATATATCCTCAACCATTAAATCCACAACTCCTAGGAATCAAAACTTAAAATCAAAAATAATTCTCCCAATCCTAGAGTGATGAACACATCATCACCCCAAAAATTCGCCGGAAGCAAAATTCGGAATTGATTGATTGCACCAACAACTATATCGCTTCTTCCTGATAGAAATCAAACCGAATCAAAGAAACAACAACTATATTTAGAAACGATTGATGAATCAGAAAAAATAAAACAAAACATGAAAAAAAAAATGGAGAACGTACCTGAAACACGAAATTTTTCAAAAAAAAAAACAGAAACAAAACGATGATTCGTGAAGCTCGGAGAGAAACAGGAATCAGAATCCGGCTAAATAGATTTTGTGAAAGGAGAAAAAATCAACGGAGAAATCGAAAGCTTTCAATGATAACAAGAAAGACGAGGAAGTTTCGAATTTGTGACTTTTTTTTTTTTTTTTTTGCTTCAAAGAGAGGAAATTTGTATTGAAAAGTTTCCAGAAATATTATAAAACCGAAAGACAAATTCTTCAGAATTTTGTTTTGGTCAAAGAAGGAAAACACGGACGATGTATAAAACGGTCTCGTTTTATTGGATATCTGTCAACGTCAGTGACTCAGTGACATGCTTTTTGTTAAATTCTGTTATGTATTTAATTTATTTGTGTTATATAGTTGGAAGTCAAATAAGTAAACAAAAAGCGTCTGTAGTCCAACGGTTAGGATAATTGCCTTCCAAGCAATAGACCCGGGTTCGACTCCCGGCAGACGCATTTTTTATTATTTATTTATTTGTTAAGCCCGAAAAGATTTGAATTTTAGTTATTTCGGCCCATATTGGGATACAAGACCCAAATAACTCAGTTGTATTCGGGTCGTATATTTTTACATGTTTGGATAAGGCAACGAGAATGATCCAAGTTTTGACAATTTCTTTCATACGATTTCATCTTTCTTTTTTCCTTTTGTTTTTTTTTTTGTGATTGTGAATTTGTGAGTGCGTGTATAAACAGTTTTTTCAAACTTTTGTTTGGATTTAGGAATTTGGAAAAGATAAATAATTAAAAAAATATATATTAAAAAAACATTTCGAGTGTTGGAGTTGGAGCATCACACTTTCTCTGACACAGTTTTGGAAAACAAACGCAACCCATTTATTTTGCTTTTGCATGAGGCGAGAGCCAGACCACGTGCCGCTTCTCATCTCTCTTCACTCTCTCACGTGTTACCCTTTTAAATTTTTTTCCCGAGAAACTAAAAACTCCATAACTGAGAATATTCAAGTTGGAGTTTGATACTCCAGAGTCCAGAGAACAAGCGTCGTCGTTTTATCAATTCCAACGACTTCCTTTGCCTCCTCTTTCATCTTCTTCTCTCTCTCGCTCTTCCCGAATAGGATTCTTTGTTTCTTACTTGAACGCGTCGACGACCAGGAGATTGACCAGGTGAGAGCGAAATCAACTCTATCTGTGTCGCTGCTTCTAATTCGGGTTTATAAACAATGGCACATGAACCCAGTAGCTCAAGTCCGGCCAAACTCTATGATTCTGTGTTAGATTATGGTTTTGATTTGGGTAATAAGCGTGTCTCTGATGAAATTACTACTGGGTTTGGGTTCAGTCAAGGTAACAACGGTAGTGAACAGTGGAGTATAGATACGAACAATCCAAGTATTGGAATTAAAAGTAGTGATATGGATAGTGAAGAGGATGGGGAAAAGTTGAAGTTTTTGTGTAGCTACAATGGAAAAATAATGCCTAGACCAAGCGATGGGGTGTTACGATACGTTGGTGGTCAGACAAGGATCATTACTATTAAAAAAAGTGTGAGATTTGATGAGTTTGAGCAAAAGATGATAGAGGTTTATGGTCAGCCTGTTGTTATCAAGTACCAGCTTCCTGATGAGGATCTTGATGCTTTGGTCTCTGTTTCGTGTAGTGAGGATATTGATAATATGATGGAAGAGTTTGAAAAGTTGGTTGAGAGATCTTCAGATGGGTCTGGGAAGTTGAGAGTGTTTTTGTTTGACGCTGCTTCGTCTGAGGTTGATGATTCTTTTGGAGTTGCACAGTATGGAGATGGAGTTGACATTGGGCAGAGGTTTGTAGAGGCTGTGAATGGTGTTGTTGTTGGTGGAGTTGCGAGTAAGGAAAGTGTAGCTAGTGGTGGTTCTAATCCGAATTCTGATTTTGGTGGAGTGGATGTTGTTGACAGCTTGGGCCTTGGTCAGAGTGATTTTGTTGCAAACCAGACCTCGTGTGCCTTTTCACCTCACACTTATCAGAATACTGTGCAAAGACTTGTTCCTCTTGATCAGCGTTCGTCTGCTTATGTTGTACCAATGACTGTTCCAGCTGATCCGTTTCATTCTTCTCAGGTCGAGACTGCTTCAGAGAAAGCAATAGCTGGTAAGATCCATCAGCTACCCATAACTACGCCATGTGAACATCATTCACCGTCGTTTGTTGAATCTCGCCTAGAAGTCTTAAGACAACCAGAATCTGTTCATTCACCTAACCAGCTTTTGCCAAGTACTACTTCTTTGTTCTCCCAACAACCTTTTCAAGGAAGTACTTTGAATGCTTCATCCCACCAATTCCTTCCTCCTGCTCACATGTCAATGGCTCCTTTGAATGCTCAGATTGATGCCACACCAGTTTTGATCAACCCGGCAATGCGACCCCAAGAAAGCCTGTTGGGGAACTTTCCTTCTGAAAGAAATGTCAGGATTCAAAATTTAGTCCCGCTTCCTACAGACCCGAGATACTCTGCATATCAAGGTTCGATTGCTCATGGTATACCAACTAGCGGTTATGGTGGGAATCAGGTTCCACCATCTGACCATGTTGCTAATCCCGACGGAGTTTTGCATCAACAAGTAATTATGCCTGAAAGTTTCCGAAGGGTGGATGACTGTCAAATGTGTCAGACATCTTTGCCTCATATGCATTCTGATCCCATTATACAGGAGAGGAATGATGGCTCTACAATGTTTGTACCATATGTGAGCTCATCTTACCATGCTTCTCGTCCAGATGATATCGTCAAAATCCAACAGGCGGATAAGTTTATGGGTCAACAAAGTTTCCTCAATAATTCTAATGGTCAAGAAAGAGATGCTCTACATATTTCTAATGTTTTGACAGGTCAGGCCGAGAAAACTGAACCTCTACTCAACGAGATTGTTAGAGATGTTCCGATAAAAGTTCAAGTATCTAGACAACAGCAAAATCCTGTAGAACCTTCAGTAGCATATGGCCAACACCAACTAAGTGGATTGATGGATAATGTTCACATACATGCTCCTGAAACATATACCAATTGTCAGAATTTCGTCTCACCACTTGGACAAATTGGAAATGAAGATATTATGGGTATCAGTTTCCAACAAACGGCAAGGACGAATATGTTCTCAAATGACACCTCTGGTCAATCTCCAGTAAGTCCAAACATAGATCACACTGACTCAAGTGAGACGCTAACAAGGGTTGTTCTTCCAGGCCATGAATATCAGCCTAAGACATCATGTGCGCCAATACAGTCACCCTTGTTACGTAATCCTGGTTTGCTCGTACAGCCATTGGTTGGAGGTCAGCAGTTCGATTCTTTGGAAGCAGAGTCCTGCAACCCCGCTAATGGCACTGTTGAACATGCCTTTGATGCTGCTATTTTACCATCATCATTATCATCAAATCCTGATGCTGCCAATTTACCATCATCCTTATCATCTAGTGTTGGTGGTGCAGACCACAAAGAATCATCAACGTCATTTTTTAGCAACCAGGACCCATGGAATTTGCAAACTGACCCAAAGAATAATACCATTACCAAGCCTAACCTACTTAGTTCTTCCAAAGGTGGTCTTTTGTGTTATACATGACTCCATTTCTACTTTTTTAAAATAGTTATCCTTGAGGATTATCTGTTGATTGGTCTTTGCTTCTCTCTACAAGGCTTAGCGGAAGAGCATATCAAACAAGAACTTCAGAATGTTGCTGAAGGAGTCGCTGCTGCTGTTTTACAGTCAAGTACACATTCATATAATGAACCTCCCATCAACATGGATGAGTATGCTTCTGATAAAGGAGAATTTTCACGTAATGATGAAGTGAAGCAGCAGTCCACACACTTCAAGGTCCGTTGTATGCAGTTCACTGTTGTGGTCATTCCTTTCCGTATATTTCATATTGCTTCAGAATTGATGAATTTTTTATTATTATTTTTCAGGATATCAGGAACCAACTTGTCGAAAGGTTGAATTTAGGATGTTCTGGTTCTGATTCTCTGGATCAGTTGCAGGTTTGACACCTTGTTCTTAATTCACTTATTTTCACTAACAAACGAGTAAATCATATATTCTATTTAGATAGATTATATTAAAAAGGACAGCGACCTTGAGGAATTGTGACACGCATATGCTATATTTTGATAGATTATAAAGGACAGCGACCTTGAGGAACTGCGAGAACTAGGATCTGGCACATTTGGGACAGTTTATCATGGGAAATGGCGAGGCACTGATGTTGCAATCAAACGGATCAATGATCGATGTTTTGCTGGCAAACCATCTGAGCAAGAACGAATGGTTTGTCTCAGTACAGCTGATGATGCATTAAAACACATGTTTACATATGTTGAATAGGTTATAATTATGTCTATTTTATCTACAAATTATCAGATCGATGACTTTTGGAACGAGGCACAGAACCTAGCTGGCTTGCATCATCCTAACGTCGTTGCTTTTTATGGGGTTGTGCTGGATTCACCTGGAGGTTCTGTGGCAACGGTTACAGAGTATATGGTTAATGGTTCTTTACGAAATGCATTGCAGAAGAATGTCAGGTATCGTATGTATACATTCCTCAGACCTATGTTAACACATAGATTCATTATAGAAGAATGACATTAATTGTTATGGTTCATTTTCAGGAATCTTGATAGGTGCAAACGCCTGCTGATCGCGATGGACATTGCGTTTGGGATGGAGTATTTGCATGGAAAGAATATAGTACACTTTGATCTTAAAAGTGACAACCTACTCGTCAATCTCAGAGATCCTCATCGCCCAATTTGCAAGGTCAATTGACTCAAGTTATATTTTCTGTCTCTTCGAATAATTTTATCTATCTGCATCGAACTCTAACACGAGATTACTGATCAGAAGGGACAATGGTGAGGAATCAAGTAATGGTATTTAGGATTATAACTTATAAGTAATATCTGGATTTTTTTGTAAAGCATTATGGACATAGATAAGGTTTAGCATTAGTTCTAAATAGAGTTCACACTCTGGTGTCAGAGAAGAAACATATAAAAATTATTCCACTTGGTTTTACTTGCTATCTTCCCCTTTAAGTTGTTGATAGAAATTTGTGATCATTTCAGGTTGGAGATTTGGGTCTCTCGAAAGTGAAATGTCAGACATTAATATCAGGTGGTGTCCGGGGAACACTCCCATGGATGGCACCAGAACTTCTAAATGGAATCAGTAGCCTTGTTTCTGAAAAGGTTTGTGAACTAATCAACTCTTATCAGCTTGGTTATTTGTCTCTACTCTCTATAATGTATGTTTCTCTCTAGCGGATGCCTTAATCTGGACTCTACAGGTCGATGTGTTTTCATTTGGAATTGTGCTTTGGGAACTTTTCACGGGTGAGGAACCTTACGCAGACTTGCACTACGGGGCAATCATAGGTGAAACCTTTTCCTACATAAGTCTTGTGTGCAGATTTGCTTTGTTTCAAATTTGAGATTTCTTTTTTCCTTATCCAACATTCGAATCAGGTGGTATAGTTAGTAATACGCTAAGACCACCAATTCCTGACTTCTGTGACATGGACTGGAAATTGCTGATGGAGAGATGTTGGTCTGCGGAACCATCAGAGAGGCCAAGCTTCACTGTTATCGCGAACGAACTACGGTCCATGGCGACAAAGCTTCCTTCCAAAGAACAAGTCTCAACTGAAGGACCACAACCTTAAAGAACCATTGTTAAATCGATAACCACACAAGATTTTACACGCAAATAGATAATGCTTCATCTGTATAAATCCAAATATTGCATACTTTTGCAAAGAAAAAGCATGTCCGTGTTGCATACCTTTTTTTGCTGCGTCTATAACATGTCGCCTTGGAAACTCCTATAGAATGCAATCTAATAGCGTGAAGCATCCATGGAAACTTGGTATATATGTATAGCACAGGTCAATGTCTTTTCAGTGCAAGTTAACTGTAAGAGTTTGATGTGCTCTTCTTCGTTTCTCCATTTTCTCTATTATTATTACACTATTTCGTGTGTGTTGACTCTGATTTAGTTGTTAAATGGATCTTAGCTTACAAAAGAAACATCGGTTATACAAATGTACGCAACATAATATTTTATTTCTGCAGCAACCTCAGGTCCACAACTAACGGGTATGTACTAAGTAAGTCTTTCATAACATAGTAGAGTTGTTCAGAAGTGTTTTCTCAACAGCTTCAATCAACGAATCCTTGAACTCTCTAAAAAGGTAGAGGTGTTTGTAGTATACCTTCTCTTGATGCAACCTTCAAGTAAGTACTCGGGAAAGTCCTCATATAGAGTTGCATTGCTTCAGCAGAGTAAAACTCAGTAGCGCAGGCCACAAAAGGCTCCTCGAAGAAGCATGAAACATATACACATCAAAAAATCCCCATGATCAGCTATGGTAGACGTTTATGCCACCAAAAAAAATTCCCATTATCTGAGATTGTGTAATCTCACAAAACATGGCTCGAAAAACAATTCTCTTCATATATAATTTTTAAAAAAAAAACACACACACAATTAGTAGAAACGTACACTTTTATCATACTCATAAACAATTAATGTTTCGTGTTACATGGGATTCGTCACGTGATCCTGCCCCCTCTACTCGGTGTCATTTTATCTCTTACACCACATGAACGCTGTCGTTTCCAATTTCTATAGTCACTATATAAAATAATATCCTCAAATTACAATATAGAGAAATATGGGCATTTTCATCGAAAATATTTTAATGTTATGATACATTTTTAATTTTGAGGTAATAATAATCCATTTTTTTAAGTAAGAAACGCTCCTGACGAACAAAAAAAAAAGAAACGTCCCATTTTTTAAATTTCGAATGAAAAAAAATCAACACAATATCAAACTAAAAATAAATAAATAAAAAAGAATAAATCCGTTAACTCATTCTATATAAAATCAGTCCTCTTCTTACTTTAGTCACTCACTCTTCTTCACATTTTCCAAAAAAACCCTAAATCCCGCTCCTTCTTCCTCGAGATTTCAATCTCTGTTCCTCCGCTTCCTACTTGTGAAAATGCGTGAGATCCTTCACATCCAAGGTGGTCAATGTGGTAACCAGATCGGTGCCAAGTTCTGGGAAGTGGTTTGCGCCGAACACGGCATAGATCCAACCGGTAGGTACACCGGAGACTCAGATCTGCAACTCGAGCGTATCAATGTCTACTACAACGAAGCTAGCTGTGGTCGATTCGTTCCTCGTGCTGTGCTTATGGATCTGGAGCCTGGAACCATGGATAGTCTCAGATCTGGTCCCTATGGTCAGACCTTCCGTCCTGATAACTTCGTTTTCGGTCAGTCTGGTGCTGGTAACAACTGGGCTAAGGGTCATTACACCGAAGGAGCTGAGCTCATTGATTCCGTACTCGATGTTGTTCGCAAAGAAGCTGAGAACTGCGATTGTCTCCAAGGTACTAATAATTCCGCTAGATCTGGTGCTGATTTTGCTTTCGTTCAAGTGTTTTTGGTGATACTGTGGTTTTGAACTGTTGGATTTTGGGTTTGCAGGGTTTCAGGTTTGTCATTCACTAGGAGGAGGAACTGGATCTGGTATGGGAACGCTTCTGATTTCCAAGATCCGTGAAGAGTACCCAGATCGAATGATGCTTACATTCTCCGTGTTCCCTTCGCCTAAGGTTTCTGACACTGTTGTTGAGCCTTACAACGCTACTTTGTCTGTTCACCAGCTTGTTGAGAATGCTGATGAGTGCATGGTTCTTGACAATGAGGCCTTGTACGACATTTGCTTCAGGACTCTGAAACTCACTACCCCTAGCTGTAAGTCCTTCTATCATTCATGGTCGCATTGGTGCTGTTCTTCTAAGTTCTAGTTAAGTTGATTCAGCTAGATGCCTTCTTTTGTATGGTTGATATGGATTGTCTAGATGGTGAATATGATTTTAGCATCAGAAATTGTTATGTTACCCTTTTCAGTGGTTTGTTCTTTGCCTATGTAATATGCCTCATGTGTTTTGTGTTATTGATTCTGCTAATTGATCCCTGGTTATCTGCATCTGTGACATCACCACTTACAAATCCTTATCGCTATTCTCTAATCTTCTTGGCATTATACTTTCTTTGTCATTTACGTCTTCCTTCTCTGTCTGCAGTTGGTGACCTGAACCATTTGATATCTGCTACAATGTCTGGTGTTACATGCTGTCTTAGATTCCCTGGTCAGCTCAACTCTGACCTCCGTAAGCTTGCTGTGAATCTTATCCCATTCCCTCGTCTTCACTTCTTCATGGTGGGTTTTGCTCCTCTCACCTCAAGAGGGTCTCAGCAATACCGTTCCCTCACAGTCCCTGAGCTCACCCAGCAAATGTGGGACTCCAAGAACATGATGTGCGCTGCTGACCCAAGACACGGACGCTACCTCACAGCCTCAGCCATGTTCCGTGGCAAGATGAGCACAAAAGAAGTTGACGAGCAGATGCTGAACGTGCAGAACAAGAACTCTTCCTACTTTGTTGAGTGGATCCCAAACAATGTCAAATCAACAGTCTGTGACATCCCACCTACTGGTCTAAAGATGGCCTCCACTTTCATTGGCAACTCAACATCGATACAAGAGATGTTTAGGCGTGTGAGTGAGCAGTTCACAGCTATGTTCAGGAGGAAGGCTTTCTTGCATTGGTACACAGGTGAAGGAATGGACGAGATGGAGTTCACAGAAGCAGAGAGCAACATGAACGACCTTGTTTCAGAGTACCAGCAATACCAAGACGCAACTGCAGATGAAGAAGGCGAGTACGAGGAGGATGAGGAAGAAGAAGGAGAATACCAACAGGAGGAGTACTAATTGTACGTACCCCCTTTAACCAGAAACCAAATTAGTCATATGCTCATCTGTTTTTTATTTTATTTTCTTTTTCTTTTGAAAATGAAAACCTCAACTACCAGTTGCAGGTTTTTAGTGCTTGTATTGTTGACAACTCTTTGATCCTTTTAGACTTTATGGTGTGTTGTTTGTGTACTTTGTTCTTAAACTTGGTTCGGTCTTCTTTCTTCCCACTTTCGTTTGAATCTTCTATCAATTAATGACTCTAGGCTCTAGGCCTCTAGCCATGATTGTTTTTTGATTTACCTTTCTTATTTTGAAGATTTGAAATCCAGATTTATGATTAAAATACCCGAAAATCATGAAAAAAATGATTACCGACTTTAGTTAGGTTCAAGTTAAGGTTTGCTAGACCAGTTTTAACATTTTGTTCGGATCAAGGGGATGTATATGAACGGGACCATTTACTACGGGGGCTGTAGGAGGGACATAGATTCCAGGGTTAATTCTATAATTGTGTGTTTTGATGTTAGATTTGAAACGTTCAACATCATCAAAGTACCAGAGGCTTTTGAGAAGCTTTGGACTTGTTGGTCTACCAGGGATAAAATTCTGATAAACTACAGAGACCTCGTAAGGGTAGTTTTCGAATGTGGGTTGTGCAAGATGCTGAGAATGAGGAATGGTCCATAGACACTTTTCATTTGCCTCAGTCTGCTGATGGTCTTGACTTCAACGTCATGGATACCTTTTATACTGGCGAGATTTGTCTAGTTCCATGAGAATTGTCCGATCCTTTTCGTCTTTTCTTCTACAATTTGAGGACGAGTAGCATGAGAAGTGTCACAATTGAAGGACTGCCTATTTCCGAGTTCAAGACAAAGCCAGTACTCCGTAATATTTATGTGACTGTTTCGGATCATTACGAGAGCTTCGTGTCTTTGAAACCCTCAAGTTAGTTTCCATGACGGTCAGCTAAACCGGATTAAATGATCCGAACAGAAATGGAAACCAACCCTACCGGTAATAGATCCGGTTAGAATATGAGGATCACATGTTTAATTAAACTGACTTGACTGCGGTTTCTTAGAATAGAGATATGGCAGATTTTGGAGAATTGATAAGTTTGTTTAAACCATTTCTAGATTTCTAAAAGAAATCAATATAGTCACTCGAATCATTTACTTTCCTAAGAATAAAAGGCGTGAACCTTGCCGTTCTCGTGGTACGTACTATAACTACTAGATACTTGTTTATTGTTTGACCGTCACTAAATTATTGCTATGCTCAAGATATACAACATCTATTTTATTAATTGCTTTGTCAACGAAGATGCCTAGTTTTTGTAATCTTCTTAATTATATTTCGCAATTTCTTAATTTTGATAAGGCATAGCTAAAGTCTAGAGACGACTTCGATAACAGTTCTATAAAAGAGAAAACACACATACATTATGCATGCCTGGTTATTACAAATTTACAAAAAAAAAAACTGTTTATAAGATATTCATATTTATAAGATAACACATTAATATACGTTATACTTATTTTGTTTATGATCATTGAAAATTCACCTTTAATGGACAGAATTTGTTATCAAATAAATTTGTGGTTCAAAATTTGTTATCTATAACAACTACAATAACACAAGAAAAAAAAAAGTGGTATATTCCTTAAAATTGGCTTTGGAATTTTACGTGGTTCATAATAATTTTAAAAACTTAACACATTCATGAAATTGTGGATTCAATTTTGTGAATCTTTTTGTAACCTAAGAACATAAATTCGACTTAAACCAAAATGAATTACGTACTACAATTTAAAGCCAACCATGAACATACAAAGGAAACATTTTTTTTTTTTTTTTAAGTTCTTTATAAGAAAAGAAAAGAACACAAATTTGTTCATCAAACGCATCCCGACGACGGGAGAAGCCCGACTGTTTTCCGTTCATCGGAACTTGTCTTCTTAAAAGCAGTGCTTCCGAAGAAAAAGAAACCCACGGCGTATCCAGCTATAGCGGCGATGAAAACGCCTGCGTTAAAAGACATAACAGCGAGCATTACCAAATACGAGAGACCAGTCTTGAGCGTATACACGACGGTCTGAGCCACCCCAGCGGCGCGGCTGGTGGAGCCATCAGCACGGAGGAAGCGAGAATGAGCGAGCCACTCGACAATCACGGCGAGAAAGAAGACAACGACGAGACATAACACGTACATGCTGGAGCTAGTCCCGGGCCAGCCGGAGAAGAGAACCTCCGTGTTCTTGCCCCAGAAGAAGGTCATGTGCATCATCATCATATGTGGTTTTGTATGATTCGACATAGATGATGATGATGGTGATGGTGGTGGCATGTTATGCATGTTATCGTGATCCATGATACGTATAAAAGGTTTATGATAGCTAGATTTTGTTCTTAGGTACAGAAGTTTTAAGAGAGAATCGTTTTGTATTTATAATTGTAATTTTCTTTGAATGTATATGTGTTGTAGTTGTAGTACTGTACGTAGTACAAGTACATCATTGTTTGACTTGTTAAATTTTTTTGTTTGTGTAGTACAAACATTTGTTATATTTTAGATACTCCCCTAAATAGATTTCCAAAAGAGAGAAAAACTGATAAATCCTAAATATATGTTTACCTTATTTTCATGATACAGCTGCAATTCATGCCTCTTCGTCTAATGATCGAGAACCTCTTTTTTAAAACCAAAACTATTCCAAAACTAAACTAAATATACCGAACTAAACCAAATTATATATATTACATAAACCGAATTTAACTAGAGAAACCCAAAAAATCGATTCAATTCGGTAGAATTTCATTACCGAAATTTACCTAAACTCGAACCAAACCGATTTGATTTTTTTTGCTTAGTTAATTTCAGACCAAGTGTTAGTAACCGAATCAAACCAGCAGAAAACCGAATTTGATTCGGTTACAAGAACTCGCAGGCCTAGTCAATGGCCCAATATATATTTCTTAAATCTTTGGGCTAAAGACTAAACCACAAGGGAATAAAAACCACAACGAAGTAGCCGAAGAAACGGAAGAAGAAGCCATTTGACTCATACGACGACGTATCGATACAAAGCCTAAAAAGTACTAAAAAGGTTTGGTACCTTGTGGTTCACGTTTCTCATCATTACCTGCCCGTCGTTTTCCTCACCGGATACGACACGACATACTTAGCTTCGACGCTACACACATTTCCCACACAGTCTCTCTCAAAGTAACACAAATATTAAGCTTATAACCTTTCTTTAGTTATTAATAAATTTTAATTTCTCTCAAAATTCTCTAGCTTTAAAGTTGATGGCAATTTCCAACGGCGCCGTGGAGTTTCTCCGGCGACGGCTCCTCCCAACGACACTTATCCACGTCACGGCTCTGGACGGCATCGTTAACGTTAATTCCCTCTTCTCACTTGCTCTTTTTCTCGGCCTCACCACAAGCGGAAACATCACTTTCCCTGTTTCATCCTCTGAAGCCAAGAACCAACATCTCCGTCGATGTATCGCCGCAAAAGGCAACGCATTAGCGGAGAGGTTAGTCTCAAGCCATGTTTACTCCTTCAGCTTCTTCCTCTTCTCCAGCCTCATCGCTATGTCTCTCAAGCAAGCAATCAGAACAACAACAACAACAACAACGAGTGAGAACGTTGTGGTGGAGGAGGAGCCGCGTGTGTTGAACGCAGGAGTCGGACGCGTTAACTTGGCAGCCTTGAGGGTTGGGATCGTTGCTTCGTGTGTTGCGTCGGTTTTGGGATGTGGGTTCTTGACAATGGCGTTAGTGGATCTTGTTCAGCTCAAACTTGGACCTTTGGAATGTAAGAGAAGCTTTCATGCTCTTGCTGCTATTGTTCCTCTTGTTGTACTTGTTCCTTCTGCACTTGTTATCTATGTGTTTCTTGTGCTTTACGTGTTTATTTTTTAACTCTCTTTTGGGTTTGTACAGTTTCGTGTTTGTTAGGTTTGAGTTTCAGATTCGATCAGTTCTGTAGTCAGAGAGAATCCTCTGTTATTTATACTCGAGTTTCAGGATTCTAAATGTTTTTATGAAGTACAAAGTTCTAATCTTTTGTTTAACATTAGTGAGAGAGACAAGCATGACATCATTAGTATTGTTCCTTATCAACTTGATGCTCTTCTTCTAGAGAGACGCCTCAGTTGGGAACACTCTAATAATATAGTGAACCTAAGAAAATGGCGAGATGGGGGAACTGTTAGAAGGGAAACAAACAAAGACATAGAAGTTGTAACTAAATCATTTGGTTGAGGAATATACCTTGCCACCAGTTTCCTCTTGAGGCGTCCGAGGAGTTGGTATCAGTGTTGTCTCTGTCCTGATCCTTGTTAATCTGAATGATTCAAACATTTTGTAAAGTCAAAAGGTTTTGTCTATTTTCTTTGAAATAGTCAAACATCAAAGTGACATGAATCATGTAGGAACGGATGGATCATGGATGATGACTCACTGTAGGATAAGTATGGTTCTGTGTGGATTGAGAGTAAACATCTTGACCACCGTAGTAAAGAGAAGAACTCAGATTGCAGGTTGAAGTGTTTTTACTTTTTTCTGTGAAGAAACCAACAAAACCAACGAGAGAGTATATTCATTAGACAACTCGGATTGGGATTGTTGTCTTGACTAGACAACGGTGAATCTCAAATCAAAAATGAAAAGCCACTCTTGGCATGAGGTAGCTAAGTTTTCAAGATTGTTTATGATGGATGAAGAAAACAGAGTAATTTGGAAATTCTTCTGAATTTTTGATTAGTTTCATGAATTGAGAATCACTTTAGACCAATCTTGATTGAGTTCTTCATGTTCTTGACTTACTTAGTACCAAACCAAATGAAGCAACTTGAGCCATTTTTTGAAATAAAGAATGAGTAATTTTGGAGATGAATCAGAACGTTTTCTAACAAAACTTGGCTTAGTATAAAGCAAAAGTAACCATATTGATTCAAGAAGGGAAACAAGTTTTTTTAAGGCCTGATGAAACAAATCCGAAGACAAAATACAGTTGGAGAAAGGCTTATCCACTGACCTAAGGACCCATGTTTGGAGCTTAGGATGTTTCTTGATGTTCCCTTTAAACACACAAAAACAAAAATGGAAAAGGATGAATGAATTTCAATAACCAATCAGAAAAAAGTAACAAAAGGAACTAGCTATAAGAAGAGGGTATGGTAATAGAACCTTGGAGGGAGGAGGGAAAATGGAGTTGAAGTTGGCAGAGGAAGTAGATTCCTTGGGGCCAAAGAGTTGAGCCGTGAAGGAAGAAGAAGACGGTGATGATCCAACTCGTCCTTTACCCTCCATTACTAAGAGAATTATGTTACTGACTAATCACTTAGAAGAAACGAAAAGATAAGATGATTAAGAATGTAGAAGAAGATAGTATGTTAAGGTGTGTTGCCACAACAAGATCATGGGTGTATATATAGACAAATAGACAATGCTACAAATGCTAATATGAGAATTTGAAAAGAAGAAAATACAAAAATCTCAACCTTTTACCGCTTTTAGATTTAGTCCCCACCACTACTATTTAGTCAATTTGGTTTGCTATTGTGGATTTACCAATTTTTATGCAATTCAATATTTTTCCTCGTCAAATGATTCTTTGATATATTTTACCAAAGTTTATATTTTTATATACGAAAAGATATGTATTCATAGAGAAAAGATTTACATCTTCTATAAGTTTCAACCTTTCTTGATCACAAAGAGCCAAGCACAACTATAATTGAGCTTCTTTAATCTACTTGTGACTTAACAGTATTTTCAAAAAAGAAGATTTTGGCCGAAGATCTTAACATCATTTTCATAGATAGATTTCGCCAGTAATGTCACATTAATAAAGAATGGTCAAATGTCTTTGATCCCAAACTAAACTTGTTCTTCTTGTCCCGTCAAGTGGATGATGCCATAATGTATTTTCTTGCTTTTTCAACAAGGTGAGGATTTGGTTATGTATGATAAAAAAAAATTAAGGTACTCAAATGGGGATGTCTTTACCTTTTGGGGATCAATAATATGGATCATATTGAGAACCAAAAACGTGAGCGGCAGGATTCGAACCTGCGCGGGCAAAGCCCACATGATTTCTAGTCATGCCCGATAACCACTCCGGCACGCCCACAAGGACAAGAATCATTCTAACAAGTCAACAATAATAAATTTGTATATAAGTTGTTCATCATGAAGTATGAATGATAAGAGGAACCCTTCAACAACATGAGAGGCCATAGGTACATGTGGAAAAAAAGTTTGTCAACTTAGAATCTTTGCTATAAAAGATGATGGAATCCACAAAGTTCTCGGGTCTTTGACTAATCTTATGAGAAGCATCAGAACAAGGAATAGGAGTCACTACATAAAGATGATGGATTCACAAAAGTTCGGTCTTTGCCTAATGTTATGAAGCATCATATCATACCAAGGAATAGAAGTCGCTACATAATATAGCTCTATGGTCGTTGTGTTACGCCTTGATGTGGCTAAACTACTAAGCTCTCATATTCTGGTTAGAATGAATGAAAAAGCAAAGTGTTGCACACACAACAACAACAACAACAAAAGAAAGGTATCCATATAAGATTCTTTAAGCGACTCTGGTGTGGGCATTTTTTAGATACAACAAAGCAATTATGCAAAGAGACAATAAGATCAGCAATACAATATGATGTTTTGAGCCACACAGAGCGTTAATTAAGGGTTAATGCGCATATCATACAAAGCACGTGAGTCGTGACGGCATGTGTCAGTCATACTACCAGGTACCAGCTAAAACAGTAAGTATAACATACTATGACCAAATTAAAGCATATATAATATTTTGTTCCCAACCCATATTTGTTAGCAAACAATCAATAAATAATAACACAAACTGCCAAAATTATCTTTAATTATTTACTATTCTATTCCATAATTTGTAAGTTGTAACGTTCCATTTTGAAAATTTCGAAAAGAAGATAAAAACAAAAATCACAGAAAAAGAATTATCAAAGAAAAAGAAAGAGATAAAAAATAAAACAAATAAATCAGTTAAGTCCTTTCTATATAAAAACACTCCTTTTCTTTGTTAGTCACTCACTCTTCTTCACATTTTCCGAAAAAACCCTAAATCCCGCTCCTTCCTCTTCGAGATTTCCTTCTCTGTCTTGCGAAAATGCGTGAGATCCTTCACATCCAAGGTGGTCAATGTGGTAACCAGATCGGTGCCAAGTTCTGGGAAGTGGTTTGCGCCGAACACGGCATAGATCCAACCGGTAGGTACACCGGAGACTCAGATCTGCAACTCGAGCGTATCAATGTCTACTACAACGAAGCTAGCTGTGGTCGTTTCGTTCCTCGTGCTGTGCTTATGGATCTGGAGCCTGGAACCATGGATAGTCTCAGATCTGGTCCCTATGGTCAGACCTTCCGTCCTGATAACTTCGTTTTCGGTCAGTCTGGTGCTGGTAACAACTGGGCTAAGGGTCATTACACCGAAGGAGCTGAGCTTATCGATTCCGTACTCGATGTTGTTCGCAAAGAAGCTGAGAACTGCGATTGTCTCCAAGGTACTAATAAATCCGCTAGATCTGGTGTTGATTTTGCATTCGTTCAAAGTGTTTTTTTGGTGATACTGTGGTTTTGAACTGGGTGGTTTCAATTTGTAGGGTTTCAGGTCTGTCATTCCCTAGGAGGAGGAACTGGATCTGGTATGGGAACGCTTTTGATTTCCAAGATCCGTGAGGAGTACCCAGATCGAATGATGCTTACATTCTCCGTGTTCCCTTCGCCTAAGGTTTCTGACACTGTTGTTGAGCCTTACAACGCTACTTTGTCTGTTCACCAGCTTGTTGAGAATGCTGATGAGTGCATGGTTCTTGACAATGAGGCCTTGTACGACATTTGCTTTAGGACTCTGAAACTCACCACCCCTAGCTGTAAGTCCTTCTATGAGATGCCTTCTGTTGTATGGTTGATATGATTGATACTGTTCTTCTAAGTTTTAGTTAAGTTGATTCCACTCTTTCCTCTGTGAGATGCCTTCTTTTGTATGGTTGATATGGATTGTCTAGATGGTGAACACGATTTTCGCATCAGAAATTGTTTATGTTACGCTTCTCATTGGATTGTTCTCGCCTATATGATATGCCTCATGTGTTTTGTGTTATTGGTCCTGTTTAATGATCCCTGGTTATCTGCATTTGAGTTATCACAACTTACAAATCCTTGTGGCTATTCTCTTATCTTCTTTGCATTATGCTTTCTTGTTATGTGTCATGTATATAGCTGCTAGCTAATTCTTGTAACATTAGGGGATTTGCAGAATGCAGTGACTTTATAGGAGAGCTTTTTATATATTTGTTTTCTGCTATGCTCTATGGCACTCACTTACATCTTCGTTATCTGTCTGCAGTTGGTGACCTGAACCATTTGATATCTGCTACCATGTCTGGTGTCACATGCTGTCTTAGATTCCCTGGTCAGCTCAACTCTGACCTCCGTAAGCTTGCTGTGAATCTTATCCCATTCCCTCGTCTTCACTTCTTCATGGTGGGTTTTGCTCCTCTCACCTCAAGAGGGTCTCAGCAGTACCGTTCCCTCACAGTCCCTGAGCTCACCCAGCAAATGTGGGACTCCAAGAACATGATGTGCGCTGCTGACCCAAGACACGGACGCTACCTCACAGCCTCTGCCATGTTCCGTGGCAAGATGAGCACAAAAGAAGTTGACGAGCAGATGCTGAACGTGCAGAACAAGAACTCTTCCTACTTTGTTGAGTGGATCCCAAACAATGTCAAATCAACAGTCTGTGACATCCCACCTACTGGTCTAAAGATGGCCTCCACTTTCATTGGCAACTCAACATCGATCCAAGAGATGTTTAGGCGTGTGAGTGAGCAGTTCACAGCTATGTTCAGGAGGAAGGCTTTCTTGCATTGGTACACAGGTGAAGGAATGGACGAGATGGAGTTCACAGAAGCAGAGAGCAACATGAACGACCTTGTTTCAGAGTACCAGCAATACCAAGACGCAACTGCCGATGAAGAAGGTGAGTACGAGGAGGATGAGGAAGAGGAAGGAGAATACCAACAGGAGGAGTACTAAATAAGTGTACCCCCTCGAAATTAGTCATTTGCTTATCTTTTTTTTCTTTCTTTTCTTCTTTTGAAAATGAAAACCTCAACTACCAGTTGTAGGTATGTAGTGCTTGTATTGACAACTCTGGATCTTTTTAGACTTATGGTGTGTTGTGTGTGTACTTTTGTTCTTAAATTTGGTTTGCTCTTCCTTGTTCCCTCTTTCGCTTGAATCTTCTATTAATCATTGTCTAGCCACCACTATTTAGTTAATTTTGGCTGCTTTTTGGATTTACCAAGTTCGGTATTTGACTAATATTATGAACTATGAAGCATCAGAAGGAATAGAATTCGCAACATAAAGATGACAGATTCACCAAAAGTTCAGTAGATGTCTAAAATTATGAAGCATCATAACAAGGAGTAGAAGTTACTACATAATCTGAGTCTTTTGTCTAACTATCTAAGTCGTTTGTCTTGTGATACAGTTTGTTTAGCCACTTGCAATATCTACAGATACTTCTTCAAGATCACACCTTTTGGATCTTGATCAAGATAGACTTCCCCTGCCCAATGCACGCAAGCTACGGATGAATAACATTCGCAAACATTTCCCGTGTCTCCGCTGTGCAATTCAAGACTACGAGTGATCTACAATTATATTAACTACTTTAAATTGCCAAAAGACTAAAACTTTATAAGTGGAGAGAAACACTATTCCAATTTTGAGAAACACTGAGAAAGTCTGATATAGAAGAGTAGAGTTATGTGCATACACACCTCAGCATCTACCAAATATCTCTTCGGGTGGATCATAAGCATGTTTCTCAGGGAACAACTCTTCGAAATCTTTCTTCACTTTGTTTCTGAGAAGGGGATGCGGTAGAAGCCCCTTCAACAGAACCCTAAACGGCAACTCCTCCGGCGGATCTGGAGACTTCAACATGTCTTCATACACATTCATGGCATCAGCGGGACATCCGTCTCTCAAAAATCCTCTGATAACCTCTGTATAAGTCTGAGAATCAGGAAAGAGGTTTTCTTTCTTCATTTTCTCCCACAACCCCATTGCTTCGTCCATTCTTTTACTTTTTGCTAAGGATACTATAAGGTCCTTGTACATAAACACATCAGGTTGGTACCATTCCTGCTTCTGAATCACCTCGAACATCTGTAATAAGTTGAAAAAGCCAATCATCAACAACCAAGAGAATATACGTATAAGATCTATAAGAACGGTCTAAACCTTAAGCATACAACTACACTGATGTTAGCTCTGTTGAGGCATTTCATCGAACAGTTCATGAGCACACTATGAAACTCTGTATCTACCCAAAATTCACATCAAATTTGTAGAACAGAAACACATAACGTTGCAATTAAACAGAAACACGATCGTAGTAATCAACAGAGCTCAAGCATCCCCCGCAAACATGGAATCAAACTTAAGATAAGCCAAAACAGAAACAATGCAAAAAACAAAATCCTGAAAGACCCAATAGAAATGGTGACGTAAAGAACTCACCTTGATGGCTAAGGCAGTCTCTTCCTGTCGTTCAAGCTCTCCGATAACAGCCAACATATCTAATTTCAACAATCTGAGAACATGTGTCTTTATAAACTTCTGCAGCTTCTCGTCGTCTTCTTTCAATCTCTTGAGACCCAGAATCACGAAAAGGGCTTCTTTCCCGATCAGTTTCTTCCCTCTCCAGAGAGGACCTCTTGGTCTCCCGTCATGGAACCGAGAAACAAACACCGTGAAAGGCTTCGGCAGAATCGGGTGAAGTAGCGTTTTGGGTTTTAGATTCGAGAATGAAACTCGAAGAATTGAAGGGTTTGTAGTAAGTTTCTGGAAGAAGATCGATGCGAAAGGTGAGATTTTTCGCGAGAAGACGCGACTTGCTAACATCTCCCGGTCGTAATAAGACTCTCAAATGTCTGAACTTTGAATCGACTCTCCGACTCTCTCCCCTGTATCACATATAAAACACACAACGGTAGTGAAACCTAAAAACGACAGTGTTTTGAGGACTTCTCATTGGACTTCTTACTAAAACGCTATCGTTTTTGCCAAGACTCGTCGATACATTAATCATTCTCCAAATTAAAATCAAAACTCACAAAACAATTTTGAATTTTAGAACCAATTAAACTTTAATTTGAAGAAGCAAATATAATCCGATAAGATGTTTAGAATTATTATGGGTGAAGTAACCAGAAACATCCTAAACAACATACATATCACGAACAGTAAAAACTAACAATCATATATAGAGAAACGAACTAGTTCTGACTCCATCAGTTCGCAGCATAAACAACAATGGGGCTTCTCACAGAGTGGACACCATCAGACCATATCAGGTGTGCGGACACAAGATTGTCAGCTTCGGGACCTGTCCCTGAAACAGTCACCGTGAAGGACTTCTTCTCGTGCACAGACTTCATAAACAAGACTTCTGGAACCACCTTGACTTTAAGTTTAGATCCCACTACCTTTGCTTTGTAAGTGGCTGCCTTACCTTTACGAACGTTAGTGACTGTTCTATAGAAAGTCAGCTTGAACGGCTTTGACGCCGAGACTTGAGCAGTCATCGAAGGATAGTTTAGGTTTCGGGGTAACGATTTAGTTTGTTCTTTAGTGCAAATGCTGCCATCACCGGAGATGAGTCTTAGTTTCTTTCCAGTGTAGTTCAAGCCACAGAGAAAGGCAATGTGGTCGGATTTACTAGCTTCATAAACGAGTCCAGGATGAATTGCAGCTATCGGATCGACATGGCCTGCTCCGTAAGCAAACTCAGCCATCTGATTAAATGGAGAAGTAGATGCATTCATTGGCCAAGCTACAAGAAACCCATCAAAAACAGAGTATTTTAAGTTTTCTTGCAATACAAGAAAGTGATGTTGTAGAGTAAAAAACAAACAAACAGAGTGATTGTTATTTTGCTTACCGGTAGTCATGATGGCAGACTGAATCATGGAAGGAGACCAGCGTGGGTGAAACGTTTTTAGGTATGCGGCTACACCAGCAACATGCGGACAAGACATTGAAGTTCCGGTTTCAACAGAGTACTTTACATGTCTTGTGTCTGATAAGCTTGGTGGTACATCAGGAGAATAAGCAGCGATGATCTCTGATCCAGGCGCTGTTATATCTGGCTGCAAATCAAATTCATCATTTAGTCAGACACAATAAAATGTTAGAATGAGAGCTACAAGTAACCTAGCTTTTCTCTGTTTCTATATATACCTTCAAAATATCAGGAATGATTGTGTTTGGACCACGAGAAGAGTAGGAAGCAACAATGGGAGCTCTCTGATTAAAGATAGTCTCACTTCTCAGAACAGCTGCTTTAGGGTTCCTGGCCAAAAGATAAAAGTAAAATAACGATCGAGCAATAAGATAAGAGTATTTGTAAAGAAATATATCAAGAGAAAGAGAGATGGGATTTTACTTTGTTGAGTTCACATAGGAGAGAAGAGTGTTGTATTTTTTCTCCGATAGAACAGAGACTGGAAAAGAGAAGATCATTGCAACCTCTGCGTATTGGCTCTTAACAATGGATGCAACGGCTCCCATATCTTTAGCTACTTCAGGATTTTGCACTGAATCGCATAACACAATCTTTCCTTTCACAAGTTTACTGTCTAGACATCCTGGTGAGCAGAGCCTGAAACGACAAAATACCATTTTAAACCTGCTATGTGAAGAAGAGCAAAATAGTTACCAAGATAAAATGTTTAATTTCTTGGAGTGGAAGTTACCTGGCGGCATCATCACTACAAGTACTTGTAGCTGATTTTCCATGTACTATAGGGTACTTGGTTCCGTTAAGATCAAACGTATTCACTGATCTTCCCTGTTGGCACAACAATCATTAACGTTTAAAGAGGACAACATATGTACCATAATGATTGTGAAGATTTTGTTTCTTGGTACTCACGACAATTGTCTTGCCGTTTCCTAGAACAATCTTGGTGACAAACGCGCGGTTTGTATTACTAGCAGCAACAGTGAAGATCCAAGGCGCAACGCTTGCGACTGAGCTAGGTTCTGGACCACTGTTTCCTGCGGAATTCACTGTGAGGATTCCCTTCCCCATAGCATGGAAAGCCCCGATCGCAATCGGGTCAGCCTCGAATGGCGAACCGTTATCCCCACCGATGGAGATGGAAATGAGGTCTACCTTGTCCGCTATGGCATCGTCAAACGCGGCTAGAATCCCGTCAGTGGTGCACCCACTGGCGCCAGGGTTACATACTTTATAAACCGCTATTCTTGCAGCTGGAACGCCACCTCTCGCGGTTCCATTACCGAGTCCGTAAAAGCTCACGTGCTTCACAGCGTTTCCAGCTGCCGTGGATGCTGTGTGCGATCCATGTCCCATGAGGTCCCTTGCTGAGTCAGGATACTGTGTGTAGTACCGTGCTCCAATAAGCTTGCTGTGTACAGAAACAAGATAGTTCACATTCCATATTACCACTTTTGCAATTGACAAACTTGTAACGCAGTTAATCAGTTTAAAGGGGTTTTTTTATACTTGTTGCAAGTGAAGTTCTTGCCACCTTCACAAACACCTTTCCATTTCTTAGGAGGAGGACCAAAGCCTTTGCCGCTGAAGCTCTCCGATTCAGGGTAGACTCCACTATCGATAACACCGATGATTGTATCGCTCTCTATGAGATTGTTTCGTCTTGCCCTTTTGCCTTCTTTGAGGCCCATGAAACTCCACGACGACGTTGTTTGGAGCTTCAGTTTCTTGCTAGGAAACACAGACACAACTTCGTCCATACCTTAAATAAAATAACAAAACAATTAAAATCATATTATTGCATAGAGAAGATTAGTAATTTGAGTAAGAGAGTATTGGACTTACTTGCTAGTATCTCTCTTTCGGATTCGGTTAGCCGAGCAGCGAATCCGTTGAAACTCCTTTTATAAGTCCTAACCAAACGATCCTCGATCGAACTAGAAAATTGATATATTTGTTAGAGAAACTATATAATTTTGTTCGTTAGACATGAGACCATATACACAAATAATCACATTAACATTCTCATCTATAAAAAATTGAATTAATTCATTGCACCTTTCGCCTATGACATCTTGAAGAATACTAGCGTGATGGGACATTGGCATGTAATCAACACGAGCAGGGAGTGCACCCATGTATACTATATACACCTATAGATATCATCATCATCATTATCATGGTTGCTCGTAAGTCAAATAATTCGATCGAACCATGAAATGAATAACTCTTAAGAAAGCATATGGTAAACATTTGTGTAATTTACCTGTTTGTCTTGTTCATTGTCGGCTGCTGCGGCAAAACTCACAAGCGAGGCAAAGACAAAGAGACATGAGAGGAGACAAGAGGAGACATCAGGTTTCGTCATATTTAATTAATTAGCTTAATTAGATGATTTTTTTTTGTTAATGAAGATTGTGAGAGTGAAACGAATTATTTATAGGGAGGTCATTTTTGAACAGGGTCTAAGAACGCAATCAAAGTCCTTAAAGAGATTCTTTCTCTAATTACTAATTACACTTATGGCAATAAGAATGTATATTCAATATTAATGGCTTTGATTGGTACGTTTAATTTGCTACAGTTTCTACTTTCTTGGTCCACTATTCCTTGGTAAAAATAAATAGAAAGAACCTCCTTTGACTTGAAATTTTTCTCATTAATCTCTCAATTAAATTGACTAACCAATGGAAACAAAATATTTAATTAATTTTTATTATGACTTGAAATTGAGTGTTGTGCCAAATTATTTTGGCAGATTAAAATATGTGGGAATGTATATATCCTAAATTCTGTTAATTATGGCAGCTTAATCATGTGAGGCAGGTTCATATCATTTGACCTTACATTAACGAAATATTCTCAACGCTAATGTTTTTTTATTAATTACTTTTCCGGACGATGTATCTAATTTTTCTAGAGATGTAATAAAAAAGTACCGATGAAATTAAGAGCTTTCACCAAAATAGTACAGTATTTAGTGTTTCTGACTACTGTATATGTTTCATCGTTACAACTTTGATCACTCTCTATTTATAATAGTTATTTAGACTTAAGTTTAGACATATTGAAACGAATTAACATTTTAATAATTTGGATTGAAGTTAAAATTAGCAAGCAAATTATATGTATGTATTTGTCTTGTTAATTTTGTCTAAAAATCAATAGCAACAATTGCCTCAAGATTATTAATAACCTAAATTAAACCAAAGAAAGAAGATAATAAAACAATAATTATATATATATAGTCCAAACAAAAACCTAAATTAAAAGTTTACTAATAAGGTAATTTATACTTTTGTTGTTGACTGCTTTATGCTTCTACTACTCCAAGTAATTAGGCAGTGATTTTTAAAAAATACTTCATGATCACCTCCTAATTTCATTATTTTCTACTAATGAACTTGTTCCAACATTTTTCATATTCAATTTTACGTAACTTATTAAGTTATTATCATTACCACACTCGCAACAAAATATATATAACAATCATTGATCTTATATTATTAACGCAATTATATATACTTTTTTTCTTTTCCAATTATACATATAGAAGAACCCTTTGGAACATGCTCTTACTTTTTGCCAGCCTGCTTACGAATCATTAGTTGCCAAATCAGCAAGGTAACTGAAAGTCTTTGTCTTTTTCTCTCGAGCACGACGTCGTTTCTATTCCCTGACACAGATACATATAGACAGATATATATATATATACACATTCACTTTTATTGCTTTTTTTTCCTCATCTCTCTCGAAGAGGAAGAAGACGAAGCCCTCTTCAACAAAATTGAAACAAACAGTTCTTGAGGATTTGGTCTCTTACACCATTGATTGTGAGAGAGAGAACAGTCGTTAAAAGCCTCTTAATCAAAGTTTCTTCCTTTATTAGATCTGAATAAAAACTCGATTTTTTTTGTTTCTTTCTTTTCTCGAATCATCCGCCATTTTGCTTAAAGGGTACACGAATCAGTCTTTCTTATTGTGATTTACTTTATGGGTTCGTCTTAATTTCGTTGGATCTGGGTTTGATTTTGGAGATCACTGACAAAGGTTCTGTTTTTTTTTGTTTTGGGTTCAAATGTGTAGGTTTGATTGCGAGATCGGAGAGAGAGAGAGAGGGAGAAAATGACGCATAGAGTGGATCAGGAATATGATTATTTGTTTAAGATCGTGTTGATCGGTGATTCTGGTGTTGGGAAATCTAATATCTTGTCTAGATTCACCAGAAATGAGTTTTGCTTGGAATCTAAATCTACCATTGGTGTTGAATTCGCCACCAGAACTACTCAGGTGTGATTCGAATTTTTTTCTCTGTTTCTCTCTCTTTAAGTAACACCTCTGTGTGGGAGTATAATTCAGAATATTTGCTGTTAGAATCAGAGAAAAATTTGAAGAGATAGTGATTTAGGTGAGGTGTATATGTTGAGATTCTTAAAGCTGTGATTTTGGGATGGGTTGCTTCTGTTTTTATTAGCTTTGTCTCTTATTCTGATTTCTCTTCTATAGCTATAATGAAGGCTTTCTATTTTCGATGCTAGACATAAATTTACTTGTAGCTTCATGACCCTATTACTGTAGTGTATAATTCAGGTATTTGATAGTTTATTCTTTAGTCTGTTTTGTTTCTTTAAAGGTTGCTTCTTCTTTAGTCCTGTGGTATGGGGTTTTTTGGTGAAAGGTCTTGTCCCCAGTACACTTCAGTTTTTTTCAGTTACTGTGTTCAAAGAGTATATGGAATCCAGTTCTTTTCTCAGCTACTGAAGTATACTGATTTCTCCTTTGTCTTGTTAAATATTTTAACAAAGAGAGAATCTTAGATGTGCTGGCTTTGTGTCATGACAGATGCTTTTCTCATTTTAAGGCTATAAGTGGATGGTCGTGAGAGCCAATTCAAAAGAGAAAAGATTCTCACAGCTTGTCTTCAATAATTTCACTGTATATCTTGATCATTGTTATGATTTGTCATGCGTGACCTTGTCCACCTTTATACCCGCTTAAAGTCAACCAATAAAAGTTTCCAGAAAAAGAATTCTATGATACACTTATGTGGTTGTATGCAAATAGATGCATTGAAAATGTTGGTGTTAATGTTAGTAAGATGGATTTAACAACTCGAGAAATATGTTCTGAACTGTTTTGATTGTTGAAACATTAACATTGGCAATCTTGTTCATAAATCTAGGGGTGCTTCAGTTCCTAAGATCTAACTGGTTTTTACTGTAAATCTCTGTGAATGTATTTTGGATACGCAGGTGGAAGGAAAGACAATTAAGGCTCAGATCTGGGATACTGCAGGTCAGGAGAGGTACAGGGCAATCACCAGTGCTTATTACAGGGGTGCAGTAGGTGCACTTCTTGTCTACGACATCACCAAGAGACAGACCTTTGACAATGTATTGAGGTGGCTGCGTGAACTGAGAGACCATGCAGATTCCAACATTGTGATCATGATGGCTGGGAACAAATCTGATTTGAACCACTTGAGATCTGTCGCTGAGGAAGATGGTCAGAGTTTGGCCGAGAAGGAAGGTCTGTCTTTCCTGGAAACATCAGCTCTTGAAGCAACAAACGTGGAGAAAGCGTTTCAGACCATCTTAGGAGAGATCTACCATATCATAAGCAAAAAGGCACTGGCTGCACAAGAAGCAGCAGCAGCTAATTCCGCAATCCCTGGGCAAGGAACTACAATTAACGTTGATGACACATCAGGAGGCGCGAAACGAGCATGCTGCTCTTCTTAAACTAAAGGTAAACGGGTCGTTTGCGTGTTCCCTCCTCAAAGATTCAAACTTTTGTTTTCACTGGCTTCTCTTCTTTCCAAGTTTTGGCTGATGAAACGTAACTATGCAAGAATATGTAGAATACTTCTGTCTGATTTACTCTGTTTTTAATGCTCTTCTGTTCTGTTGGGGTTTGTGTTCAGTTAAAAGCTTGTGAGATTAGTCAGTAAAGCTTGTTAGTAGTATACTACTTTTATTCTTCTTGCCCTTGGTGTGTTCTCCTCATTTCTGGTTTATAAAAAGATTTTGTTACTGTCTCCGGTTTAGGCTGGTTGGTCTTGGCTTGGTTTAATTGATTCAATGATTATGTATCTAGTTCCAGAATCATTTCTTTATGTAACACACTAGCTCATTTCTAGTTGTTTTCAACCGACCAAACATATATCTTCATCATCATCCTTATCAAGTGACGACGATACAATAGAGAAAATATCAAAAGTAGTGATGGAGAAACTGAGAAAGAAACGTCGTATTAGCCAACTTGCTAAACTAACCAATTCCATTTGCATGCATGAAACGTCATATTAGCCAACGATTGAGTTTTCTATTAAAAATTTCTTTTCGCAACAAACCTAAAGGCCTTTTCTATGATTTTAAATAAATTCCAAAATGCTATACGAAACTTTTAAGTGATCATTTTTAAACCGACAAAATAATTACTATATGTGTAACAGAAAATTGAAAACATGTAAAAAAAACCTAAAAATCTTGTTTTGGATACTTTTTTGAAAGACTCAATAGTGTAATTGAAAATTTTGAATTTCTTGTCCAGAGATGCATATTTCTATTAACTAATTCGTTTTTTTTTTAATTAGCTTATTACGTATAATACTAGAAATAGAGAATAAAGGCAACAGCTTTAAGGTGCCTTGCCCAATGGAGAGATCCCAGATATTGCCATATCATTTTCGGGAAGCGAACCCATCAGAGAAATTACTTGTAAGAAAAACAAAAGGGATCGAGAAGAGAATTCTAAGTTTTAAAAAGGCGACAACTTTTTCTTTTGGGTTCAGATTTTGAAATTTGATATTTTTTTCTTCTTCTCCTTCCGGCCGATCCAATCTTAATCGAAAGATTGAAACTTGAAAGGTGGGTAGTGAGGGAATGGCGCAACAAGGGCAAGGAAGCATGGACCCTGATGTTCTCGACGACATCATTAAGCGTTTACTTGATTACGGAAACCCTAAAGCTGGGACGAAGCAAGCTATGCTCAACGAGTCTGAGATCCGACAGCTTTGCTCCGCCTCTAGAGAGATATTGCTTCAACAGCCCTGTCTTCTTGAGCTCGCCGCCCCTGTTAAGATCTGCGGTATATAATCTCTGTCTCCATTTCCAGCTCCCGGCTTTGTATTTGTATTCTGTTTGTTCGCTTTGGGATCTGATCATTTCATGATTGTGTATCATTTTGTCTTTTAATCAATATTTAGTTTTTTACTGAAAAAGTTTGCATTTTTCTTGGAGGGGATGAGTTTAAGTTTTAAGGGGAACAGAAACGAATAGAATTGAAGTTATGTGGGAATGTTGAATGAGAACAGAGAGAGAGAGAGATGATTAGCATAATCTGGTTGCAGCAGCTAATCTCGTTAGAGAGAAAAGTGAAGGAGAATAATAAGATCATTAAATTGGACCTCATATGATTGAAGAGTAGGGAAGAAATTTTAGTTCTTGAAGCTAAAGGCGCAATCTATATTTTTTAACCAATTGTTGTCACTTGATGATGGATGTGTTTGTTGGGCTTACCCTCTTTTTGGAGTCTTGGAATTTGCCTGAGAGAATCTGGTTATTCGTTAATATGGTATTTGTACGGTCATGTGAGAGGAAGCAAGTTCTTCTTGATCTTTTCTTGTGAAAATGCATTGGTTTCTTTGCTTTTCTTCAAGAAGGTTCTTATGGGTTCGTAGGTTGGTGTGTAACATTTTTCTTTCGGCGATTGATATAATCTAGAAAAATCTTAGAGGCTCGGTTTTATGAGAGAAAGCAAGTTCATTTTTTTATTAGCAGATCTGTGTACTGCTATCTTTGTTTTTCTTAACTGAAATATATTTGATTTGTTCTGGTGATTTCCTAGGTTGATATGTATTTCCTTTGCATTGTTTCAGGTGATATTCACGGCCAATACTCAGATTTATTGAGGCTTTTCGAGTATGGCAGTTTCCCTCCTGCAGCAAACTACTTATTCTTAGGAGATTACGTTGACCGCGGGAAGCAGAGTTTGGAGACTATTTGTCTTATGTTTGCCTACAAGATCAAGTACCCCGAAAACTTTTTTCTCTTGAGAGGAAATCATGAGTGTGCCTCTATTAACAGGATCTATGGATTCTATGACGAATGTAAACGAAGATTCAACGTGAAGCTCTGGAAAGTATTTACAGACACTTTTAATTGTCTCCCTGTGGCAGCTGTCATAGACGAAAAGATACTCTGTATGCACGGTGGACTTTCTCCTGATTTGACCAATGTGGAACAGATTAAGAACATAGAGCGTCCAACTGATGTGCCAGACTCTGGTTTGCTTTGTGACCTTCTTTGGTCTGATCCTAGTAAGGACGTCAGCGGCTGGGGGATGAATGATCGCGGTGTCTCCTACACTTTTGGCGCTGACAAAGTAGCTGAGTTTCTAATAAAAAATGATATGGATTTAGTCTGTCGTGCCCACCAGGTTAAGTATATTGACTACATTTGTATATATGTTTCCTTCAGTTTATTTGTGAAATGAAATCTGCGCTCAAGAAACGTCTATAATGTTCCCGCAGGTTGTAGAGGATGGGTATGAGTTCTTTGCTGATAGACAGCTTGTGACTTTGTTTTCTGCTCCAAACTATTGTGGTGAATTTGACAATGCGGGCGCATTGATGAGTGTCGACGAAAGTTTAATGTGCTCTTTCCAAATTCTTAAGCCTGCGATTAGGAGGCCACGGTTCTTTTAACGAGAAAGAGGTATATACATTAGATTTGAGTGTTTCTCAAAACCGTTGAACTTCCTCTTTGTTTCAGAATCTCAGCTAGCTATGTCAGTTTCCATCTGCAGTATTGTAGTAAAAATTATCACATCTCATATCCTTTTGAAGTCCTTCTTACGGAAAGAAAGGGAGGAGGAGAAAAGGCGACAAAGGATGTTGGTGGCGGATAATTTTGAACCTCCATGAGTATTAAGTATCCGTAGTTGCAAAGGCAACAGTATATATATATCTACATGGTTATCATCTCTGCCACTTCTTTTTAAATGTTGTCTTGTTACCACAACCCAATTTTTTCTTCTGTTTTCTTCTCCTTCTCTGTTCTTTCACATGTCAGAGATACAAATCCTCTCAAGTGTGTATATATACTTTATATGTATATATCGGAATCACACTGCAGGAGCGCTTCTGTTTATAGATTCTTCAAGTACAAAAGAGGGGTCTCTAGAGACTTATTACCAAAAGATGCTGACTAACACTCATATCATCAACCCGATTCAAAACTATCCAAATATGGGCCTGATCCAAAAAAGGCCCATATTGTTACCACGTGATTGGCACGTGTAAACCAACCACGGAAGTAGCAGAGAAGAAACTAGTGGTGGCATCGGCAGGTAAAAAATACACCTCTTTTTATCGTCGTCGATTGAGAAAGAAAGAAACACCAGATTTGATAGAAAAGCCGCGAATTTTTTTATGTTTTTCTTTGGGAATTTTCCGGGAAACACATCGGAAAAAACTTAATCGCCGGAAAATGTTTCTATCTCACCCTCCTCAAGTAATACAACCGACTTGTTATACTGTTAACTTCTTACCTCGTTGTGCTCCGAAGCCACCGTTGTGTTCCGTTGCCTTAAACAATCCTTCGATAGCTGCCAGCGCCGGAGCTAAAATCTCTAATAATCAGCTAATTCAATCGTTGTGCAAAGAGGGTAAGCTTAAGCAGGCGCTTCGCGTCTTGTCTCAGGAATCTAGCCCGAGTCAACAGACTTACGAGCTTCTAATTCTCTGTTGCGGTCATCATAGCTCTTTTTCTGATGCTCGACGAGTTCATCGACATATTCTGGATAATGGGTTTGATCAAGATCCTTTTTTGGCTACGAAGCTTATCGGTATGTATTCGGATTTGGGGTCTGTGGATTATGCACGGAAGGTGTTCGATAAAACGCATAAAAGAACTATATATGTCTGGAACGCTTTGTTCCGGGCGCTTACATTGGCGGGTCATGGAGAAGAAGTGTTGGGTTTGTATTGGAAGATGAATAGGATTGGAGTTGAGTCAGATAGGTTCACATACACTTATGTTCTCAAGGCTTGTGTTGCATCGGAATGCACAGCGAATTGTCTTACTAAAGGGAAAGAGATTCATGCCCATCTTACCCGACGCGGTTACAATTCGCATGTTTATATCATGACTACGTTGTTGGACATGTATGCTCGATTTGGCTGTGTGGATTATGCCAGCTATGTGTTTAATGGAATGCCCGTCAAAAACGTTGTTTCTTGGAGCGCAATGATTGCCTGCTATGCAAAGAACGGGAAAGCTTTTGAAGCTTTGAGGACTTTCCGTGAAATGATGACAGAAACCAAAGATGCATCCCCGAATTCTGTGACTATGGTTAGTGTGCTTCAAGCTTGTGCTTCGCTTGCAGCTTTAGAGCAAGGGAGATTGATTCATGGGTACATACTCAGACGGGGGCTTGACTCCATCTTGCCGGTGATCAGTGCTCTTGTGACAATGTATGGTAGATGTGGTAAGCTCGAAGTGGGACAAAGAGTATTTGATCGAATGGATGACCGGGATGTTGTATCCTGGAATTCCTTGATATCAAGCTATGGTGTTCACGGGTATGGAAGGAAAGCAATTCAAATATTTGAAGAGATGCTCGCCAATGGGGCTACTCCAACTCCTGTAACATTTGTCAGTGTTTTGGGAGCTTGCAGCCACGAGGGCCTTGTTGAAGAAGGAAAAAGACTGTTTGAATCAATGTGGAGTGACCATGGAATAAAACCACAAGTCGAGCATTATGCTTGTATGGTTGATCTGTTAGGTCGGGCGAATAGGTTAGACGAGGCAGCAAAGATGGTTCAAGACATGAGGACTGAACCAGGGCCTAAGGTTTGGGGTTCCCTTCTTGGGTCTTGTAGAATTCACGGAAATGTTGGCCTTGCAGAACGAGCAAGTAAAAGGCTCTTTGCACTTGAACCAAAAAATGCAGGGAATTATGTGTTGTTGGCAGACATTTATGCGGAAGCGCAGATGTGGGATGAGGTTAAGAGAGTGAAGAAGCTCCTAGAACACCGGGGACTGCAGAAATTGCCTGGTCGGTGCTGGATGGAAGTGAGGAAGAAAATGTACTCGTTTGTCTCAGTGGATGAGTTTAACCCTCTTATGGAACAGATTCATGCTTTCTTGGTTAAGTTAGCCGAAGATATGAAGGAGAAAGGGTACATACCGCAAACCAAAGGGGTTCTGTATGAGCTTGAGACAGAAGAGAAAGAGCGGATAGTGTTAGGACACAGTGAGAAACTGGCGTTGGCGTTTGGGCTGATAAATACATCAAAAGGAGAGCCCATCAGAATCACGAAGAACTTGCGTTTGTGCGAGGACTGTCACTTGTTTACAAAGTTCATCTCGAAGTTTATGGAGAAGGAGATTCTAGTTAGAGATGTGAACCGGTTTCATAGGTTCAAGAATGGAGTGTGTTCCTGTGGAGATTACTGGTAATACTTGTGCGACTTTACGATTGCTTGTGTATAATAAGCAAGGGAGAGATCTCGACTAAAGTTCTTGGACTTAGTCAGGCCAAAGGAATAACGAACAGGTTGTTAGGCTTAGAAAATTCCTGTAATATATGCCAACGTAAGCTGTTGGGATCATTGTTACTATCCTATTGTTCTTCAATAAACAGAAAAAAGCTTGTTCATTTCACTCTCTGCCTTCGGTTCAAAAAGTCGAAACAAGCCTCATCCGTGTAAGCTTCTGATTCCTGGTTAAGTAAGTAAGCTGCAGTCACTGGTCCACCTTGCTTCAGTCTTGATTAAGCTGCAGGCAGAGGTTTCTGGCTGTAGTGAATTGATATCAAGGATTCTATAATTCAAATGGTTTACACGTGAACAGGCCCATTGTATGCTGGTTCTGTTTGTTTGGAGATTTAGTCATGCTAACGCTCTGCTTTGTTCTTTTGTAAGCTGGCTCAGTAACCGCAATTGCATTGGTTCAATCATACAAACAACAGTTATGTATCTTCTCTTTGTTAAGAGATTAACCTAAATTAGTTACTACCTTTTTACTTACGCACGCAAATATTTCCATTTTCCTAAAATGTACAAAAACGACTCTAAAACAAAAAAATGGAAAACATGCATTATCGAAAAAAGGAAAATTAGAAGAAAAGAAATAGAAAGCAAACCAAATTAACAAAAAGGATCAAACAACACAAGCATCATAAATAAGAGTAGCCAGAAACACAAAGGGTATTCAATTCTTCTTTGTCTAAGAACACAAACACAAAAGAGAGAGATCAGAGATCAAAGATGCCACTAGCTGAGATCTTAGTTTTGGGGTATGCTGGACTTTTCTGGGCTTTGGTAAGCTATTGTAGTAGCGGCAATAATAATGCTTCACAGAAGAAGTTTGATATCAGACCAAGCGGCTTAGGAACTGGAGCGGTTTGCGTCATCATCTTAGTCGTAATGGGTATGATGTTCCTTAACAACAACGCTGAACAAATTCACCATGGTGTCAACGAACAAGCTGATGGGATTTGGATTCTTGTTATCATCTTGTTCTGTCTCTTCATGCTTTATCTCAAAGGCGTTTTTTGATTTCTCCTTTTTATTCTATTTTTTGTTCTACGAATGTGTTTTGCTTCATATTGTATTTTCCTTTTCGTTATATCATAACTTCATAAGGAATTTTTAATAAATATGATTACAGATATTTAACTTGAAACACAAGGAAAGTAAAATAAAAAAAGGAAACTGTACGGAACTCCAAAACAGCATCGTTTATGGCGTTTTTTAGTCGTCGTCGACGTAGATGGTCTCTTGTTTAAACAGTCCTCCAAACACTTTCCTCACCTCTTTCTCCTGCTTCTTCAGAGGCTCTTCCTTCTTTTTGGATGCAAAAGGAGATGATGTGGCGGGTTTAGCGCTCACGTTTCTCTGTTTCACCACTGCTTTCTTGGGTGGCAAGTTTCTCGCTTTCGCCTGTCCTCTGACCGTAGCAACCTGTACTTTAGGTGCCTCTGAAGCGTTCTGGACTGCGGTAGTGAATTGAGAACCGAGTTTATTCCAGGAGAGACCTGAGCCGATATCTTTAGCCTTGCTAAATAGACCGTCCACTGTGATTCCCACGGCATCTGCTTTCTGCTCGGCTTCCTCAGCTTCTGCTTCTTTCTCTGCCTCTGAAGCGTTCTGGACCGCGGTAGCGAATTGAGAACCGAGTTTATTCCAGGAGAGACCCGATCCGATATCTTTAGCCTTGCTAAATAGACCGTCCACGGTGATTCCCACGGCATCTGCTTTCTGCTTGGCATCCTCAGCTAAACTAGCAGCTTCTGCTTCTTTTGAAGAGAGCTTTTGCATTTGTTTCTCAAGCTCTTTCGCTTCTTCTGCTGCTTCTCGGGCTCTCTCAGCTGCAACTTTAGCTTCTTCCTCGGCTCTTGCCTTTGCGATCGCATCTGCGTATACTTTTCTCCTCCCATCTTCCGGGATTACACTATCATATATTTCATTAAACGAAGTTGACACATAACTTATTAAGCTATAAACTCACAAGCAATACAACAATTGTCTTTTGAATCAATCAAGAAGAGGACTCATTTACCTGAATAGCTCATCTACTGGCCTCAACGGTGCTGATGGATCTGTAGAAACTTCCACCACCTGAAAAAGGAGACACAGAACTAATATCATCAAGATTTTGAGCGCATACACGAACACAACTTGACGAGTGAGTTACTTGTGCTATACGCTACCTTATTTTCTGCCACGGCCGTGTTAGCAAACATGTCTGCAACCAGCGACGCAATCTTCAACTTGGGAACCTGGTCGTAAACAGAACACCAAACAAGTTAATCAACCCATTAATCAAAACCAATCTATAAACAAATGATTTAGTTTCAATGTAATGTATGATAATAATCCCTTTTTTATCGCATACATTACATTACTTTGTAGGCCTCGGACGACGAACTACTGCCACTGCCGCTGTTACTCCCTTCAGCTGAAACGACGACGTTATAAGATTTCTCCGGGGAGAAATCCTCCGTCAAGCTCGTCTTTATGAGCGTGTACGCCACATCGGTTTGAGCTACTTTCTCGATGAGGTCAGAGATAGTCAATGGCTGAGATTTTGCGAAAAGGTTCCCAAAAAACGAAGTAATACCGTCTAGCACGTTGTACGTGGATCCGCTGATGCTACCATCGTACACGATTGCAACATGGTTTACGCCAGCAAGCTCAGCCGCTTGGACCACGAGCAAAGCGTCTGAGGTCGAGACTGGTGCGTCAGGACCGTTCTCTGTCGCCCCGACCGTAACCACAACTTTGGTCGCGTTTCCTATGGCTTTTGCGATTGATTCAGCGTCTTGGAAAGTTGATTGAACAGCGTTTAGCCTCTTGACTTCCTCATTTGATAAAATCTGTTGAAAAGCTGAGCGTCAAACCATAATCAAAACGCCAAACGCCACCCCGAGTTCACATGCGAAGTCAAAGCATAATAATCTAAAACCAAAATGCGTTTTTATATCGCTAAATCAAAGGTGTAACTGTTATCGCTGTCTTAATATCTGAAATGCGATTAATTGCGTCTAAAAATCAAGATCATCATTATCACGTTAAGATTATACGAATCGTGGGACTCAAAAACAAAACAAAACAAGCGGACCTTGTAAGTGGCCGCAACACGAGCGAGGTCTTGGGCGGCTCCAAGGTCAGGAACGCCAGCTCGAACGCTGAATCCTCGTTGCAAGAGCGTTTGAGCTATGCGTATACCAGCTTGTCCCGTAGCACCGGCCACAAAAACCGTACCAGGATCTTTCTTTCTGTTATTACCAAACACTAAACCGGTGGAAGGGTTTGTCACCACCGGCATGAGTGACTTCATGTCCGGTAACTTACCGAAATTGAACCCGAATGGTTTCGAATCTGAAGATTTACCGGTTTGTTTAGCCTCCGAGTCATCATCACCGCCCTTCGTTTTCCCCAGTTGAAACGCCGTTTGCTTAGCCCACACGGTTAACCTAGGTTTTCTCGGGTTAAACCGGACACCCTGCGGTGGCGCGGTGGTTAACAGGAATGAAGTTGAACTAGAAGCCATTAGAAGAGATCACCAACGAGCTTAAACCGTTTTCTTGTACCTCAAGTAAACAATGTAGATGCCATACATTGAAGATGAGACACCATGGCGATGATAGAGTGCACAAGACAGTTCTTGTGTTTGTGTGTTTCCACAGAGAGATGCTTTTGTTATCCGAAACGGATTCATAGCCAATAACATCGTGACACGTCAACAACATATCTTGGTGTAGCTTGGTCTGAACTTTTCGCCACAGAATCTTGATATTGCGGGGCCTAGATGTTAAAATACTTATAACTTTTGCCACAATAGTTTCACGTAATATCAAAATCCATCCCAAAGTTTTTTGTTAGTTAAGCAAAGGCCCATGAAAACATAATTTGTTTTCACTACCTAATAATTAATAAGTGATACAACAAACTTTCATGCAATCAAGAAGAGAATTAGAAAGACTAAACCTTTTTTTTTTTTGTAACAAAACGTGTTGTTGTCCATTAATGATCGCACACACAATATAATCCAGTTGTTCATTTGTAACACATACTATGTAACCTTTTTTTTTAAAGCTGTAACTAACGTCGAATGTGTAAAAAAGTAAAGACATATGATCCTTATGCTGCAAGTTCAAGAACATTCACATGTTGAACTCCAGAAATATCTTGTTTATTACGCAACATACTTCTCCTCTACTACTGTGGATGCAATGGAGAGGAATAGAGCTTCTTAAAGCTATTCTGAGAATCTGCTATTGAGAATCACAGAACAACTCTCTTACTTGTGACATGATTGTAACACGTTTGTTAAAAACTTTCATAGCATTAGATAAATACAAGCTTGTCCCGTACCATAGGGACGTATTTTATCTTTCAATGTATACATAGTGGACATATAAAAGTTGGAAAAACTGTAAAAAGAAGTTGCGGCCGAAACTATACCGTTCTTCCAATGATGTTGTTTCTTGGTTGTGCGTATTTTTGAAGGTTCTTGAGAGAAGTGGACTGTTCTGTTCTGTTCTGTTCTTTCCTGGCACTAGAAGAAGTGGTGCTACGCAAGAACTTCATTGTACGGTGTTGGAATACTGATCCCGGGTGTGTCTGGAGGCATCTCAGGCAAAACATCATTTCCTTCAAGATAGTTTACCACTTGGGACATACTAGGCCTGTCCTCTGGATTGTATTGTGCGCAGAGTAGTCCAAGCTTCAGTACCAGCTCTATCTCCTTGTAGACGTAATCTCCTTCCAGTCTAGCATCGCGGGCACCAACCAAGTTCCCTCTTTTACAGCATTGACACACCCAGCTGATCAAGTTAAACTCTTCAGGCTTCCCGGGATACTCTATAAACATTCTTCCACATGCAAACTCTAGTAGTAATGCTCCGAATGAATAAACATCTGCTTTGGTTGTTGGCATTCCTGTTATGATTAGCTCTGGAGCCACATAACCTACGCTTCCAAGCATTGGATTCCTGTTTGTGCCTAATCTAGCTAGACCAAAATCTAACCGCCCGTTTAAATCCTCATCCAAGAGTACATTTGCGGCTTTAACATCTCGGTGGAGAACGATTTGTTCATGCAAATATAGAAGAGCTGAAGCCACTCCTTTGATGATGTGAAACCTTTGGGACCAACTAAGGTTAGGCCTTTCGTCGTTAAACAAGAAATCGTCTAGGTTTCCATAAGGCATATAGTCATAGACCAAGAGTAGTTCACCTTTTCTTCTGCAGTATCCTAAGAGCTGCACAAGGTTCTTGTGCCTTAACTTTCCAACACCAACAATCTGAGAAACCAGGTGCTTGGTATCTTGTTCTGCATCCAAAGAAACTCTCTTTACAGCAATATGTGCATTAGAAGAGAGCTTTCCTTTGTAGACTGTACCGTTTGCCTCTGTTCCGAGCAGCTCACTCTCTTTGAATCCTTTGGTGGCTTTGTAGAGAGCTTTGTAAGAAAACCTCTGAGGGCTGTAATCTTCCTCCCATTCTTCTCGGACTTCTTCATACTTGCTGTTCACATACATTGATCTTAATGCTGCTCCCATTTTGTAAAAATATACCTTAAAGAAAAAACTTGCCAGATTATTGCAGATTCTCAAGACAGCTTTTACTCTGTTGTTTGAACCAATTTTGTGAATACCAATGTTGTGTCTGTTGCAACTTTGTCAAGCCGTATCTGTTTGGTGATTTGTGTTGTTGTGGGGAATGAGTTGCAGACCACTTACTCTCAAGAGAAGGTCAACTGCTGTACAAAACCGTCCATTCTTGTTCTTTAATCGTATAATTAATCTCTTAAAATTGTATTTAATCATTACTAGTTGCATTCAGAAGATTTCAGTATCGTTAAATGCAATTTATATTGCAACATTGAACATGTTCATGTCTTTGATCACCTGGAGGAATTAAATATTCAAATACATATTTTTTCTGAAGATTGATATATATTTTCTTCTTATTACAGAAGTCAACTACAAGAAGGAAGGAAGGAAACAAAAACCAAACAAAATGTTTTGCCTCCTCAGCATAGAGTAAAGTAAAGAACAAGAAAAAACAAAAGATGTATTAGAATCTTGAATCTCTTATGTATACAACAGACTTCAGCTAAATATGAATCTTGGATTTGGTAAGATAACATTACTAATAGGGGGAAAAGAGGATTGAAATAGATAGCCTCTTTCTTGCATAGAGGGTTTGTAAACAATACACATATTAAAGAAACCCTATGATCTGTTCTTTAGTTTGGTTGAAGTATCTTCCCATGATTTTCTTCTTCAACAACTGCAGCAAAACAAATGCATTAGAATAATACAAAATGGTTATATCAAATTGTTTTAGTTGTGGCTTAAAATAGGAACTCACTTTCATTCGTGTTGGCTAAAAGGGGAGCTTTGTTGTCTGCTGAATTTGGAGCAGGTGCCATGGTTGTGGCTGCACCAAAACTTGTAGCCTGAGAAGAAGCTTTACGAGGACTAATAGCTTCAGATATTACTCGAGAAAGTTCTCTATCGTCTTCGCTAGGCTCAAACTTCTGGGATATGTATTCCTTCATTGATACGCCTTTGTCCCACACCTGGTCATAACATATTTACAAACACAAGATGATTGATTGAATGATGCACTTACCTATAGGCACAAACACATATAAACAAGTTATAGCACCTTGGTATTGAAGCCAGTTGGCTGGTTAGTTCCAGCAGTGTTTATTTCTGAAACATCGTTTATCTCATCTTCTGGCTCTGTTGATTCTGGAAAAGCCATATCTTGAATCTTCTTAGTTATAGCGTTAGTTGCGTCAGAGACTTTGGCATAAGCAGGTGCTAGCTTCTCTGTCACGGTTTCTGTTACGGTCTTGCTTGGACTAATAGGTTGCTGGCTTGTGAATTCTTTCCCTGTCGTCTCATCCACGGATCTTGTTAATGTTGTTGTTTCGGAGTCAGCAGGCTTCTCTTGTTTGACATCAGACAAAACATTCTTCTCAGAGAACACAGGACGTTCTGTGTTGGAACCAGTACAGTCTTTTTGTTCATGTTCAGCGCCGTGTTTGGTTGGGAGAACAGACAAAACATTCGTCTCAGTGATCACAGGATTTTCCCGCGGATGCTGCCTCGCAGTCTTCTTCAACTCTTCAGGCGCCTTCTTTGATTCATACACTGGACATAACACACAAGAAAGATCGATCAGTCTTGAGCAATATCAAAACAAAGATTATTGATAATTATGTAGCTTTTGCTTAATTTGATATTACTTGGGGCTCCAAGATATTCAGGATCTTCTTCTTGTTCCTCTTCTAGTCCTCCTTCTTCTCTGATTTTACGGTCTTTCGAGTTGTCACGTGGTGAAAGCGATGCATAACCTCCTTCTCTAACTTCATGGTCTTCGGATCTGCTAAAGGGTGACATGGTTGCATCACCTTCTTCATCATGTCTCTTCTTGGCGCTGAGGCTGTGCTGCAGTTTTTTCGCCTTATCCTTCATTTTAGAGAACAGAGATTTCTTGTGGTGTGAATGTTCTCCTTCGTTTTCCTTTCTTGGTGAACCAGAAGGCGACCTCTTTGAAGCTTCACCAGCTAAAAAAACACCCCAAGATTTTGCGTCCAAGAACATCAAAATCAATAAATCACAAACAAATTAGATTAATGCAATAACAGAGACTTACATTGGTGACGCTGTCCAAGTGTTGAGAAGCTAGGATTTCCAGAATGATCAACATGTGTTTTTAAGCTCTCGAGCTCTGCGACCGGGTCAAGTTGACGCGACATTTGATAAAAAGGCAAAAGAAAAGTTTTCTAAATCTTCTGTTTGGGAACTCTGATCCTAAGAGAACAACATAAGATAAATATAAGACAAGAAAAGGTATGCTTGTCCGTCCACATGAGTCTTGTTCCTCCGAGGTTCTTGGACATTCCATAAAGAAGAAATGCTTAAAAATAGTCATGGTCTAAGAAAACTGGAGAAGCATAATTAAAGGGAAGACAAAGTCTCTTTGCCTGAGATATTGACGTTTTGAGCTGAATTATAGGACTCACATTTATAGAGTTTTCTACTTAAAACAAAATTAGAACCAGAAATCACAAAGACAGTCTCTAGTAAACTCAAGCAAGACTGTCACACCTGAAATTCAACTTAAATAGGTCTAGGTCAGTCCAAAGTAACAAATGTGAAATACAGAGACGGACATACATTGCTTAGCATGCATACTGTTTACAGCTAATAAAAACGGCACGTGTTTCTTATGTAGATACAGAAAACGGGATGTAGTCTAAAGGAAAGTCTCTCTTTACCTGCTTAAAACCCAAAAGTACACATAAGCTTTCGCCGAAGCCAAAAAGTACACTACCTTCTTCTTCTTCTCTCTAAAACCTTATCTATCCCTCTTCCTTCTCCGCCCATGGCCGCCTTCTCCGTCAACGGGAAGCTTATCCCGGCGGCGACTAGCTCTACCAATCCTACTCCTCTCTCTTCTCGCCGGAAATTTCTTTCTCCTTCCACTTCTCGTCTTCCTCGCATCTCCTCACCGTCTCCTCGCGTCCCATCGATAAAATGCAGTAGTAGCTTACCTAGCCGAGATACTGAGCCTTCTCCAAAGGATTCTCTTCTTAAAAACCTAGCTAAACCTCTTGCCGTAGCCTCAGTCTCGTCCGCTGCGTCCTTCTTTCTATTCCGAATCTCGAATCTTCCGTCGGTTCTGAGCGGTGGTGGAGGTGGAGGAGGAGATGGGAATTTCGGTGGGTTTGGTGGTGGAGGCGGTGGTGGAGATGGTAATGATGGTGGGTTTTGGGGGAAATTGTTTTCTCCGGCGCCGGCTGTTGCTGATGAAGAACAGTCACCGGATTGGGATTCTCATGGTTTACCGGCGAACATCGTTGTGCAATTGAACAAGCTTAGTGGTTTCAAAAAGTATAAGGTTTCTGATATTATGTTCTTTGATCGACGGAGACAAACAACAATTGGTACTGAAGATTCCTTCTTCGAGATGGTTTCGATTAGGCCCGGTGGTGTTTACACTAAAGCTCAATTGCAGAAGGAGCTTGAAACCCTAGCTACTTGTGGAATGTTCGAGAAGGTTGATTTGGAAGGGAAAACGAAACCTGACGGAACCCTAGGTGTTACAATCTCGTTTGCTGAGAGTACATGGCAATCTGCTGATAGGTTCCGATGTATCAACGTTGGGTTAATGGTGCAGTCGAAGCCAATTGAGATGGACTCAGATATGACGGATAAAGAGAAGCTTGAGTATTACAGGAGCTTGGAGAAGGACTACAAGAGGAGAATTGACAGGGCGCGGCCGTGTTTGTTGCCTGCACCTGTGTATGGTGAGGTGATGCAGATGCTGAGGGACCAAGGGAAAGTTAGTGCGAGGCTTTTGCAGAGGATTAGAGACCGTGTTCAGAAATGGTATCATGACGAAGGGTATGCTTGTGCTCAAGTTGTGAATTTTGGGAATTTGAACACTAAGGAGGTTGTTTGTGAAGTTGTGGAAGGTGATATTACTCAGCTGGTCATTCAGTTTCAAGATAAGCTTGGTAATGTGGTTGAAGGGAACACTCAAGTTCCTGTGGTGCGTAGGGAATTGCCTAAGCAGGTATGTGTCTCAAGTTCTGCTATGTCAGATGTGTCATTAGTTATGTTTAGTTCGTTGTTGTTATGTTTCTGATTCTGGCAGTAAATTTGATGGCCTCAGTGGTATAGGATTATGACGAAAATGTAGTTAGGTTATAGACTGATGGAGATCAGGAAAAAATTGACAGACTTTTAGCTCGAACTTGATATTAATTTGATGGTTGTAAAAGGTTTAATTGCTACAATGAACACACATGACAAATGTTTCCATATTCCAGACATGTTATGATATATCCCATTTGTTATGTTATATTTGGTGATAGTATCTGTGTTTCATTGATGTTTTATCGACAGCTCCGCCAAGGCTATGTTTTTAACATTGAAGCTGGGAAACAAGCTCTCAGGAACATCAACTCTTTAGGTCTGTTCTCTAATATTGAAGTCAATCCACGGCCAGATGAGAAAAACGAAGGAGGAATTATCGTTGAGATCAAGCTGAAAGAGCTAGAGCAGAAGTCAGCTGAAGTCAGTACTGAATGGAGTATCGTTCCTGGGCGTGGAGGAGCTCCCACACTGGTATGAATCCTCTTACCGAAATAAGTATATATTTTCAAATTCGGATATTCCATTGTGTTTGATAGTCATTGTTTATATGCATCAGGCTTCATTCCAGCCAGGTGGGTCTGTTACTTTTGAACATCGAAACCTCCAGGGTCTTAATAGGTCACTCATGGGTTCAGTGACCACTAGCAACTTCTTGAATCCTCAGGTACATTAAATCAGCTTACATTGTTGATACATCTATGGCTCAATTTTTTCAATAGATACCTCCATCTATTTCTGTGTTTATGTGCTATGGGCAAACCTTATGTTATATTTTTTCTTTCTCAGGATGATCTTTCATTTAAGCTTGAGTACGTGCACCCGTATCTGGATGGTGTTTACAATCCTCGTAACCGTACATTCAAAACGAGCTGCTTCAACAGCCGCAAACTTAGCCCAGTATTCACGGGAGGACCCGGTGTTGAGGAAGTTCCTCCAATTTGGGTTGATCGAGCTGGTCTGAAAGCTAATATAACTGAGGTAAGCTTACCAACACTCAGTGCCATAGTCGACTTGTTTTTCCTACAAACACTTAACTGAAACATGTTTTCATGCAGAACTTCACACGTCAAAGTAAGTTTACATATGGACTTGTGATGGAGGAGATAACAACCAGAGATGAAAGCAGTCACATTGCTGCGAATGGTCAGAGGCTACTACCTAGCGGTGGAATCAGTGCTGATGGACCTCCAACAACTCTCAGTGGTACTGGTATCGATCGAATGGCTTTTCTACAAGCCAACATTACCCGTGACAATACCAAATTTGTTAATGGGGCAGTTGTTGGAGAGAGAACTGTCTTCCAGGTTTGCTTGGCTAATGATCAAATGAGATTATAATTATGAGTCATATGTGTATTCTGTAAGCTTTACACAATGTATTTGCAAATCACAGGTGGATCAGGGACTGGGTATTGGGAGCAAATTCCCTTTCTTTAACCGCCACCAGTTAACCATGACAAGATTCATTCAGCTGCGGCAAGTAGAAGAAGGCGCTGGTAAACCACCACCACCAGTTCTAGTCCTCCATGGACATTACGGAGGCTGCGTTGGTGACCTTCCAAGCTACGATGCTTTTGTACTTGGTGGTCCATACTCAGTCCGTGGCTACAACATGGGTGAGCTCGGCGCTGCTAGAAACATTGCCGAGGTAATACAACAAACACACAAAACAAAAACAGTATATTTTTCTCTAAAACAGAGAAAATGTGTGTCTAATTAATTGGTTTCATATATTGCAGCTTGGTGCTGAGATCAGAATACCTGTGAAGAACACGCATGTCTACGCGTTTGTTGAGCATGGAAATGATTTAGGAAGCTCAAAGGACGTGAAGGGAAACCCGACAGCAGTCTACAGGAGAACGGGACAGGGTTCGTCCTACGGTGCAGGTGTGAAACTCGGTTTGGTCCGAGCTGAGTATGCTGTAGATCACAACAACGGAACTGGTGCTCTGTTCTTCCGGTTTGGAGAGAGGTATTAAGGTAATGGAGAAGTAAGTTAATGAAATCCACACCTTAGGCTTTCCATTTTCTATCGGAAGGATCTGCTATTTTTCCAGTCTTTTTTTCTTTTGTGGTTTTTTTTTTGTTTTGTTTCTACATCTTTTTCAATAATTGCTTAATGTTAGTGTTTGCTGACGTTGATGAGTTGTGCTAAGAATCGGGAAAGTGTTTCTTCTTCGTAAAGTTCATTGTTTGAAGTTAAACGTGTCCGTTAGAGACACTGATTTGAGTATTTTTGACATACATACGAAAAATTGAATCATAGATAGTATGACAAGCTGAGTAATGATGAGACTGAGACTTTGTATTGGTCCGACGTCTACTTGGATTATTTTGGATGAGATAGACCTCAAGGTCTGCAGGTTAATCGTGTCCCAATTAGCAATTCTCCTACGAACTTCCCGAAGACATGTCTCAGCCATATGAGCTTACGTAGATCGGTCGTGCCTTGAAATAGGTCATTGTCTGACGCTTCTAGCTAGGGTTTGTAGAAACCGTAACTCGGAGATGAAAGCAGGTAAATTACAAGAGTATCAGCGATTTTATATTACAAAGTCTACAACTCACATACATCACTAGTTACTTACATTGTGATGTTTACGTGTTGTGGGTCATTACTACATGTTTGTTTATTTATTTGTGTTGTGTTATTATGGAGCAAAAACACAGAACACATATAATAAGACCACAAACTCCAACTCCATGTGTGTGTCAGAACAAACAAACAACTTTCCTTTCTGGCATTTCTGACATAATATTTTTAGTCACTCTCTTCAGAAGCGTGGCTATCCAATACAATGGAAGGGTTACTAATCTAAAATGGAATATGAAAATAGAGAGAGATACTCTTAATTGTGAATATAGTCTTCTTTGGAAGATTGTGAAACTCCCATTGCCAATGAGATTTTAGTAATAATTGGGTCACTTATTTACATAAGAGAGAAAGAGAAATCGAGTCTAGAAATGGAGAATATAGAACATAAGAGAAGGATAGTGTTGGTTCCCCTTCCATTACAAGGACATGTAACCCCGATGATGCAGCTCGGAAAAGCCCTTACCTTAAAAGGCTTCTCAATCACAGTTGCTTTAGGGCAGCTCAATCCAGTAAGCTCATGGCAACACTTCCCTGGTTTTCAATTTATCACCATAACAGAAAGCTTACCGTTGTCTGAAATCGAGGCACTCGGACCTGTCGAGTTCTTGATAAAGAACAACAATACCAGCGAGGCAAGCTTCAAGGACTGTATAAGTCAGTTGTTGACACAACAAGGTAATGATATTGCATGTATCATCTACGACGATCTTATGTACTTTTGTGAAGCTGCAGCTAAGGAGTTTAAGGTTCCAAGTATTATCTTTAGTACTACTAGTGCTACACATAAAGCTTGCTTCTCTGTTTTAACCAAACTCAATCCCAAGAAGTTCTTGATTGACATGGAAGGTATCTAAAACGAGCTTATTACCCACCCATATTCTACATACAAACTCCTTTTGCTCAACATTTATATATTTGTTTTTACTTTGCAGATCTTGAATTACAGAACAAGTTAGTGGAAAATTTACATCCATTACGTTACAAAGACCTACCAATTGCAGGATTTGGACCACTAGATAGATTTGTGGAGCTTTGTAAGGAAGTACTCAACAGAAGAACATCTTCTGCTGTTATAGTTAACACAGTGAGTTGTCTAGAGAGCTTGTCTCTAACACGAATGCAACAAGATTTTGGAATTCCAGTGTACACATTAGGCCCTCTTCACATTACAGCTGCTTCAGCAACTTATAGTTTACTTGAAGAGGACAAGAGCTGCATTGAATGGCTGAACAAGCAGAAACCAAGGTCAGTTATATACATAAGCTTGGGAAGCATATTTGACATGGGAACTAAGGAAGTTTTAGAGATGGCTTGGGGGTTGTGTGATAGTAACCAACCTTTCTTATGGGTCATCCGAAATGGATACGAGTCATTGCCAGAGGAAGTCAGTAAGATGGTCTCAGAAAGAGGATACATTGTGAAATGGGCACCGCAGAGTGAAGTTCTTGCACATCCTGCAGTGGGAGGCTTCTGGAGCCACTGTGGATGGAACTCAACACTAGAGAGCATCGCGGAAGGAGTTCCAATGATCTGCAGGCCTTTTAACGGTGAGCAGAATTTAAACGCAGTGTATATAGAAAATGTTTGGAGAATAGGGATTCTACTTCAAGGTGAAGTGGAAAGAGGAGTAGTAGAGAGAGCTGTGAAGAAGTTGATCATGGATGATGAAGGTGTATTGATGAGGGAGAGAGCTATTGTTCTTAAAGAGAAGCTCATTTCTTCTGTAAGAAATGGAGGATCCTCATACAATGCATTGACTGAGCTTGTCAACCACTTGAACACAGATTGAAAAAAAAAGATGCTTATTAGACACTAGAAATCATAAAGTAAATCTGGTGATCTTCATGTAAACATAAAAGATTAAGCTTAATCTTGAAAATATTATTGTTTGTTTACGTATTATCCAAGTAAATAACAATTTAACTTAAAACACAGTTCTCCAAAACATTAACAGCAGCAAATAGATTAACATCTACACAAAATACGAGTCATCTCAAGATTAATTAGAAGATCAAAGTTATATCATTACAGATCTCAGACCAATCAGATGGTAAAGACATAATGTTACTATCCAACACGGCAACACGATATAATGTTATAGGTTAAAGAAGGCTAGGAAAACGAGGAATAGTACTTAACTCTCACACAAACATATAAAACCTTATTCATCGTTTTATTTTATATTAACCAAATATATTTTAGGCAATGATATGTACACCACCAGCCAAAAATACTTAATAATATACAAAATATTATCTTCACGGGCCACAGCCTTTGACCATGTCATAATTTGAGAATTATTGATGTTCCATGTGTGAACAACTTCATTGCCAAGAAAGAACAATAGGGACCTTCACTTTCACAGAAAGACTAATCTAAGCTAAGCACATGTGATTGTCTTATAATGTCACAGCAAGACTATTCTAATCTAAGGACATGTGATATGTCTTATAATGTGCAGAGAATCATATACAAATAATACAACTAAAACAAACAAAATTAGAGGAGTTTATTAGTTTAGCTGGTTTAGTTATTATCTAATTGTGTCAAAAGAAAAAATTCAGATCCTTGTGTGGCATATATAATATTCATTAGCGTGGCTCTCCAATACAATGGAAACTAACTACTTAAAGAATAAGAAAGGTTAACGAGGAACACGCGTAATTATTAATAATAAAAGTCATCTTTTGAAGATAATGTAACCTTCAATAATACTGATTTAAGTATCATTTAGAAATGAAGAAAAAATGAAATTTTGACAAACAAAATATTTGAAGCTCTTATGCATTGAGAGAGAGAAAAGAAATGGAGAAAAGTGCAACGAAGAGAAGGATAGTGTTGGTTCCTCTTCCGTTACATGGACATATCACTCCAATGATGCAACTCGGTAGAGTTCTTAACTTGAAGGGCTTCTCAATCACAGTTGCTCAGGTAGAGTCCAATCAAGTAAGCTCTTGGCAACACTCTTCTGGTTTTGAATTTTTCACTATACCAAAAAGCGTATCACTTTTTCAAGATGAAGCACTTGAACCAGTGGAGTATCTAATAAGGCTCAACAAAACCAACGAGGCGGGCTTCAAGGACTGTATAACTCAGTTGTTGATACAAGGAGGCAATGATATTGCATGTATCATATACGATGAGTTCATGTACTTTAGTGGAGCTGCAGCTACGGAGTTGAAGCTTCCTAGTCTCATCTTCAGCACTCAAACTGCTATACATAAAGTTTGCTGCTATGTTATAAGCAAACTCAATCCCAAGAAGTTCTTGATTGACATGCAAGGTACCAAAACCTAGCTTATTACCCATTATATATAAATCCGGTTCTTTAACTTTTGCTCAACATCATTTTTTTTTTTGACATTGTAGATCCTGAACTACAAAACAAGTTAGTGGAAAACTTGCATCCTTTAAGTTACAAAGACCTACCAACTGCAGGATTTGGGCCACTAGAAAGACTTATAGAGCTCATTAGAGAAATAGTCAACAAAAGAACAGCCTCAGCTGTTATTATCAACACTGTTACCTGTCTAGAGAGCTCGTCTTTGACAAGGCTGCAACAAGAAATCAGCATTCCGGTGTATCCATTAGGCCCTCTACACATTTCAGCTTCATCTTCGGGACCTAATTTACTAGAAGAGGACATGAGCTGCATCGAATGGCTGAACAAGCAAAAACCGAGGTCAGTCATATACATTAGCTTGGGGAGCATGGTACAAATGGAAACCAAAGAAGTGTTGGAGATGGCTTGGGGATTATGTAGCAGCAACCAGCCTTTCTTATGGGTAATCCGACCTGGCTCTATCGCAGGCTTCGAATGGATAGAGTCATTGCCAAAAGAAGTCATTAGGATGGTCTCAGAGAAAGGGTATGTTGTGAAATGGGCACCACAAATAGAAGTACTTGGACATCCTTCAGTGGGAGGCTTTTGGAGCCACTGTGGATGGAACTCAATACTCGAGAGCATTGCAGAAGGAGTTCCAATGATTTGCAGGCCCTTTCAAGGAGAGCAGAAGTTGAACGCTAAGTATATAGTAAGTGGTTGGAGTGTAGGGATTCATCTTGAAGGTGAAGTGGAAAGAGGAGAGGTTGAGAGAGCTGTGAAGAGATTGATTGTGGATGAGGAAGGCGCAGGCATGAGGGAGAGAGCCCTCGGTTTGAAAGAGAAAGTCAAAGCCTCTACTAGAAGTGGAGGCTCCTCATACAATGCATTGGATGAGCTTGTCACACACTTGAGCACATAGTAAAGTTGTTGAACTTCATGTACGTATCATAAGAGAGCATTGATTAATACGTATATCAAGCTTGATTTGTTATTCGAATTCTCGAATGCCTCTTTTATATATTACGTTACACGCATGTTGTTGTTTCTTATTTCACGAGGTAGTCGAAATATGACTTCCATTTTAATTTCCGAAGAAACATTATCTCACAAACCATACGTATCATCTGCATATAATTGCTACTGGCTAGACCAAAACATTGCAGAAACGCTTACAAGTGCTCTACAAACTCTAACAATGGTACGTCCATACAAGCATTTTGCATAAATTAATACTAGTCTAACCTAACCTAGCTAACTCTATACGGACAAAAAAATATGTCTATGCATGTAACCACTTTTGTTGAATATTTCGTGTTTGGTGACCTACGTCTATATGTATACTCTCTTTAGTCTTGCCATACTATCAATATCTTAGAAAATACAAAAAAAAACCTACCCAATGTCGCTAAAAGCCACCAATTCTTATTTGAGCTAAAAACAAACATACAAAGGAAACATAAAGTTTTCTTCCTTCTGTTGAAATGATTATTTAAATTTCCCACGAGGAACACTTACTATATAAAATGAAGATTTCAGAAATTTCCCAATGCAAATGGGATTTTCTAATTTCCTTCTAGTAGATGTCATAGGAAAAAAAGACACTTGGAATAGTTTAGTATCAAGACCAAGCTTTTGTTTGAATAGATCTTCTCAAACCCGAGACCAGAACATATTATATGGTCTCGTCCCAAGCACTATTAGAACTGGTGACCTCTAAGCTTTTGTTAGAGATCTTTACCAATTGCGTTATTAGCACTTGATTTGTTTGAATGTTACCTGGAAGGTTATATGCTAAAGAAAGACAGACAATGAGGGATTTTTTTTTTTTCTTCCCAGTAATTTAATCTATGCATGTGATGTCTCATGTACATGCATATAATATACAGTTACAATAGGCTTAATTCCTAAAGGAAAAGTAAAGCTAATGAAAACTTCAAGTAACAGAAGCAATATTCTAGCCTTGAATTTTATAGATCAAGCTTTACCATGAATAAGAGAGCAGTTTGTAGAAGAAACTAGAGCCTCTGTTAGAAATGGAGGTTCTTCACACAACTAGCTAGATGACTTTGTATACGATCATGAAGATTCTGTGAAGCAATCAGAATTTATCTCTATACACTACACCATATCTGCCAGTGGTGCTCTGCAACTCGGATACAATTTTTGGTTAAAGAAAGGTAAATGAGGAACACTTAATTCTTATGCAAACAGATAATAAATACTTTATTGTATATACTACCCGAAGTTACGAAATGTTTTGAGAGATACTGATGTAGCATGTGTTAAGATCTTCGTTGCCAAGTAAGTGATGTGTCAACCTTTATCTTCACAGCTAAGTAGTTGACTTGTTAGCATCGTATATAAAATTGTCTCTTTTGGGATATTGTGGAATTTTTCTTACACAAGTGGGATTTTAATAGAAGTACTTGGATCTCACTTATTGCATTTGAGAAGATAGAACAAAAAAAAGGGAGAGAAGGAGGTCAAGAAATGGAGAACAGAGCAGAGAAGAGAAGGATTGTGTTAGTTCCAGTAGCTGCACAAGGACATGTAACTCCAATGATGCAACTTGGGGTAGCCCTTCAGTTAAAAGGCTTCTCAATTACAGTTGCTAAAAGACAGTTCAAGCAAATAAGCTCTTCATTACAACATGTTCCTGGTTTTGACTTTGTCACCATACCAGAAAGCTCAGATATGTCTGAATTTAAAGGACTAGGACCAGCCGAGTTTCTGATGAAGCTTAACAAAACCAACGAGGCAAGTTTCAAGGAGTGTATAAGTCAGTTATTGCTGCAACAAGGCAATGATATCGCATGTATCATCTATGACAAGCTTATGTACTTTTGTGAAGCTGCAGCTAAAGAGTTCAAGCTTCCTAGTATCATCTTCAGTACTAGCAGTGCTACAATTCAAGTTTGCTACTGTGTCTTAAGTAAACTTGAGGCTGAGAAGTTCTTGATTGACATGAAAGGTGCCTAAGAGAGCTTGACGATCATTTCGCAATCGGTCAGTTCACTCATATTTTATTTCTTACTTTGCAGATCCTGAAATGCAAGACAAGGTGTTGGAAGGTTTGCATCCTTTAAGATACAAAGACCTACCAACTTCAGGATTTGGGCCATTAGAGCCACTTTTGGAGATGTGTAGGGAAGTAGTTAACACAAGAACAGCTTCCGCTATTATCATCAACACAGCAAATTCTCTAGAGAGCTCGTCTCTGTCTTGGCTGCAACAAGAACTCGGAATTACAGTGTATCCGTTAGGCCCTCTTCATATTACAGCTTCATTGCCGGGACCAAGTTTACTGCAAGAGGACAGGAGCTGCGTTGAATGGCTTAACAAGCAAACACCAAGATCAGTCATATACATAAGTTTGGGAAGCAAAGCTCACATGGAAACCAAAGAGATGTTAGAGATGGCTTGGGGATTGTCGAATAGCAAACAACCTTTCTTATGGGTAATCCGACCAGGTTCTATCCTTGGCTCCGACGGGATAGAGTCATTGCCAGAGGAGATTAGTAAGATGGTTTTAGAAAGAGGATACATAGTGAAATGGGCACCGCAGATAGAAGTACTTGCCCATCCTGCAGTGGGAGGCTTCTGGAGCCACTGTGGATGGAACTCAACACTCGAGAGCATCGTGGAAGGAGTCCCAATGATTTGCAGACCATTACAAGGCGAACAGAAGTTAAATGCTATGTATATAGAAAGTGTTTGGAGAATAGGGATTCAACTTGAAGGTGAAGTGGAAAGAGGATGTGTAGAGAGATCTGTGAAGAGATTGATCATGGAGGAAGAAGGTGCAGGCATGAGGGAGAGAGCCCTTGTTTTAAAAGAGAAGCTCAAAGCCACAGTGACAAGTGCAGGCTCATCATATAACGCATTGAATGAGCTTGTCAAGGACTTGAAAACACAGTGAAACTATTACACAATTCATGTATTTATTTTCAAGCTTGTTGTTCTTTCTTACCTAGCTAGGTCTTTGAAAATTCGAATAAACATGTCACAAAAAAACGTATCTGCATTATGTTGTTATACCAGTCTCCAAAACCACTCAGAAACTTTATAACTGCTACAAACTCAAAAGCACCACCAAAGCATTCTTTTTGAAATGAGAATTTCTACATTAGTCGAAACGTGTAATAATTGCAACCAAGATTGGAGAATTTAGCCATTTTTAAAGGATATTTTAAGAAGGTGCATACATGAGGAAAAGAGCCATTGTTTTAAAAGAGAAGCTCAAAGCTTCTGTAAGAATTGGAGGCTCCTCATACTTCTTGGGGAAAGAGTGAAGAAGCTTTGAATTTATAAGATCAAGCTTGATCTTGCAAATTTTACAGTGCTAAAATTTGTAATTTTACATGCCTCTTTTGGAAACAAAATAAAAGATGGGATTTTGAGGCTTACCAGTAATTCCTCCCAAAGACTCTTTGCCATTTCTTGTCTAAAGGCACAAGCTTCCCAGTTCTTGAAAATGTTCCCTGACAACACCAAATACAGTTTTAATAAAAGGATCAATAAACGGAAGTGTGACCATTCTCGCACTTTACAGCGCAAGTTTTAAACTAGAGGGAATCTATGAGTATAAAAAAGACAGATTCACAAGTTGCATATGTTAATTTCTGTTTTAACATCATTCACAAATTCACCTGCAGAATAATAAAGCATGCTATGTATAAATAAGATCATACTCACTAGTCACCACAACCTAAGTCTCCTCAAAGTTGACAACATATAACAGAGAATAATAACACTATGATACAGCAGATGGTCTTCTAACTATATGGCAGTGGGGGTATGAATTCTTAATTCTTAAAAAAATATGCTCTTACTAAGCATTTACTTGTATACCACAAACATTAAGGTATGAATCAGATATGCCACAATGAAGGATTTCAAGAACTTGGTCTAGGAATGTGGACTCTTAGATTGACACAAAAACAAATTAAAGAATGTGAACTTTTGGGGCACATGTGGGTGGGTTGTTACAGTAATAAAAAGACGTAGTTGTCACATGTGGAACAGTTGCCTATATAATATGGCATATATTGGAAGCTAGTGGAATTTTCCAATAATGACAATTATATGGGTCACTTATATTTAATGTTTTTCTGTAATAAGAGAGAAAGGGGGAAACAAAGAAAGAGAGATAGAAGTCAAACAATGGAGAAGAATAGGATAGTGTTAGTTCCGGTTCCAGCACAAGGGCATATAACCCCAATGATGCAACTTGGAAAAGCACTTTACTTGAAAGGCTTCTCCATTACAGTTGTTGAGGGACAATGCAATCGAGTAAGCTCTCCTTCTCAACACTTCCCTGGTTTTCAATTTGTTACCATGCCAGAGAGCTTACCAGAGTCTGAATTCGAGAGACTTGGGGTATTCAATTTTACGTTGGAGATCAACAAAACAGGTGAGACAAGCTTCAAGGACTGTATAAGACAACTGTTGCAGGAGCAGGGCAATGATATATCATGTATCATTTATGACGAGTTCATGTACTTCTGTGGAGCTGTAGCTACGGAATTAAAGCTCCCCAATGTCATGTTGTGCACTCAAAGTGCTACAAACCACGCTGCACGCTGTTTTTTTAGCAAACTCAATGTCGAGAAGTTCTTGGTCAACATGGAAGGTGCTCATCTAGCTTAATAACCAATCTTGAAACCACTAAATTTCACTTAATATGGTTTCTCTTTTGACTTTGTAGATCCTGACCTACAAGACAAGGTGGTAGAAAATTTGTATCCATTAAGATATAAAGATCTCATGCCTTCGGGATATGGGCCAATAGAATCACTTTTAGAGTTTCGTGGGGAAGCAATCAAGAAAAGAACAGCTTCAGCTGTCATCTTTAACACGGCGAGATGTCTAGAGAGCTTCTCTATGTCATGGTTGCAACAAGAACTCGGAATTCCAGTGTACCCTTTAGGCCCTCTTCACATTACAGCATCAGCGCCGGGATCTAGTTTAGCTGAAGATGACATGAGTTGCATTGAATGGCTGAACAAGAAGAAACCGAGATCAGTCATATACGTAAGCGTGGGAACCATATCTCTAATGGAATCCAAAGAAGTGTTGGAGATGGCTTGGGGGTTGTGTAACAGCAACCAACCTTTTTTATGGGTCATCCGACCGGGTTCTATCCTTGGCTTCAGTGGGATAGATTCATTCCCAAAAGAAGTCAGTAAAATGGTCTCAGAAAGAGGATACATAGTGAAACGAGCACCGCAAATAGAAGTACTAGGACATCCTGCAGTGGGAGGCTTCTGGAGCCACTGTGGATGGAACTCGACACTCGAGAGCATCGTGGAAGGAGTTCCAATGATTTGCAGACCTTTTACCAGCGAGCAGAAGATAAACGCAATGTATTTGGAGAGTGTTTGGAATATAGGGATTCAACTTGAAGGTGAAGTTTTAAGAGGAGCTGTCGCGAGAGCTGTGAAGAGATTGATTGTAGATGAAGAAAGTGTAGGGATGAAGGAGAGAGCCCTCAGTTTGAGAGAGAAGCTTAAAGTCTCTGTAACAGGTGGGGGCTTCTCATACAGCGCATTGGATGAGCTTGTCGAGCACTTGAAGAGAGAGTGAAGAAGTGAAACTTCATATATTATTAGAGATCATTGTATTGTATGGAACAAGCTTGATCTTGCAAAGTTTACAAAGTACAATTTTTTTTTTTTTAATGAAATAAAAAGAATTGAAGTCAGATACAATAATATCTTTTGGCAGTTTACTTAAGATAGAATTGATACAGCAGAAAATGACAATTCTTGGGTCTGGACCATCTTTTAATATGAAGCCAAAGTCGGCAAGAGAAGGAGGAAGACAAACCCATGTTTTCTTTTCTTTGGTTACCAAGATAGAGTGACATAACAATCTCACCGAGTAAATAGAGCCAAGAAAAACATAATACGGATGAATTAATGTCCACAAGTCTGCGAATCTGTTTTTTATTCAGAAATGTATTCCTTGTAATAAATCTCATAGATCGGTCACTGTGTAGAAACCAAATTCGTGAACACAGGGCAGAAAGATATTTTTTAGTTGTTCTTGTAGGTGTTTGTAATGGAGGAAAAGCCGGCGAGGAGAAGGGTATTGCTGGTTCCAGTTCCAGCTCAAGGACATATATCTCCAATGATGCAACTTGCAAAAAGCCTTCACTTGAAGGGTTTCTCAATCACAGTTTATCAGACCAAGTTCAACTACTTTAGCCCTTCAGATGACTTCACTGATTTTCAGTTTGTCACTATTCCAGAAAGTTTACCGGAGTCTGATTTTAAGAATCTCGGGCCAGTAGAGTTTCTGCTTAAGCTCAACAAAGAGTGTCAGGTGAGCTTCAAGGCATGTTTGGGTCAGTTGCTTCTGCAAAAGAGTGATGAGATCTCATGTCTAATCTTCGATGAGTTCATGTACTTTGCCGAAGCTGGGGCCAAAGAGTTTAATCTTCCAAACGTCATTTTTAGCACACAAAGTGCCACGGCTTTTGTTTGTCGCTCTGTGTTTGACAAACTCTATGCAAAAAATGTCCTGGCTCCCTTGAAAGGTAATCTATAATTCTCTGCTTCAGAGTTTCCGTAAGCGCCTAAATCTTGTAACATTATTGGCTTTTTACCTTTCCGCAGAACCAAAAGAACAACAAGAAGAGCTAGTGCCAGAGTTTTATCCCCTGAGATACAAAGATTTTCCGGTTTCACGATTTGCATCATTAGAAAGCGTAATGGAAGTGTATAGGAATTCAGTCGACCAAAGGACAGCTTCCTCTGTCATAATCAACACAGCGACTTGTCTAGAGAGCTCATCTCTAACTTTTCTGCAACACCAACAGCTAGAAATTCCATATTATCCTATAGGCCCTCTTCACATGGTGGCCTCAGCTCCTACAAGTCTGCTTGAAGAGAACATGAGCTGTATCGAATGGTTGAATAAACAAAAGGTAAACTCGGTATATACATAAGCCTGGGAAGCTTAGCTTTGATGGAAATCAATGAGGTGATGAATATGGCTTCAGGATTGGCTGCTAGCAACCAATACTTTTTATGGGTGATCCGACCAGGTTCAGTACCTGGTTCAGAATGGACAGAGTCCTTGTCTGATGAGTTTAGTGAAATGGTTTCGGATCGGGGTTACATAGTGAAATGGGCACCGCAGAAGGAAGTACTTGCTCATCCTGCAGTAGGAGGGTTTTGGAGCCATTGTGGATGGAATTCCACACTAGAAAGCCTCGGCGAAGGAGTTCCCATGATCTGCAGGCCATTTTCCAGTGATCAAATGGTGAACGCGAGGTACTTGGAGTGTGTTTGGAAAATTGGGATTCAAGTGGAGGGTGAGCTGGTCAGAGGATCGGTCGAGCGGGCTGTGAAGAGGTTAATGGCGGAAAAAGAAGGAGAGGAGATGAGAAAGAGAGCTCTCACTTTGAAAGAAAAACTGAGAGCCTCCATTACAAGTGGAGGTTCTTCACACAACTCGCTGGAGGAGTTTGTACACTTCATAAGAAGTCTGTGAAGATTGTTGTCTCTACTAAAACACCCAACACATCAAGATTCCTTTTTCAACTATTCAAAGTTGCTTTTAGAGAAAGTATCATATCCTACAAAATCTAAGTGATGCCAAAATGTATTTGGAAAATGAATGAAAAGTGTTGGAGGAATGAATGAACAAAACACAGTTCATTTCTCTTGAGGTTCACAATCAGTCAATCACTCTATGTTTTAGCTAACATCTACAAATAGAATCACTATAAACCTCATTACCATTAAAAAAAAATGACCATAAACTATTGCCTAATTCTAGAGACTACTAAGATACATGAAGATAAAGGAACAAAAGAAATGTATCAACTCACTTTTTCAATAAGTTACTGCAGTCTGTTTCCATATCCACCATCTTCCCTGAATCAATACTTGCCAAGACACTGTCTCCCACGACATTTCCGAAGACTGTGACGAATCTCCTCTTCTTCGTGAGGCATCAATCGAAAAGTGTATGTATTTTGCAGTATCTAAATGCTTTCATATAACAGAAAAGACACTTTCTCTCAATCACATAACGTATAGATTATATTTTTCGATTGAAGGCTCACGAAGAAGAGGAGATTCCTGGTTGGTATTTTTGAACATTCCTCACAAACTCACCTGCAGAATAACAAAATAATAAAGATTAGTACTGACCCCAACCTAAGTGAGTTCCAAAAGATGACAACATGTAAACGAGAATAACACAGCTACACTGCAGATTGTCTCTGAACATATATAGCTAATATGAACCAGCTACACTGCAACTCACTGTTCCTCCGACTATGTAACCCAGATCAAGTTAAATACAGAGCTGGAAAGGCCCTTCAGCTCTTCCATACATAAAACATAAACACCAACAAGTATATGCAATCATCAAGAAGTTTCAATTCTAAGAAAGTTCAGAACTTTGCTCCGATTTAAGAAACTACAAAGGTACCTCTTTTATCTTTTCGTTGACTCAGATTCTCTCCGGCTTCTCTAGCGAGAGTCGTCGAGTGGGATTCTCTCCGGCTACGACGGTCCAAAACCACCGCAAATTGTGGCAGGTGGGTCTGGTTAGTGCAAAACCGATCAAGGTTGGGTTTTGTTTTTTTTGGAGGAAGGCGAGGAGATTGTGTGAACCGAATGTTCCGGTTTTTCTAAAAACGCTCCTCTGGATTTCTGGTTTAGTTTATTAACCAGTTAACCAGCGCGTGTTTTCCGGTTATTTTCTTTTTAATTTGTGTGAAAATTCGTAATACATTCTTTTGTTCAGCAAGAAAAACTCGTAATACTTAAATCATATACCAACCCTTTGAAGATTGGAGAACCATATGTGACTTTTTGAAGTAAATATATTGTAATAGTATGTATACCAACTCTTTGGACTTTTACAGAATAATTGCACCAAATTTAGAAATTTTAACAAATGAGGAAATTTTGTCATCTATTTGATAATGACATTTTAATTATATTATCTAAATCTCCAAAACAAAACCAAAAAATCACCAACTCTTATGTGAGACAAAACAAACCAACCAAACTCCCTTAACGTGTAACCATGTTAATAAGAGTAGTTGCCACACGAGGAAGACTTAAACTATATAATATTTGCATATTTGGATGATTACGGAAACTTTTCAATTGCAAGTGGGATTTTAATAATAATTTCAATCAGCTATTTAGATGTGTTTTCCGCATTGAGAGAAAGAGGCTAAGCAATGGAGAAAAGAGAAGCCAAGAGAGGAAGGATAGTGTTAGTTCCAATACCAGCACAAGGTCATGTTACTCCTATGATGCAACTTGGGAAGGCCCTTTACTCCGAGGGCTTCTCCATTACAGTTGTTGAGGGACACTTCAATCAAGTAAGCTCTTCTTCCCAAAGCTTCCCAGGTTTTCACTTTGTCACCTTAAAAGAAAGCTTACCAGAGTCCGAACTCGAAAGACTCGGAGGAATCGAGTTTATGATAATGCTCAACAAAACCAGTGAGGCTAGCTTCAAGGACTATATAGCTCAGTTGTTGCTGCAACAAGGCAACGATATTTCTTGCATCATCTACGACGAGTACATGTACTTTAGTGGAGCTGCAGCTAAGGAGTTTAACCTTCCAAGTGTCATCTTCAGCACTCAGTGTGCTACAAATTATGTTTCACGTTGTATACGAAGCAAACTCAACGCTGACAAGTTCTTGGTCGACATGGAAGGTGCCCAAAACAATATAAATAACCTATCCCGAAACCATTCGTTTTCACTTAAACTTTGGTATATATTTTTTCAGATCCTGGAATGCAAGAAAAGGTGGTGGAAAATTTGTATCCTTTAAGATACAAAGACCTGCCAATTTCAGGAATGGGGCCACTCGAACATGTTTTTGAGCTCTGTAGGGAAGTAGCCAACAAAAGAACAGCTTCCGCTGTTATCATCAACACGGTGAGCTGTCTAGAGAGTTCGTCTCTGTCATGGATGAAACAAAAACTTGGAATTCCGATATACCCTATAGGCCCTCTTCACATGACAGCTTCCCCACCTGCTAGTATAATTGAAGAGGACATGAGCTGCATTGAATGGCTAAACAAGCAGAAACCGAGGTCAGTCATATACATAAGTGTGGGAACCGTAGCTCAAATGGAAACCAAGGAAGTGTTGGAAATGGCTTGGGGGTTGTGTAATAGCAACCAACCTTTTCTATGGGTCATCCGACCAGGTTCAATCCTTGGCACTAACGGGATAGAATCATTGCCAGATGAAGTCCATAAGATGGTCTCCGAAAGAGGATACATTGTAAAACGGGCACCGCAACTAGAAGTACTTGGACATCCTGCAGTGGGAGGCTTCTGGAGCCACTGTGGATGGAACTCAGTACTGGAGAGCATTGCAGAAGGAGTTCCAATGATTTGCAGGCCCTTTCATGGCGAGCAGAAGTTGAATGCAATGTGTATAGAACGTGTTTGGAGAATAGGGTTTCAGATGGAAGGGAAAGTTGATAGAGGAGAGGTTGAGAGAGCTGTGAAGAAGTTGATCGTAGACGAAGAAGGTGCCGGGATGCAGGAGAGAGCCCTTGTTCTAAAAGAGAAGCTCAAAGCCTCTGTGAAAAGTGGGGGTACCTCATACAACGCCTTGGATGAGATTGTCGAGTACTTGAAGACAAAGTAAAATTTTCAACTTCATGTATTATTAGAGACAATTGAACTGTATTACCAAAGCTTGATCTTTCAAAATTTACAAAGTTCATGTTCATTGGCAGAAACTCATTGTTCAAAGCAATCAGAGACACACAATTTGTCAATAATTTATCTTCCATTGCAGACAAGGGAATCACCATTAAATCAAGGATGTTAAATATAAGATGTAACATGCATCAAATTTAAGTAATAAAATAGCCTCTGCCCTTAAATGTAACTTAAGCAAAAGTTGGCTGCAAATGCTCTGAAATTGTATAAATCAAACTTGTTCTAGCAAGATTTACAAAGTAGAGACTTGGTTTACTTTCTAAGCAAAATTTACAAATCAAATACTACTAGTTAGCTCAAGATTCATAGAACTGTTGCATCACGAACAAAAAAAAAAAGACTATTTGGGACATCTTATTAAATGAAACAAGAGTGCGAGGTGGAGGACCAAGAAGACAGAAGAGGTCTTTCTTCCGTCGTAGGTTACTCTCTACCAAGATAATTAAACTGTTGTCGCTTCATCGTACTAGCAGACACTATCTACCACAAGCTTCACATGTGGGAGAGCTAGCCAACAAAACATGATACGGAATGAATTTACGTCCACAAGTCAGGAAGTCTCATATTTATATCAGAAAGATACTTCTTTGTATAAATATCGTTAAGACATTCAAAGAAGTTGGAGCAGAGTTACCATAACTTGCAAAGCACGGTGGTGAGAGAACTGTTTCTTAGCTATTCTTGCTGGTCTTCAAAATGGAAGGAAAACAGGTGACCAGAAGACTAGTCCTGGTTCCAGTTCCAGCTCAAGGACATATAACTCCAATGATGCAACTAGCGAAGATCCTTTACTTGAAGGGCTTCTCAATCACAGTTGTTCAGACAAAGTTCAATCGTTTTATTCCTACAGATGACTTCATTGATGTTCATTTTGTCACCATCCATGAAAGCTTGCCGGAGTCTGATTTCAAGAATCTCGGACCAATACGGTTTCTGCTTAAGCTCAACAAAGAGTGTCAGGTGAGCTTCAAGGACTGTTTGGGTCAGTTACTTCTGCAACAAAGTAATGAGATCTCATGTATCATCTACGATGAGTTCATGCACTTTGCTGAAGCTGCAGCCAAAGAGTTTAATCTTCCAAACGTCATTTTTAGCACACAAAGTGCCACGGCTTTTAAATGTCGCTCTATGTTTGGCAAACTCTATGCAAACAATGTCTTGGCTCCTCTAAAAGGTAACATATTAATTCTCTGTTTTAGTGTTTTCAAAACGGGCAATAATGTTGTAACATTATAGGCTCTTTCACCTTTACGCAGGACCAAAAGAACAACAAGAAGAGTTAGTGCCAGAGTTTTATCCCCTGAGATACAAAGACTTTCCGGTTTCACGATTTGCATCATTAGAAAGCGTAATGGAAGTGTATAGGAATTCAGTCGACCAAAGGACAGCTTCCTCTGTGATAATCAACACAGCGACTTGTCTAGAGAGCTCATCTCTAAATTTTCTGCAACACCAACGGCTAGAAGTTCCATATTATCATATAGGCCCTCTTCACATGGTGGCCTCAGCTCCTACAAGTCTGCTTGAAGAGAATATGAGCTGTATCGAATGGTTGAATAAACAAAAGGTAAACTCGGTAATATACATAAGCCTGGGAAGCTTAGCTTTGATGGAAATCAATGAGGTGATGAATATGGCTTCAGGATTGGCTGCTAGCAACCAATACTTTTTATGGGTGATCCGACCAGGTTCAGTACCTGGTTCAGAATGGACAGAGTCCTTGTCTGATGAGTTTAGTAAAATGGTATCGGATCGGGGTTACATAGTGAAATGGGCACCGCAGAAGGAAGTACTTGCTCATCCTGCAATAGGGGGGTTTTGGAGCCATTGTGGATGGAACTCAACACTAGAAAGCATCAGCGAAGGAGTCCCCGTGATTTGCAGGCCATTTTCGGGTGATCAAAAGGCGAACGCGAGGTACTTGGAGTGTATTTGGAAAATTGGGATTCAAGTGGAGGGTGAAATGGACAAAGGATCAGTCGAGAGAGCTGTGAAGAGGTTAATGGTGGACGAAGAAGGACAGGAGATGAGGAAGAGAGCTGTAAGTTTGAAAGAAAAACTGAGAGCCTCTGTTATAAGTGGAGGTTCTTCACACAACTCGCTGGAGGAGTTTGTACACTTCATAAGAAGTCTGTGAAGATGGTTGTCTCTAGCTACTTTTTAAGTCCATGATTCCATCTTCTTCGGATAACTTGTTCACTACATAGACAAATATATTTATCTTTACATTCTAAGAACACTTCAAATCTAAATAATATGATAGTTTCTGCTCTTGACATTGCTCTCAGTAGCCTTCCAACCGTACCTTAATCCATTCCATTTCTTGTATTTTTTGTGTTAGATTTGATCTACAGCTCACTAACTCCGGTTCAACTATAAAAAAAATGTTTTAGGGTATACCTTTAGGTGGCTACCACCAACTCTCATACGATACAAAACAAAAGAAACCAAAAAATAAGTAAACACGTTTTTCTTGGAGTTAATGTCACTTTCTTCCTTCTACTAAATGCCAAAGCAAACACACAGGCGGACGCAAGTAGAAGAGTATGGGTCAGTTGACTGAACCCATTGAAGAAATTCAGCTTTCGTATGGTTTAAGTTACAATAAGCTAATGTTCTTCTAATCTATGCAAACAATGTCCTGGCTACCTTGAAGGGTACTCTAAAATTAGTTTCGGGTTTCCCCTAGTGTCTATAATGTTATATCAATAAGGTTTTAACCTTTTCGCAGAACTCAAAGGACAACATGATGAGCTAGTTCCAGATTTTCATCCCCTAAGATACAAAGAATTTCCAGTTTCACGATTTGCATCATTAGAAAAGCACAATGGAACTGTATAAGAATACAGTTGACAAACGTTCCTCTGTGATAATCAGCACAGAAAGCTGTCTAGAGAGCTCATCTCTGTCTTTTCTGTATCCTATAGGCTCCTACAAGTCTGCTACGAGCCTCCATTACAAGTGGAGGTTCTTACAAGTCTGTGAAGGCTATTGACTCAACTTGAAAACCCAAAACATCAAAATTCCTTTTTAAACTATTCCATATTTTGTTTCTCTTTAGCCAAAGATATGCACACTCTCTCCCAACGGGTGCAGTGATTGTAGTACCTAAACCCACCACACAAACCCAATATATTTCAGAAAGTATCATGTCCTAAAAACCTATGATATGCAACCTTTTACATGCATATATAATGACTGATTGAAAATTCTTGAAAGAGATATGAATGAACAAAGCACATGTCATTTCTCTTGTCACAAATCACAATCACTCTAGTTTTAGCTATCATCGTCAATCCGATCAGTATATATATCATTACAGAAAAGTTACCATAAATCTTGTCTAGCTTTAGAAACTAACATAAATGAACACAAAGGAACAAAAGAAATGGAGCAACGACTCACTTTTTTAATACGCGTCGCAGTCTGTTGTCAAACCTGTCTGCTTGCCAGGACACTGTCTGCTACGACATTTCAGAAGCCTGAAAAATCTCCTCCTCCGCATTGGGCGTGAATTAAAAAGATCATTTTGGTGTCTTTGATTTCATCTGACAGAATACACATGATGCTTGTTGATCATTTTTCTCCAAATCACATAATATATAGATTCCATATGTAACAAGCATGATCTAGCTCACATATTGGCTCATATCGCAATCCTACCGTAAGCTTCTCATCCTGCTTCCAAGCTATCCACTCTTTGGCAATTCATCCTTAGCTGAGTCAACAGATCATTGTTGTGCACAAAAGTAAACAACAGGAACATGTAGAGCAACAAGTAATGATTACCAGCGAAAAGAAGCCGATATCTCCAAGAGATAAACTCGTTGATTTTCATATATCAAGTCCATGATTCCATATTCTTCAGATAATTATTCACTACAGAAACAAATATCTTTATCTTTACATTGTTAAATTATAAGAAAACATCAAATCTAAGAAATATGATAGCCTCTGCCCTTAAATGTAACTTAAGCAAAAATGGGCTGCAAATGCTCTGATACCATATTTAGGATACCAACTAGATGACATCATTAGTAGCTACTGTTATGATGACAAAGACAAGAATTATATATGAAGATGAAATCCTAGTATACATGAAAAGTATCAAAAAGTTGATGGATTTGAACGAAGAGGTCCACAAAAGCATGCAGACCATCTTAACATTCGACAAAAAAAAAAAAAATTGAGCAGTATTCTAATTAGTCTACTCCGCAAACCAATTTTTTCCAAATAAAAAACAATTTGAATCAAGTACAAGTATTCTTTATTCAGTTCCCTCAGAAAAGAATGATCTTTCATGGCAGTTTTGTGGTAAAACATGTTCATTTCCAAGCCAAAGAAGTCCTGCTAATAACTGATTTGATGTATGTTTGTAAAGTATGCATTGTCATCAGGTGAAGGAATGTGATATCTATACATATAAACCTATTGGAAAAGTATCAAAGATCCAAGCTTTCATTATGTTTGATTATCTCTATAGTTTAGATAGAATCGCAAGTTTCTCCCAAAGACTCTTTAGCTTACCTAGTGTTAGTTAGAGGCCAGTTGTTAAAGATCTCTAAAGAAGTCCCCTGTCAGCACCAAAATACACAAAGGATTAGTGAAACATCTCTCACACACGAAAATGTAGACTAACAAAGGATTGAATATAAAGAAAGAAAGAGGTTGCATCTACTACTGATTTGGTATTAGAACATCTCTAACAAACTCACCTGCAGAATAATTGAAGTGAGATATGTATAAAGATTATATTGACCGCACAACCTAAGTGTCGAGTTCCATAGTAGAACACAGACAGCTACACAACATATCGTCGCTACCTACAGAGCAATGACCCAGCTTCTCCTCTTACATAGGGAGTAAGATTTTTTATCATACAAGTTCCAATTCCAAGAAAGTTCAAAACTTGCTCCTCTTACAGCACTGACTTTGATTTGACTTAATAAAACTAAAAACAAAGAAACAACTTTTGTATTAAAACTGAAAAGTTACCTCTTTTTATCACCAGCGGAGGAGTTGCGACGGTCTAAGCCCATCGGAAATTGCCGCATTTGTGTCCCCCGGTTAGTGCCAAAACCGATAAAGGAGGAATTTTGGAGGAGAAAACGAAAATTTCTCGTACTTATTCGTAAACTATTCCTCAGGATTTCCGGTTTAGGCTAACCAAAGTGAATTTTCCAGTTCGTACAGCTTGCCACCAAGGTGCAAGAGCATCTCCCATGGTTAGCCATTTGGAAGGTGCTTACAAATTTTTTTTGCATTAAATTTTTAAAAATAAATTCATAAGCAACTCTATTTTGATGTTGAAAAATTTGGTGGTCCAATGATATGACTCTTACTGAAGTACTTAAAAACAAAATTTAATTTAATTTGAATATTATCATATTTTAAGTATATAAAAATAAAAATAAATAGAAACATTTATTATAATTTATAAAAGAAAACAAGTTATTGCATACTATAAAATATTTAAAACATGACATAAAATTATATACGAAAGCATACAAATTAAAAACAAAATAAGACTAGTTGTAATATTGATTTGTGTCAAATTACAAGGAAAAATATTTTTTTTGTTTATATATTTTTTCACTCACCTTACTCATATTTTGACATGTCAACGGCCCTTAGCCTTTGCTTAAATTGATTTAAGCTACAAGGCTTATGTTTTGTAATTGATTTTGCATTAAATATAATGCAATTAATATAAGCAATGTGTTAAGCATTGCATTAAGCATGGTCTAAAGTGTTCGATAAAGCTTATATTCTGTCTGTGGCTTGCTCAACATGAGATATGGTTATTTCGGTTTGGGACCTCTTACTAAGACTATGTTGCAGGTCTTATAGCCAGTCCCCCAACTTTTTTGGCCAAAAAAATAATAAAGAATTTTCATGGGTCGTTTCTTTAAACGAGACCGTCTTTTCTCCATTCGGGAATCCCACTGACACGTGGCAACCCGCGATTGGTTACTTTTTTTTTTTTTTTTTTTTTAGTTCTGAAAAAAAGAAAAAAAAAAAAAAAATTGGGACTAAAACTGGTCCAGAGATGCCCATGCCCTAAAATGATGATAGGATAGGACGACCACGTACACCACCTACCACATACAAGCTTCACATGTGGAAATTAATGTCCACAGATTTATATCAAAAAAATATTATTTTTTTATGTATAAAGATTACTTATTTTAGAAAGATAAACACAAATCTTTATAGAGTGTACATCATGCAGCATCGAATCTAGTAAGACTATAAGACAAAACAAAACAAACAAAAAAGATATAAAGAAGGAAACGTTTTTTCTTGGGGATGAATGTCACTTCCTTCCTTCAATAATAATAGTTATATAGAGACGTTACGCATTGCAACATGAAAAGATAGGAAGAGAATTAGAAGTTAAGCAATGGAGAAAAGGGAAGCAAAGAGAAGGATAGTGTTAGTTCCAATACCAGCACAAGGTCATGTTACTCCAATGATGCAACTTGGGAAAGCCCTTTACTCGGAGGGCTTCTCCATTACAGTTGTTGAGGGACACTTCAATCAAGTAAGCTCTTCTTCTCATCAATGCTTCCCTGGTTTTCACTTTGTCACCTTAAAAGAAAGCTTACCAGAGTCTGAATTCGAAAGACTCGGAGGAATCGAGTTTATGATAATGCTCAACAAAACCAGTGAGGCTAGCTTCAAGGACTATATAGCTCAGTTGTTGCTGCAACAAGGCAACGATATTTCTTGCATCATCTACGACGAGTACATGTACTTTAGTGGAGCTGCAGCTAAGGAGTTTAACCTTCCAAGTGTCATCTTCAGCACTCAGTGTGCTACAAATTATGTTTCACGTTGCGTTTTAAGCAAACTCAATGTCGACAAGTTCTTGGTCGACATGGAAGGTGCCCAAAACAATATAAATAACCTATCCCGAAACCATTCGTTTTCACTTAAACTTTGGTATATATTTTTTCAGATCCTGGAATGCAAGAAAAGGTGGTGGAAAATTTGTATCCTTTAAGATACAAAGACCTGCCAATTTCAGGAATGGGGCCACTAGAACATGTTTTTGAGCTCTGTAGGGAAGTAGCCAACAAAAGAACAGCTTCCGCTGTTATCATCAACACGGTGAGCTGTCTAGAGAGCTCGTCTCTGTCATGGATGGAACAAAAACTTGGAATTCCGATATATGATATAGGGCCACTTCATATGACAGCTCCCCCACCTTCTAGTGTACTTGAAGAGAACACGAGATGCATTGAATGGCTGAACAAGCAGAAACCGAGGTCAGTTATTTACATAAGTGTGGGAACCGTAGCTCAAATGGAAACCAAGGAAGTGTTGGAAATGGCTTGGGGGCTGTGTAATAGCAACCAACCTTTTCTATGGGTTATCCCTGGCAATAACGGAATAGAGTCATTGCCAGATGAAGTCAATAAGATGGTCTCAGAAAGAGGATATATTGTGAAACGGGCACCGCAGATTGAAGTGCTTGGACATCCTGCAGTGGGCGGATTCTGGAGCCACTGTGGATGGAACTCAGTTCTGGAGAGCATTGCAGAAGGAGTTCCAATGATTTGCAGGCCCTTTCATGGCGAGCAGAAGTTGAACGCAATGTGTATAGAACGTGTTTGGAGAATAGGGTTTCAGGTGGAAGGTAGTAAAGTGGATAGACGAGAGGTTGAGAGAGCTGTGAAGAAGTTGATCATAGACGAAGAAGGTATCCGGAAGCAGGAGAGAGCCCTTGTTTTAAAAGACAAGCTCAAAGCCTCTGTGAAAAGTGGGGGTGTCTCATACAACGCTCTGGATGAGCTTGTCAAGTACTTGAAGACAATGTAAAGATGTTCAACTTCATGTATTATTGTATTGATCAAGCTTGGTCATGCAACATTTACAAAGCACGGGTGTTTTTTTTTTCGTATGCAAGTAAGAAAATAAAGTCCTAGACTCCTAGTATCTCTCTTTGCATGTTGCATCACAATAAAAAGACAATTTTTCTGTTTGGGACATTTTAGGAAATGAAACATTTGTATTTGATTACTCTCTAACAAGATAAAGAGAAGTAACTCCTCGCATACACCATCAAACAAGTATGAGAATCTGATATTTATATCAGAAAGATACTTCTTTCAAGAAAATATCATAAACATTCAAAGAAGCTGAGGACCATAGTAATATTTCGTAGTTGTTCGTGCAGATTTTGGAAATCGGAGAGGAGCCAGCGAGGAGAAGACTAGTGTTGGTTCCAATTCCAGCTCAAAGACATATATCTCCAATGAGATCTCATGTCTTATCTACTATGAGATCTCTTTTTTGTTACTATAGCATAGTTCATGTACTTTACTGAAGCTGCAGCCAAGGGTTTTAACTTAAAACTTTTAAGCTTCCAAACTTCATATTTAGCACAACAAGTACCATTGCTTTTACTTTTCACTCTGTGTTCAACAAAATCTATGCAAATAGTGTCTTGGCTTCCTTATAATGCACTCTGTTTTGAATTTCCCCTAGTGTCTATAATATTGTGTCACTACGACGGCTTTAACCTTTTCGCAGAGTCCAAAAGAAAACAAGATGAGATAGGGCCACAGTTTCATCGCCTGAGATGCAGAAACTTTCCGGTTTCACAATTTGCATCATTATAAAGCACAATGAAGCCGTATAGGAGGAATACAGTTGACAAACGAACAGCTTAACAGCTTCCTCTGTGAACCAACACAGCAAGCTATCTAGAGAACTCATCCTACACACAGCAAGGTAAACTCGGTAATATACATAAGCTTTCTATTCTAGAAGAATCTTGCTACTATTTAAGAAAATAATCAAAAGGGGGAGACAAAAGTGATCTGAGGATAAGGTTGTCACCGAAGAGAAATCATATATTAATGGAAACTATAAGATTACAATCTTATATTTGGAAATGAAAAGGTCTTGAAATTATTATCTAAATCTCAAAGTAGAACCCTATGTCAGCAAGAAACATTAAAAACACTTTTGCTTTTGTTGGAAAGTCACTTTCTTAACTTTTGATGGAAGTTTCATTGGTGTGTGGCTCTCCAATCAGTCGTAAGGTTATCACTTTAGATAAGAGAAAGAAAGGTCGTCATATGAAAAGATTGTTTATAAATGGCTTCTTTTTATAAATTCAAAAGTAAATAATCCATGAAGATTGTGTCTGACGCTATCCCAAAGGAATAAACAATTAACAACGCTCTCACTCTTGTTTAATCACTCTAACAAGTCTACAGACAACACAGCAAAGATAATTACCTCACAATATAGAAAATGAGTGTATATATGAAACTTGTCAGAAGTCTTCAAGTATGCATTTGTGCTCCAAGAATACTGATTTAGCTTCGACACAATATGTTCGTTTGATCTTTCTTACATAGATGCAATTTGGCCTTTCGGATGGATAACTCTGGCAAAAGATAAGAAATTACGAGAAGCCAAGAACCTGTAACAACAATCAAATACGAATCAAGACCTGCTAAGACGTAAAACAATTTCGAAAAGGTCTAACTAATTCTATACCTAGATGATCTACCTGAAGACAATGGTATTTAGCAGAGAAACACAAAACATACTAACGAAAATGCTTCTGCGATGGATAAACTCATTCGAGTATTTTGCAATACATTTACAAGCCGAGAAATGCTCAATCTAGCTAGAATCTTAATACTTGTTTGATTCTAAAACGCATCAAAAGAATCATATTCCGAGAACATGAAACTAGCACTTTCTATAAGCAAACTAGAAGATTACACTTGTGCAGCACTACATTCGGCTTTAACGCACACAAAACAATGGCAAGGCACGTGACACAAACATTTACATCTCTTGTGTTCAGAGCAAAGCTTGGTTACAAGCATTCAGCTTTCCCAAAAAGCAAATACGACACACGGTTCTCAATAAACATTCTTAAGAACAGCATATAGTTCCGAAGATGAATCGTACCTGGCCATGATTATATTAAATACTTTTCAAGAACAGTTAACTTAGAGCAAGAATCTCAAAATCAAATTCGACTTAGTTGACGATGTTAGTTATGTCAAAAACAGCAATCAAGTGATTAAAGCCTCAAGACTTTATTGTATACTATTTATAGTAAAAACAGAAACTCGATAATATTTCCATCAAATCATATTAACTGTACTCAAAAAGATAGAAACTTGACAATAGTAGTTACCAATCTATAGACTTCTTCAATTCCTTTTTTCAATTCTCATTCGCGCTTCCACCGCCAACAGAAGGATAAGAAGCCATGGATCCAAACTTATTCTGCTGCATCATATATGGATTTGATTCAAACGCACCACTCCCACCAGCTCCACGATGATGATGGTGGTTCTGATGATAAGGATCATGCCCATGATTTTGGTGATGATAACCTTGCATACCCATATGATGTGCATATACAGGCATCTGCATCATCTGCTGCCCTCCGTAAGGTACCGGAATTGGCACTCCAACGTGACCAGCTGATCCACTCCCCTGGCCGTTACCGCTACCGCCACCACCGATGTCTTGGAAGCTCTGTGGAGGCACAGGTGTTGAAGAGAAGAGCTTATCGGAAGCAGAGGGACCTTCATTCGTCAATCCCTGCATCCGCTTGAGGTAAAGCCTATACTTCTGGAGATGAGAAGCTACGTTTTCTCGAGTAAGTCCTTCGACGTTCATCAGCTGCATAATCGTCTTCGGCACAGCGTTTTTGATCCCTAAGTGAGCCACAACATCCACGAATCTCTTGTGTAGCTGCGGCGTCCACACTAAACGCGGTCGTTTCAGTGTTTTCCCAGAGAGATCCTCAGTTCCTGAATCACCTTCCTCAGCCGCCATCGCCGCATCCGGATCCACACCGCCATCTCCATCTCCCTCGCCGTCCGATGTCTTCTGCTTCTTAGAATCCGATCCAGGACTACTCGATCCAACTCGATCTTCCACCTCCACCGCGTTGCTATTGTTGTTCGACGAAGAGGTATTGGGACCTGAAGATCCGCTACGCAGCGACGAGAGCGTCGTCTCCGATGCTCGATTCACATCCTGAACCGTACGGCTCCGCTCCGGTGTGATACTAAACGCCATCGCCAGATTCGGCGGAATCAAAGAGTATGAAAGCGATGCTAAATCCTCGTCGCTTGGTAATCCCATCTCCCATTCCATAACCCTATCTCCGTCGCCGGAAACATCGTAATCGCTCATCCTCACTTCCTCTCCCATTTTTCACTCTCTAATTTCTCGAAAATTCAGGTAGAGATTAAGCTCGTTGAAGCTTAGATTCGTTGAGAATTAAGATCAGAGAACGGAGAAAGCTAAGGATTGAAATTTTGTGGAGAAGTTTGGTTTGTGACGACGACGATGAGAAAAAAATTTCAAAAGAGAGAAATAAAAATATCTTTTTGGTGGAGGAAAAAAAAAAAAAAGAGAAAAAGAAAAAGAAAAAAGCAAAAAGATAAATAGAAAAAGCGTAATATCTAATTCCAGATCGGCCTTTGTGTTAGTGCCAACGTGGACGAGTTAACAAGATATTTTAGATCTTCTAAATATCTCCAAACCGACTACGATTTTAATTTTTGACACGTGTGTATTATCAACGAGTAACATCACAACACGTCATGATTTCACACAGTAGTCGTACTGTAGCTGATTATAAATGAAATTACCCATTTAGACTTAGCAAGTTGCGTTTTGTGGGGCGAGGAGAGCAAAGTGGGCAAAGCCGGTGGGTTCGGCCAGCTGGAGAGGTAAAAGAGGAGAAAGATTCGGTGGTGAGTGTGTATAGTACTGACACGCAATACGTTCTCTGAGCCGTTGGATTGCTGTTTTAGATATTTATAGAAGCATCTAAAGATCAATCTAACGGTACAGATTTGTTGCTAAGTTGACGAATTTATAGAAAAATGAAAATAATTATTGTGGAAAAGCTGAGAGAATCTCTTTAGTCAGGTGGTTTAGCTCCTCTGTTTGGCTTCTTTAACGTTTCGGGTTCGATACGCAAGTTCGTAATTTGAGATAAAAACCTGAAAAAACGTTATCTTCTTCCCAAGTTTCTGATTCTGCGAGATTTTTTCCCCAAACTCATCTTCTTCGAGTGACTTGTACAGATTAGGTGTTTTTTTTAATAGTTATTGTTGTTCTCCCTTGATCGTGGTCAATGACCTCGCTACTCCTTCTCAGAACTCTTCCGCTCCTCCGTAACGGGTTTTTAAACCACCGGCATCAAGTCGGTATCGTAGCTGGTGGATTCTTATCTCAGCGTCGGCGTTTGTGGTGTTCGCTTGCTGATAAACCACAGTTTTACGAGGATGACGGCGACTCTACGGCGGAGCGATCCGGCGCGGCGATGAATACGGCGTCGCCTGTTGTTGTTGATAATAGCTGGCGTTTTGAAGATCCTGATTATCGGAAATGGAAAAACTTAGAGGCGGAGATACTTCGAGATATTGAACCTATTGCTCTTCTCGCTAAAGAAATTCTTCATTCGGATAGGTAATTCGGATTTCACGGTCTATTTTGTGGGATAGTTTTGGTGGATTTGTAGCTATTGATTCGAGTGTTAGGTTAGATAGAACTGAATAATCAAAACCAGTAGTGTCAATATTTAGAATTACAATTTCTATTGAAGTTTAGGTTATGGTTGATCCCTGAATGTTCTTAAAGAATAGGTATAGTAGGGTCATAGCTTCTTCCAACATACTTAACGAACATGGAGACACTGATTGGTCTTTGATGTGAATGTCCATAGATTCATGACTAGAGAAATTTTTCCCAGTTGCCCATTGAGAAATTTTTAGCATGCTTGGGGCTTGATTGATTATAGTGGTCACTGAAGAATAATCGTCCTTTATGTAGTGCTAAATGCTCTTGTATCTTTAGTATACTGGAACCATAGCCAAATGGGATCTGTTTTGAAGTGAATTGTTGATATTTGAAGCCAGCTTCAGAGCATACTTACGCTTTTGTGTAGATTAATATTGCAGTCCGTGTGAGTATGAATCAATTTCCTTCTTCATAAACAGGTATTTTGATGGAGAACGCTTAGACTTTGAGGATGAGAAGATTGTCATGGAAAAGCTTCTTGCGTATCACCCCTACTCGAAAGATAAAATTGGCTGCGGTCTTGATTTTATAATGGTACGTAAATTACTAGAGAACCGATCTCTCTCTTCTTTAAGTTCTACTCATATAGGTATTGTGCATATTCTTCCACCAATAAGAGATAGATGATTCAGTCACATACATGCTTTAGCTAGAAATGTGAGAGAAGTACGTATAGAATACTTATGAGTGGCTAACCTGTTAATGGCAGGTTGATCGGCATCCTCAATTCAGGCACTCGAGATGCCTCTTTGTCGTGAGAACAGATGGTGGATGGATAGATTTCTCGTACCAGAAGTGTCTTCGAGCCTACGTCCGAGATAGGTACCCGTCACACGCTGAGAGGTTTATCCGCGAACATTTTAAACGTGCGAGTAGCTAAAATCTGTAATACCATCCCTCTCATAATCACAGCAACTTCTCTCATATAAATTTTGCTGAAAAATCAATCACACAATCAGCTCTGAAGCATTGTTGTACAAAATTTCTAATTGCTCAATCTATCGAAAAGGCTTTGTATCATCAGTTAGGAAAATAACAGAATAGTAGTAGTTGGACTTGGTTCCGAAGAATCAGTATTATAGCTTAAGCTCTTTTTGCAATATGAATACAAAAATATACTTTTGAAACTTTCAAAGTCACTAAAATGTCCAACTATCTTAGACCAAAGACCCAAACCAGTACGTCTTTGTTCTGTGTCCAAACGTTGAGTCAGCCATAAGAGACGAGTCTTACCTTATTCCAACCCATTATTGACTCCATATGGAGTATTTATATATGCAACTCATAAAGTCATGTTTTGGTTAACAAACAATTAAGTATTTATCAGTTGACAGAAACAAAAGCTAAATCAATAACCATTTAGTCCCACATTTATAGTATTTAATAAAACCTTTTTTAAAAATAATGTCAACATACAGATGTTGATAAATCGAAGATAATTTACATGAACACATTTCCTAATATTCAAAGATATTGTATTATTCCACATCAAGACACAGATATTTTACCTTCTATAACCAAAAAGAATATCTTTATATACAAATAAAACATACTTAACCCATAAAACGACAACGTTTAGTAACTTACCAAGAAAGAAACAAAGGTCGGTCCCAACGCTGATTCCTCTGATTTCTGAAACTTCTTCGAAGGAAACAGGTTTTTTTATTTTTCATATTTCGGTCAAATCTGTCGCACACGTCAATGACGCTGCTCTTCACTTCAAAAATTCACACCGTTAATAACTCCGTCATCTCTCCCCCAGTCAAAACACTCTCACGTGTTCTCACCGTCTAATCTTAACACCGTTAACACTTACCTCGAAACCACGTTATATAAACAAAACTTTTTTTTTCATTTCTTCTTCTCTTATTAACTTCAGATCCTCCTTTCACCAGCAACACAAGTTTTCTTTTGGTCAAACGATGATGCCAAATTCTAGATCGGCGACGATATCTCCGGGGATGGAACCAACCACCACCGCTACGACGACGACGACGGCTGTTACGACGTCGTATTGGTGTTACAGCTGTACGCGATTCATCAGCGTTTGGGAAGATCAAGACGCAAACGCTGGAGTCTTATGTCCTTATTGCAACGGTGGATTCATCGAAGAGATCGAAGATTCTTCTAATAATTCTTCCGTCGCGGCGATTCCGTCGGCGACGACGATTCAGGAAGTTAGATCGGTTGAAGATAGTCATAGATCTGTAATCAGACGTCGTAGATCCAATCGCCGGACGTCGTTTAATCCGGTAATCGTTTTACACGGAGGAGGAGGAGGAGCAGGGAACGGTGAGAGAGTTGAGAACGAAGAAGGAGATGGATTTACTAGAGAGAGACGCGCTTATGAGTTTTATTACGATGATGGATCTGGTTCAGGTCTAAGACCTCTTCCTGATTCTGTATCTGAGATCTTGATGGGATCTGGGTTTGAGAGGTTGCTTGAACAATTGAGTCAGATCGAAGCCTCGGGTAACGGAATCGGTAGATCTGGGAATCCACCGGCGTCGAAATCGGCGATTGAGTCTTTGCCTAGAGTCGAGATCTCTGATTGTCATATGAAAGCGGAAGCTAACTGCGCCGTGTGCACGGAGGTTTTCGAAGCAGGTATCGAAGGTCGTGAAATGCCTTGTAAACACATTTTTCACGGGGATTGTATCGTTCCGTGGCTCTCGATTCGAAACTCGTGTCCTGTTTGTAGATTCGAGTTGCCTTCGGATCCGATTCAACGGAGTAGCGAAGAAGAAAACGCCGTGGGGATGACGATTTGGAGATTACCAGGCGGTGGTTTCGCTGTTGGGAGGTTTAACGCGGCGATGAGAGAAGGAGAGAGGATATTGCCTGTGGTGTTGACGGAGATGGATGGTGGTGGACTCGGTAGTAACGAAGGACCGAGACGTATATCGTGGGTTAGAGCACATGAGACACCGGAGATGAGTAGAAACGGTGGTCGTTCTGGTAATGGAGGTAGATTGAGAAGAGCTGTACGAGGAATGGTTTCGTTTATGAGGAGAGTGAGACCAAACCGTGGTGGCTCTTCTTCTTCATCTACTACTACTACTCATTCGAATCTTATTGATTTGGATAGTGATGGTGGTGAAAGTAGAGTTATGAATCGATCGACTTCGTTGATTAGGAGATTTTTCTGATGAAAAAACTTCAGAATCAGGTTAGGTGATGATGATGGAAAAAAAAGTTTCAGATTTTTTTGTTTGTTGATTCAACAATTGTGTGCATATCAAAAATATATTTATTCAGAGTTTGGAAATCTCTCTTTGTTACATCAGAATTTATGGGGTAAACAAAGTTCATATTTAGTAAGTATGTTGTAGTATATTTGGTTTTTGTCTTTGTTTTGGATTATGGGATGGGATTCTGAGAAAGTGAAAGGGATTTGTGTTTTTGTTTTGTGTTCCTCGGACGGTGAGAGACATGAATGCACGGATAAATGAAGAGAGAGAGGTTGTGGAATTGATTGTTTGATGTTTCCAAATTTGAATTTTTGGGAGTCAGTAGTCTCTCAGTAGTTTCATTTTTTAGGCAAATCGGGTGATGAGATCTAAACCTGTGATTGATTGATCATATGAGAACATGAGAATAGCTAGATTGAGTTAAAGATTTCTCGAGAAAACATGAGTATAAAATCAGGAAAAAAATGAGTTTCCTGATTCAAACACGTATGTTTAGGGGGGGTTATTGGGAGAATGACTTTTAAAGATTTTTAGAGTTTAAGATTCTATTGTTATTGGTGTACGGATTCTTAGATTCTTACTAAAATCTCTTGTTATTTGTGTATGTATTTTGTAATTCTATTTAAAATCCTTTGTTATTCAAAAAGTTGAGTATTTATTGATTTTCCAATTCTATCAAATTCTAGTGTTATTGGTTTAATGATTCCTTACATATTTAGTCATTAAAAACAACTTTCAAAATACTGCAATTATCATAAGGATTTGTAGAGTCTATCATATGAAGAATCTATTAAACTCTAAAAATCTGGTTAAACATTATTTTAGAATCAACAAATCTTTTTGAGAATCTTAAAATCTCTAAACTTTTGAAATCCACAAACTCTTTTAAAATCAATCTCCCAATAACTCCCCCTTAATGTTTTATTAAACATACGTAACGACTTACATCATCATCAGATGATGATTTGAAATTATTCTTGAACATTTAATTTGACTTATAATAAAACGAATGGATAAGACTTGTACATCGTAGAGAAGGTCCTTATTAATAATATCTTTCTCTTATGACAAAAACATTTTTTTTAAAGAAATGGTGAAAGGTTCTATCAAATGGGTGGTCCTAACTCCTAACTAAGAAAAGAATCGATAAGTAACCAAAGTTTTTGGTGTCAGATATTTTTGGTAACAGTAGTCTCGTGTTGTAAATGTGTTTACCAAAGATGCTTGAATGTGGAGTAATGGAGACGAGCTACGAGGAGTTTTGCGGACCACTTACTTTTGCAACAACGTATTTCTTCCTCCAAAGTAAAGTTATTTTTTATACATGCGGATGCGGTCCAGTAGTTTTTTGAAACTAGATTCAAAGTTTGTGAACGATTATATATATATATACATATATCACTGTGGTCCTGTGGAAGGCATATAAAAACAGTAAACACAACTCTGCCACTGCAGTTGAAAACACAAACAATGGTAAATGCTGTTAATGTAAGAAAAGTGGAGTGGAATCAAAGTTTTAACTAATCAAAATTTCAAACACCTTAATTTTCTCTACGAATAAGGTGACGTTTTTTAATTAAAGCCTATAAGCCCAATAGCTTTTTTGTTTTTTTTTGTTCAACAAGCCCAATAGCTTTTATTTTCACAGAGAAACAGAAAAAAAAAAAAAAAATGAACGAAAGACAAATTCTATCTCTTCTCCGCCATTGAAGTGATTTTCTAGTTTCTACACTTTCCCTCCTCCTCTCTCCCTCCTCATTTTCGTTTCTTGTTCAATATTAACTTGTAAGAGATCTTTTGAAAGAACTTTGCGCTTCAGATTTTTCAAAGCAACGCTTCTAAATTGGAAGCGAGTGATTCCTCCCAACTCAAGTTGTCTGGAATCGCTATTTCATTCACGCTTCCACACGATTCCGCTTCTGAAGCGTGAATCGTGTGTCTTTCGAAGCTTCCATGCTACATAGAGATTTTATTGGCAAAAAAGATGCAAGCTTTAAGCTTTTGGCCATTAAAGTCTGGTCTTTTGGTTGGATCAAGATTGGAATTTGAGTTGGATTGTTCTTGTTTCGTAGTTAGCTCTAAGACTAGAAAGAGACATTCTTTTGTAGAGCAGGCTTGCTTTGGTAGTATCTCTAGCTTAGTCTTGGTTTCGAGTAATAGGAAATTTGAAGGTTCGAAATTTCTGTTTCTGTGTGAGCCAAAGAGAAGTTTCTTGGGGTCATCGGTTGGGGTAAGATGGGCCACAGAGCTCGGGGAAGAAGTTTCCACAGAAGATTCAAGTTCATCTTCTGTTGATCATTCTGAACCACAAGCTGTAAATGGAGGAGAAAAGAACAATTCAAGAGTTAATGTTAGAGAATTGGCGTTCAGTTTACGAGCTGCTAAGACAGCTGATGATGTTGATGCTGTTCTCAAGGAGAAAGGAGAATTACCTCTACAAGTGTTTTGTGCTATGATTAGTGGTTTTGGCAAGGACAAGAGATTGGAGCCTGCGGTAGCGGTAGTAGATTGGCTTAAGAGGAAGAAGAGTGAATCAGGCAGTGTCATAGGTCCTAACCTTTTTATATATAACAGTCTTTTGGGTGCGATGAAACAGTTGAGTGCGTTTGGGGAAGCAGAGAAGGTACTGAGTGACATGGAGGAAGAAGGGATTGTTCCAAACATTGTTACTTACAATACTTTGATGGTTATTTACATGGAGGAAGGGGAGTTTCTCAAGGCCCTTGGGATTCTTGATTTAGTCAAGGAGAAAGGTTTTGAGCCTAACCCGATTACATATTCAACGGCGTTGCTCGTCTACAGAAGAATGGAAGACGGTATGGGAGCTCTCGAGTTCTTTGTTGAACTGAGAGAAAAATACTCAAAGAGGGAAATAGGGAATGACCCCGATTACGATTGGAAATTTGAGTTTTTTAAGCTTGAAAACTTCATTGGTAGAATATGCTACCAAGTGATGAGGCGGTGGCTAGTGAAAAATGAAAACTGGACTACTAGAGTGTTGAAGCTTTTGAATGCAATGGACAGTGCAGGGCTTAAACCGAGTAGGGAAGAGCACGAGAGGCTTATATGGGCATGTACTCGTGAAGAGCATTATATTGTTGGTAAAGAGTTGTATAAAAGAATCAGAGAAAGGTTTCCCGAGATAAGTTTGTCTGTCTGCAACCATTTGATTTGGCTGATGGGTAAGGCTAAGAAATGGTGGGCAGCGTTAGAGATCTATGAGGATCTTCTTGATGAAGGACCTGAACCTAACAACTTGTCTTACGAGTTAGTGGTCTCTCATTTCAGTATCTTGCTGAGTGCAGCTAGCAGGAGAGGGATATGGAGATGGGGAGTTCGGTTACTTAATAAAATGGAAGATAAAAATTTGAAACCGCAGAGCAGACATTGGAACGCAGTTCTTGTAGCATGTTCAAAAGCCTCTGAGACCACGGCTGCGATCCAAATCTTTAAAGCAATGGTTGACAACGGCGAAAAGCCAACAGTAATCTCATATGGTGCACTGCTCAGTGCTCTTGAGAAAGGCAAGTTATATGATGAGGCGTTTCGGGTTTGGAACCATATGGTTAAGGTAGGGATTGAGCCAAATCTTTACGCGTACACGACAATGGCTTCAGTTTTGACAGGACAGCAAAAGTTCAATCTTTTGGATACCCTTCTCAAGGAAATGGCTTCAAAGGGTATTGAGCCGAGCGTTGTGACTTACAACGCGGTTATAAGTGGTTGCGCGAAGAACGGGTTAAGTGGTGTGGCTTATGAGTGGTTTCATAGAATGAAAAGTGAGAATGTTGAGCCTAATGAGATAACTTACGAGATGTTGATCGAGGCTCTTGCAAATGATGCAAAGCCAAGGCTTGCTTATGAGTTACATTTGAAGGCTCAAAACGAAGGGCTTAAGCTCTCTTCTAAGCCATATGATGCGGTTGTTAAATCAGCTGAGACTTATGGAGCCACCATTGATCTTAATCTTTTGGGTCCTCGACCAGACACAAAGAAGAGAGCGTAGTCTAAAGAAACACATTGTACAAGATCCAATGCTACTGTGGGGTAAGGCACATCCAAGGACTGACATGTCGGAGACAGAGAACAAAGAACAATTGCAGGACTCTTAAAGCCAAGAAAATTGCCATTGCAGGGAAGAAGAAAGTTTCCAAGTAACCATCTTCATGATTTCCTTCTTGTTCTGTAATACTGTTTTTTAGTTTTGTCTATAGTCTCTCTGTTTAAATTGTGATTTGTAATCTTAAAAAACTTGGTTCGAATTGAGCCCTTTCAGTTTATTATTCTTGGGCTTTTTGGTTATTATTGTTTTGTTTCGTAACTTCATCATTCATTATTAAGTTACAGAAAAAAGATAGATTTCAGCATTCAAGAATCGTGTCATTGGATTTAGTGATGGAGATATATATATGAAGTATATGAAATTTTCAGTTTGATCTCGCTCCAATGGTTAGATGTTTCTAATGTCAAAGATGAACTCCACAAGATGCTGATGTCAAACCAAGAACAAACTTGGAAAATTTGGTCGAACCAAGATAGTTTATCAGAATATGTAAATATGATTTTGTGTAATGTGAATCATGGAGTGTCTTATAAAATCATGCTAACACACAATGGTAGGAAGAAAATGGATAATTGGTAAAATTTCAGTAAGAGAACTCATTGAAAGTGCATATTTGTGACGAAATCTATATGTTTAAGTACGTGATGATCGATTTGGAATTTGTACGAGAATAAAGTAAATAAGAAAAAAAATTTGTTAACGGGGTTCGGATAACCTACATCTTTGGAAGCTAATCCAGATTTCATTCACTAGAAAATGATGTAATCTACAGTTGATATATAGCACCTCTTTCCTAAAATTACAATGAACGAACACTACCACTAATTGTCTTTTCCGATTAGTTTAGATTTTCAACAAAACCACCAAAAGATTTTTTTGTCATGTTGATGGGGCGACGTCACATATGCTTTTAATCCTTACGGCAGATCTATGTATGTTGCCTTCACAAACAATCTTTACTATATCTTTTTTCTCTCTTATGTATTTGTTACCTTGTTTTCAATTAATTCTTGTCATCCCTTGCTCTCTTTATTTTTTCTCACATGCATGAGATGTTGAGCTGACTATGTTAACAGTTAAGGGCATGCACATTTGTTCTTATGTGTTAGAGTAGATCATCTGCTTAGTTACAACTTCTGTATTATAATCATAACTCATACACATTGATTGGTTTGTTCAGTTATGGATTAATTCTTTTTTATCTTGTCTTTAAAGAAGTTTCGAAATCTTGATTACCATATCAAGAAAGTAGAGAGCTAGAGACTGATTCCATATATATATAGGAGAGGAAACAGTTTCTACAACACTTTAAAACCAAAAGAAAACAAAATTACACAAAATGATTACTACTTCTTAGCAGGTTTCCAGCAGGAAACAGCATAGAGAATTTTTCCTTTCCAGCCTTGAAGCAACCAGTGATTATCATTATCGATCACGAAATCTTTGTGGTAACGTTGTTTCACTAACTCTTTCCCTTCTTTTACGATCAGTTTATTAAGTTTCGCTGGTTTAAACCCGGCTCTTAGTATCCTAACCTGCCATTGCTTGTATGTTTCTGGCCTTGCAAACCTCTCAGACCCTTCACAGGCTACCACACTCATTGCATCTCTTACGATTAGCTCCCTCTCCACATGTGTCCTGCAATCGTCTTCTTCTGGTAATGTGGTCTCATACATGTCAAAGAGGGCAGAGCAATGGAACAGAGCTTCTCTGAACCTTGTTAAGAAGAATGGTGAGTTGTACGTTCCGTTGATCTCTGCAAACACAAAGAGGTTAGGGTTGATATCTCTGAATAGTTTCAGAACCGTGTCTCTCGGAGAGTTGAGGGTTATGGTTTCATCAGGCGTGTATTGTAGCCGGAGGATGCAGTTAACAACTGTTGTCTCTCCAGTATTGATCACTAGCTCGTCAAGAGTAATGTCCTCCCACTTCTTGGCTATGTAACTGTACTCAAACGGGACTTTGAACTTGTCACAGAACCTCTTCAGTCTTTTCCCTGTCTCTTGTACCCGCTCTGATGGTCGGAAACCGGACTGAGGCAGCTCGATACCAGTCACACGGAGAAGTGGTGGTCCGTCTTCACGGTTTGACAAAGCTTTTATAAGACAAGGCCATTGAAATCCATAGAGAATCCCAAAATCAATGATGTGAAGTGTAGTTGCTTTGGGAGCAAGTTCAAAGATTGTTCTGTTTGCAGTGAAGTAACACATTCTTAAGGTAGGGCAAGCTTGAACAAACCCTTTGTATGCCTTCAAAATGTCCACCATAGATGTAATGCTATACGTAGCTGATATTGGTGTAGACATGGTTCCGGTTAGACGTGCTTCAAGCGCTTCAGCTAAGTGATAACCAAGTCTTTGAGTTGCATCTCCACGGATAGAAGAGTGTTCTCTTATCTCCTTTAGTTTCTCAAAGGCTCTAAACTGGTCAAAACTCGCCACTGCTTGCGCGCATTGCATCAGGAGATCCCGCATATCCACTGGCTGATCTGACTTTTGCTGCTTGGATCGGTTCGATGAGCTCTTTGCTCGTCCTGTTTTGTTCGGTGATGCTTCTCCCTGAGTATTCTTTTGACATATCAACAACACTTCCTCGTACTTCTCAGCCAGCTCATCTGCTGTAGATATTGCAGGGAGCTTTGTTTTCCTTCCACCTTCAAGATCATCATCATCTTCATCATCATCATCCCTATGACGATACCTTCTCATTGACTCATCTGAAGTTACTTCAGGAAATCCAACGAAATCTAAGTTTGGTTGATCTAAATCGCCAAAGATTTGGTCAGAAGAAGTAGGAGGAGAAGGATCTTGAAGCACTTCGTAGAAAGATTTCTCAGCGGCTTGTAAAGCCAAACTATCTACCAACATACAAGGCTGACCTTCAAGATCTTCTTCCATCAACATGTCATTGATGTACTTGAAGACAGGAAGGTAATCTGAACATGCCGTAGACTCGGTCGGAGAAGAGTTACTACTCTGAGATTCATCAGATTCGTTGAAACAGATGAAGCTGTTGGTCGTACCAGATTCAAGATTGTTGTTTCTTGGTTTGCAGCAAGATCCAGAACCGTTTTCGAATCTGAACCCATCAACTTGTACTTGCAAAACAGCATCCATGTAAAGATCAAAACCCTCAAAGAATCTCAATAGAATGAAAGATTAAAGAAGCAGAGAGAGAGAGAGAGAGACAAAGCAAGTGTAAAAGTCAACTAAACAGAGGAAATGAGATAAAAGGAAGATTCATGTGAATGCACAAGTGGGGAGATGTTATATATATATAATAAAGATTTATTTTTGGTTATCTTTTTTCTTGGCAAAGAAGAAAAAGATGAAGTTTCGAGGAAACAGAGAAATGTGTAGGGTTGAGACAAACACTGACTAAGCCGCCGCCACAAAAGGCTTATGTCCAAAGAGTTTTTAAATGTTTTACGTACTATCATTGGGTCCAATGACTAAACTAAAGAAAGCTATTTGTATTTTCTTGTTGTTGTCTTTGTTTTGGTCACTTGTCTGGTCAAAACTTTGACTTGTTAACTTAAATATCATTTTAACAGAAGACCAGAGCACCAGTTTTGCCTTATGATGTGTAGTTCTTAGATTGTCGTAGTTAAGTGTGCTTCGTAAATGGACATGTTGATGTTCCGTTTAGTCGGGGATTGTGAGAAGAGGTTCTATATGGAAAACAAATATAAATGAGTCAGGTAAGGTTGCAATAGTTTGTAAGATTCGAAATGACCAACTATAAATAATGCAATTGTACAGATGTGAACAGAACTAAACGGCAAAAAGGCAAACCTGGATGCCAAACGTATCGTACGAATGTTTTTTTTTTTCAACCACTTCTAATTATTCAACTATGTATTTAGTGTTATTATTGGAGTATACATTTCTATGAATTCTTATCAGTCAAAGTCCAAGAAGAGAGTATACCTAATCAAAACTAAAGAAACCTGAAATAATAATAATAATGAAATATACTTTTGCTGCAAATAAACTAAATTTTTCAAAGTAAATTATTTTATATATTTTCAACAATAATAGTAATGAATTATCAAAACTATGCACAATGACAATAATATAATTCATCCATAAAAACGAAAAAAAATAAGGAGTGAAGTTCCTATGAAATTAGGCAAAGAACATAACTACTACGAAGAAGGGTTGTCTATCATGTTTTAGTTGATTTGCGATATTTTACTTTTCGAGAAATCTAATCTCAAGTGAACATTTGGTGCGGTAGCTTCTGAATATTTTACTGGTACATGAACAACTGTGCAGATCGATATGTACTCATCTTCCTTGATTTTGTAATATGGAAGGAACATTGATCCCAATAAGACCAAATAAATGCACATGACTTAATAAAAATTATTGGTAGAATGCTGTCATTATTTTTCAACAAAAAACAAAATAATAAATCTATAGAATTTTTAGTTATACAACAACTATGTAAAAATTAAATATTTAATTATAATGATATTTAAAATATAGTTTTTTGTTAGTTATTATTGAGTCTAAGAAAATTTTATTTTAGACTATAGATACATTTAACTAGTTTTAAATAAAGTAAAATAAAAATATGATATTTTCGAAAGTGTTTTAACAAAACTAGAATATATTTTTCTCCAAAATTACTATAGTTTTATAGTGTATATGTTATTTCCTTAACCAGTGTTAAAAACTAAAATTAGTTATAAATTTGATAGAATTTGTAATGACATTGTATTGTAATTAAGTACTCTTTTTGATTTTTTTTTTTAACGTACTTTGGTTTTATTAATAGGAGATATATAAATAATTTAAAATTTAATTTCTAAAACAAAATTTGGTGAATAAAATAGATATGAATATTAATAATTTCATTTTAACATTTTCAGAAATACTAAAATGGATTTCTGTTATATTTTCTTTTTTTATCTTCGGATAATTTAAAAGCTTTACATATAAAACTAAAATAAAAATGTTGATATCATTTTGAGAAATAAAAAATATCACAAAAAAATTTACAACAAATCCCTTACATTGTTAGAAAACTACCTTATTCCAACATAAAACTTTACACTTGAGAAAAAAGAAAAAAAAATCCAAAAAAAATGAAACCAGAGATCTTTCAACTATGTCAGCATCTTAGCTTACAAGATGGATCACCATCATCATAATTCACAAAGGTCCCTTAGAATAGGAACCTGTTTAGATTATATATAGTCTATGCATAAGAGGATGGTGGCTCGGTCTGCAGTTGATGCATTAGGTGTTGTGACCAGTAAGCATGCGCCTTCAAAACACGGTCCAGAAGATCCTGTGGCACCGGCTCTCCCCTTCGCTGCTGTGGCGATATCCTCGCCGTGTGAACCAGCGTCTTCCATTTATCCTACAAAAGCAGAGAGACTCAATACCAACAACAATGATAGTGAAAAGTAAGGTTAACAGTTGGCTAAAGATCTAACCTTGAGATCAACATAGGTACGGTGGTCTGCGTCCTCAAAAGCACGAACCTTAACGTCTCTCCACCTGCAATTTACAAACATACATACTAAACATGCTGCTATTTAAAGAAACACGAGAAAAAGAATGTTGCTTTCTTTGTTTTCTACCTTCCGGTTCCAAGATTCTCAACAGCTTGGACTAGTGCTTCCACTTCAGTAACTGAGAAAGGTCGGCGAATTCTGCGATGTGCAGCTTGCTGTTGCTCCGTCCTTTTAAACTTGCGGTTTGGAGCCCGAGGAGCCAACAAAGCTGCTGATGCAATAGGAACTAAAGCTCTAGAATCATCTGTTGAGCCTAGTTTTCCAAATGAGTCAGCTGGGGATGGTGCTGAGTAATGATCAGGATCCACCACATTGTCGTGGCATAACATCAAATCATCACAGGCATGCTCTGACAAATAACTGGCAGAACAAAAACAAGAACATTCAGCCGCAAAATATATATGTTTATATCGATGTGGCACCTATGAGAGTGAAGAGAAGAGTGAACCTGGATAACAATGGTTGAGGGGTGGTTTCTAAGCTAGGCTCAAGGCTGAAACCCAGAGAATCCAAGTGAGTGTTCTCCTCAGAGATCCCAGTCTGAAGAAGGGTTTGGCTATCATCTCGGACTTTCTTTCCTTGAACCATCAACCCGACTCGGAGTCCATCACCCAGTATGGTTGTCACTGCTTCCATCACCATCCGCTGACAATCCCGACATTAAGAAGAAAAAAAGATAAGTTCTAGATCATGATTTTTAGCTCACAACAAGATTTGGGTATTCCACCTTCAATGAGCCAACAGTAGCAGTTTCTGGAATCTCTATGAAAAGCTCAGGCACTCTGAAAGACTTGATCCGCAGCCTCACTAAAGAGAAACAAAAAAGAAACATTTCTACATTATACACCTTTTCAACGATACAAAAAAAAAAGCCAACAAAGGATTTAGACTGAGACACCATTACTTACCATGATGGTCCCTTGACACATAAGACGCATTTCGACTTTTCATGGAAGATAGTGTTCTGTTTCCTGCGGATAAATTTGTAAAATCAAGTTACCGCAGCAGAGACTTACAACATCCTAACAAGAGAATGAGAAGATGATAATTTTCGAACCTTTATGTGTCTTTCCTTGCAAATGGTAATCATCAGAGTTCGAATCAGAAACACTGTCAAAGTATTTCCTTTTCTTGATGGGATAACTCTTCTGATGATTGTGCAAGTAATAACTCCTCTTTGAGCAATACCATGGTTTTGCATCTGCAAATACCAAACATCAAATCACAATAACTGAGACAGAAAAACTAAACACAAACACTGGTCGCACAATTTCTTTACCTGCGCTGTTCTTTGATCCTCCTTTCCAGTGTCTAGATGCCAATATCTTCCTGATTCTTCTGTCTCCAATACGAGGCACAGGCCTAGTCAGACGAGGGCGAATGTACCCAGAGAAGTTTTCATCATCATCATTTCTACTAAATAAATTTACATCATCCCGAGAATCATTGGGACTACCGTTCCCACATGCTCCCACCTCGGTACTACTGTTACTACCTATACTAGCTACAACATCAGGTTTTACATCACCATTCACACCCGGATTAAGATCCTTACTAAAGTTTCTGACTTTACAAGAATCACTACGACCCAAGTTACTAAAACCCTCCACCTCCTCTACTTTGTCACCTACCAACGAGTGATTAGGATTTGTTATCACAGAGCTAAATCCACACTGGCCATTGTCAAATGGGCTCGGGGATCCTTGGTAAATATCATCTTTAGAGAAAGGTAACGCCTTTACGGGGTTTTCATCAGCCGGGAACTCCTTCTTTACAGTATTTTGTACAACTACACACTTATCTTCACCCACATTTACCGAGCTTTCGCTCTCGAGCAGTAAGTTTCCAGCTACGGTGGCCAATAAGTCAATCGCGCACATTTTCTTCTCGTAAATGCGCCTCTTCTGGCAAAAAAAATGAACAATGCGAATGATCATCATGTAAATGGAACTGATCATCCATGTAACACTAGAAACCAAGAATAGCAAAAGGCCATTTTACCCGGACTGATCTCGGAGCTCGAGCTTGAGCAGGCAATTTGTAACCATCGTCTCCAAATTCCAAGACTTTATGCGACACCATTACTTGGATGCATAACACAATGATAGTGATTGCCACTAGCGATAAGCAATAAATGAAAACTCACTCCACGATCTGTAGATAAGAAACAAGAACCATAAGACTCATTCAATTCACATACAGAGAAACATGAATTACAGATCGGTAAGGATCTGGGATAATTAAATCAAATCTGATAAACCATCCTAAAACCCTGATAAACACAAGATCCAAATCAAGAACACAAAAAGCGTAATTCAATTAGAAAATAATTACAAAAACCTGAACAAAAGCTTCGATCTTTGAATTAAAAGAACAGTACAGATCAAACTTGGCACAGAAAGAAACACACTTCAAAACCTCAGATCGGGTACACAGATCGAATAGGATTGAGAATTTTGGGATGTATAAACAAAACGACAAATAACAATCGAAGAAGATGACGATAACTTCAAAAAAGATAACACAAAAACCCCTTTCAAGATCCAAATTCAAAACAAAACAAAAAAAAATCTTGAATTTGAGAATTCTAACACCAAAATTCACATTTTCTGAAAATTCTCGATGATCAATCAAACAAACACAAAACTTTCGACAAAATCGAGAACACAAAACCCATCAAAAAAAACAAAAAAGTTTGAATCTTTCTCACCTTTCTAAGAATCTTCAGTTCCCAGATAGAGTATTCCAACTTTCCAAGACGATAAACATTTTTTAAAAAATGAAATTTTCAGACAAATTCTTGAGAGAAAATGAGAGATCAGAGATGATGAAGGAATCAGAATTGTTTTACACACACTTCAATCAATCTAACCCATGTTTTTAGTTTTTAACCCCAAAAAAAAGTGATTGAAAATGTTTTTGGTTTTACTTGTATCAAACGCTACCTATATATGATTTGTTTTCTCTCACCACAAAAAACTCTTCTTCGGATTACCAAATACAAAAACCCTCTTTATAATCAAAGAACAACCAAGTCTTTCTTCTTCTTTGCTTAAACCCCCTCAAATCTCATAGCCAGACATATGTAGACAAAACAAAACAACTCAACCACCGGAGCAACCGGTATTACCAGTCCCGTTCTTACCGGTTATAACAAGTGAAAAGACATTCACCTAAAGACTCGGTTCTTTTTTTACCTCCCTCATCGTTGGTCGATGATGATGGCCCATGGACACACACACACAACACAACACACACTCGTATAACTCGTTTAGTCCTTAAGATTGTGACACGTTGGTTATGATGTAGTCATCACATGGTTTTTGGTCCGTTGCCTTTTGAGTAAATTACGTCTTGTCACTGATTTTTATTTATAAATTTTTCATTTTAGGCAAAGAAAATGTTTTTTTTCTTCTTTTTTTTTAATATATATTTTCAGTTTCTGTTTGGAATATTCGATTGTGCTTTTTTTTTATGTTTTCCCTTTGTATTATGAGAAGAAAATATTTAGGAATCACGTATAAAGATAAGATGGTCCCTAGTTTGCTATATTGTTATTATGAGGTAGTCGATTTCTATTAATTGTGAGTCTCAATTAACATTGAAGATGGTAATATGAAATACCAAACTTTTTAAAGTAACAATTTTATCCCAAATAAAACTTCTAAGTGAATTAAAAGCAAAACATAATGAAATTAACCACTAAACTATCACAATGTAATATAAACCAGTTTACATAGAAAATGTAACAACATAAAAAGAAACTAGACAAAATAATTGTGTTAGTTTCTCAAATTGTTTATAAGTTTTTTTTTTTGAAAAAATCCAAATGTTTCTGCTGTGATTATCAAAGAGCCCAAGTTGGTGAATATCATAAAGGAAATATGAGAATGTATTTATCTTTGCCTAATCTAATCCCCTTGTGTTGGTTGAATATGCACAATGAGGTATTGTTACTACAAAGTACAAACGAACTAATCGCACTACTAATGCATGGTTTAAAATTGTATTGGTAGCTCTAAATATGTCTATATGTTATGAATACAACTCTCATTTTAATAATTCTGATAAGGTTAGGCATTTTATCATGTATTGAGAAAAACAAATTTAAAAAGTCAACATTTACGTACAAGTTTCACATATATATTTATCATCAAAATCTTGAAACACAAATTATTTTATTTAGCCCCACACTTATTATTTTTTTTCAAATGGGGGAAGGCCTACATCTTTTTTCCTAAATTACAATAAAATAAATGATATCATCTTATCCTATCTTGAAAAAGTTGGAAAGGATAAAAGGTGGGTGGTTTTGAATTTATATCATACAAAAACACCATGGTTCATTTATCAATTTTTTTTTTGTATAGCATACAACCAAAACATATGCGCAATTTCATACATTTTTCAGAGAGATGGAATATTTAAACCCCAAAAAAATGAGTGCATATGTAGGAGTAGTATACTTCAACTAAACACGTAATATATGTATGTTGCGTGGATATATTAATAAATATTATTAAACCTTTAGCAACTAAGAAAAAAATAATAATAATAATTCGACTGGTGTAGAAGAATGAATCGAGAATTCAAGATCATGAATTTGATAGAGGTTCATAAATTATACTAATAATACTAATCAAGTTCGTTTTCTCATTTGTGATAATGGTCCTATCAACATCGAACTTTTGTTGTTTTTTTTTTATATATATCTTGTTGAACTTTGAAAGGAAATAGTCAAATGAACTTTATCTAAACTAAAGTTGCTAAATTTGTTTTCTTTTTTCTTGTTGGTTCTTGGAGAATTCACTATTATAGTGAAATTATAAGGACCAATCTGTGGGCTCATATTGGTTTTGTGGCTAACACGAGCTCTCTTATTATTATGCATAGAAAACGTAACGCTCGCCGTTGTTACGTTTTCCTTTGAAACTCTGTTATTTGTGTTACGCCTTTACGGATATGTGTATTTATTGGTAGATTATTCAAATTGAGGTTTTCATGATTTCATCTCCAAGCCGTCAGAATTCTAAAAGGATATTTAGATGGAGAATGTTATTCTTACTTTATCATAGAGAAACAAACAATAACCGAAACTGAAAGTACAATAATGACATTTAAGACAGACAAAATGTAGTTACTGTACTTTTGTTTAACTGGTGTCTTGTAATGATATTCTTGGGATATGTTCTGGTTCGACACATCTGAAGTTCTGAACGCTTTGGTGGCTCGGTTTGGGCGTGTTAACAATAAAATAAAAGATGCGTCTGCCGGGAGTCGAACCCGGGTCTATTGCTTGGAAGGCAATTATCCTAACCGTTGGACTACAGACGCTTTTTGTTTACATTTTCATACTTTTAGTTTATCAAACTGTATACGATTCCAAATGATATATTCGTGCATCATTTATGTTAAAGGCAGAAGCAGCTTAGACAGGTAGAGACTATGTATTAAAACTGATAGCTTCTCTGATTCACATTTCTTAGTAGACAGAACTGATGAGTGAAGTAACATTCCTCGTCTAACTCCACCTATCAAAGTTAAGATTTCATACTTTTGTTACTCATTGATTCTCTCAAATGCATCTAAGAAAATGTTAAAAAAGTATATAACAACCCAAATTAAACTGTTTCTAAACTGTCACTGAGTACTATATTAACCTACATTACACACGCTAAACAAATGAATGACCAAACTACTAAATTGATTTGATTCTCTAGCGTCTCTGTTATTTGATTTGAGTTGCAGGTTTTGCAGCAGCAGCAGTAGCAGCAATCTCCTAAAACATCATATTCCCAGCGTAATAAGTTGTGACAAGAGTGAATGCTCTGTCCCAATCTTTGCTAACAGATTCTTGAATCTTGTATTCCCCAATAAAAGGCCACCAAGCTTCTTCTGGACCATTAGTCCCAGTCCAAGTGACCTTCTCCGGCACGTTCATAAAATCAAAATCCAACGGCTTTTGCGGTGGCTCATTAGCTTTCTTGTTGGACTTACTCTGCCGCCTACTGCTTCCTCGACCTTCAGAATGCTACGGACAAAATGTACAAAGACAACAAACAGTTCAAAGTAAGGAAGAAGAAGCAAACTAAACAAAGAGATAGAAACGTTTCCTGACTCACTTCTGAATGCAAATCTCCATTGTTTTCTGTTTTCTTGACGGGCTTTTTAGGCGTCCCGTGTTCCAAATAGTACAACACTTCGTTCTTGGACCGAAACTTACGACCCGTGATAGGTTCGTAGTAAAACTACAATTACAAAACCAGACACCAAAACATTACGATACAATTCAAACTATATTCTTCACCTTCAACATCCTTCACACACTTACATTAACACATAGAGCAATCTTTATCTAACTAGCATGCATTTTTGGGTAAGAACCCACTAAATTTATGTATCTATAGTCTCTAAATTCCCAATTTCAAATCAAGAAATATAAAAACATATCAATCCATCTGTACAGACAAATTCTCAATCAATTTTAAGGAAATCTCCAAAATTCGATAGAGACAGAGCTCGAGAGTAATTGAAAGAGATGTTTTGTTACCTTATCGACAACACCAGCTTTAGTGCCGGAGGTACGAACCCTAACTTCGGTTCTCCAATCAGGAGGAAGCCAATTATTATCATCCCCAGGTGTCGCACGCTTCCGTGACTTCGACGAATCTACAGGATTAGCTGTGTTCTCCGGCGGTGGTTGAGCTTGATCTGTGCCGTTCGACATTTCTCGGGTTTCAATCAAAATCCGGATTAGAGACCCTGATTTTTAGAGATTTGAAGTTTTTTTTTTTTACTGAATCAAAAGTTTCTGAAAGAAAAGATAAATAAAGAAAGAAACACAAAAAGTACAACTTTGTGAGTCAGAAGATGTAACGACACCTGCGGAGGTTAAAGACTTCGTAAAAACGTAAATGTTGTGTTCTGTTTCTGTTTCAAAGTTTTGAGCCTCGAGGGATGGCAAAATGAAAATCAGTCAAACAGCCACGTTGCAGCTTTGTTTTTTTTTTTTTTCTCTTGGGTTTTCTAAGCCCATTTTATATGTCCACTCCAGTTTAATTTTAAGTTGATTTGGCAATTTTTATTATAACTAAATGTTTTCGTGCGTTATTTGGCTATTTTTATTACAAACGAAGGGACCGATTGGTTGTGATTTTTAAGACTTTAAAACCAATTTAAAGTCTTAAAAGTTTTATTTTTGCCAATTAAGTCTTTTTTATTTTTACTTTTTTAAAAGTTCTAAAAACTACTTTATTTGTTTCCTTCTTTATTTTATTTTTTTCTAAAGCCTCAATATAACGGCTATAGGAACTGTAGAACAAATAAGTTTTAAAAATTATTTTTTCTTCTTCCTATAATAATTAGAATCTTTCTATAGATTTATATATATTTTTTTCAAACTTTTTTTTGTAAATTAATTATCAGCATTTTTTTCCTTTCTTTTGACATCCACTTTTCTTCATAAATTTAATATTTCAATATCACAATTGTATTTTCTTATATTATAAATATTAATAAATTTTATTTATTTGTCACTATGTTACATATGAATAAATATTGATCATCATATATTTATAAAAATTATATATAATAGCAAAAAAAAAATTCAACTTTTAACCGTTAAAATGTCTACAGCCAAAGTTTCTACAGCAAAAGTCTTCACAGCGAAAGTCTTTACAGTCACAATCTCTACAGCCACAAGTAACAGCCGTTACCAATCGGCCCCGAAAAGTTTTTTTGCGTGTTTGTGCTACATTTTTCTAACGAAAGATTGGACAATCCAGATTTTATATAAGTACAGTATAGGAAAATTAATCGTTTTACCGATGTATTAGCGAATTATGTGTTTTCATTGCTTTTAGGTTTTCAATATTTTAATGTTGTTTCAAATTGCTTAGTCCCTGATTTTGAAGAAAGATTATCTTGGATCTGCAAGACATAGACGAATTTGTTTGCCAAAAATATAATTTTTGTCTCCTGGTCTCTTACCCCAAAAAAAAACCCAATTAATAGCTAATCTAATCATGTTGCGGAAACAGTGAAACTAATAAAAATGGTCATATATAGATAAATTGTAGGGAATGAATGAATTTTAAGAATTAGCTAAACCAAGGCTTTTCAGAGACATGGTGTTCTCAATGTGATTAGGAAAATAGTCATAGGCAAACATCTTCTTTAAGCTCGAACGCCCACAGTCATTATAGTAAGACCACTTAATGGTTAATTTCATGGTAAGCCACTAGTGTTGTGCTGTTACTTTGGAGATCATGATAGAAAGCACAAAACGATCACTTTTAGGCATATAAAATAACTTCACGCCCATCTAAAATAGTGTTTGGAGGAGAGAATCATTTGTTCAGTGGAAGGATTATTATTAAGAGGGTTAAAGTAGCTCAATGAACCATAATTCTAATTTGTTTTTGCCTTTTTGGCATCTTGATCAAGAACCCAAAATCTGTGCTGCGAGAACAAATCCAAGCCAACTTCCTTGCTAGTTTATCAAAGCATATGTCACACATTTGTCGAGAACAACAGGTGAACCATCGGGTTTTCTGATTGTTTCAAATATTTATAATCTTACATTGAAACTCATAATAAAGTTACAATGGATCTCATGAAAATAAACGACAATCTGACCTCCCAAAATTTCTAAAATCTCTTCATTGTTATAAGCAAAATGTATTTAGTCCATCAAAAAAATTAAAAATTACTTATGCTACTGAGTCCATTATATGAAAGACCCAACATGATGGAGTGTTTCAAGGGAATGTCGTCTTGAGAAAGGCATGCAGTGGGAACTTTGATGACTCTCCATGATTCTCGAATGTTTCCCCAAAGAGAATATTTATTGCAAGACATAGCCAACACTTTATACTTTAGTCTTGTAAATTCATTTCCCAAGTCAGTATTTGATGAAATAAGGCAGAAATTGCCAAATTGGAGTTGAAAATTTGGAATAAAGTTATTATGCGTACAAGATTCTTAAATGAGTTCAATACATCCTTATTAGCAGAAAGACGGATATTCCTTGCTCATTATCAGACAATCACTTATTCACAAACTTTAACTGATTATGAAAATCATTATTAATCAGCCACTCGCTCACTTAATGCTTTAAAACAATAACTCCTAGTTAGTTTTGTTAAACGTGGAAGTTGCAACTTTGATAAACTCAATTCACGATCATAATTAATCATGATGAGGGCTCATGTTCTTCATCTACTTCTTTTCCAAATTGTTCTCACTCTCATCCTTCCCTTCTCGGCCGCATATCACATCGGCGTTAACTACGGCACGGTGGCAAATAACCTCCCACCGCCACACCAAGTCGTCAACTTCATCAAAACAAAAACAAACATCAACCACGTCAAAATCTTCGACGCAAACCCCGACATCCTCGCCGCGTTTTCCGGCATCACCGGGATATCCCTCACCGTCACAATCCCAAACTCCGACATCGTTTCCCTCTCCAAGCTTCCCAACGCACGTTCATGGCTCTCCAACCACCTCCTCCCTTTCCTCCCAGCAACCTCAATCCGTTACATCGCTGTCGGAAACGAAATCATTGCCACATCCGACAAAACCCTCATTGCTCATCTCCTCCCCACCATGGAGTCGCTTACGTTAGCGTTACACCTCGCTAACGTCACTGGGATCTTAGTCTCCACGCCTCACTCGCTAGGTATCCTCTCAGGCTCCTCCGAACCACCTAGCTCCGGAACGTTTCGTAGAGGCTACGTCAAAACCATCTTCGCTCCAATTCTAGACTTCCACAACCGCACAAAGTCTCCCTTCATGGTTAACCCGTACCCATATTTCGGGTTCGGACCCGAAACGTTAAACTACGCACTCTTTAACTCAAGCGACGTCGTTGTCTTTGACCCGGTTACGAAGATGAACTACACCAACATGTTCGACGCTCAGCTCGACGCGGTTTACTCAGCAATGAAACGTGTCGGGTATGGAGACGTGGACATCGTTGTGGCTGAGACCGGTTGGCCATCAGCTGGTGAACCGAATCAGACCGGCGTCGGTTTAGAATATGCGGAGGCATACAATAGGAACCTTATAAAGCATGTGAATTCCGGTAAGGGCACTCCATTGATGCCAAACCGGGTTTTCGAGACTTGTATCTTCGCTCTCTTCAACGAGAATCTCAAACCGTCGGTTTCTGAGCAAAATTTTGGTTTGTTCAAACCGGACTTCACATCGGTTTATGATGTTGGTATCATGAAAAACTGATAAATGTAAAAACGTCACTTAGGTGCTTCAAATACTATGATTTATATCAGCAAAGAATGTCAAAGTTCAATTTTTGTAAATCTAAGATTCAAAATCTTTATATTATCCTATTTCCTATGTATCAATTTCAATATTATGGTTTATTCTGGTTTATGACTCATAAACTGTACCAACAACAAAACTGAAGGAAGCAGACATTATCAGTCTTGGGTTGGTGCGTTCTGATTGAGCTCGGCAAACCGCATACCAACACGCATGGTGTGCTTAAGGAACTTCTCAGCGCAACGCATAACACAAGTCTCCTCTTGTTTCTGCAGAGATTTGCGTGTGAAGCTATCAACACAGTCCACAAAACACCTCTCGACCAATGAATTGTACATCCTCAAGCTTACAAGTAACCAAAAACACCACAAGAACATAAAAAGTTAGGTTCTAAACACAGAACAAAAACTCTCTAATTTCAAAACAGAGCAACTTTTGAAGAAAACAACAAACTAATTAGTAGACAATGCATAAAGTCGTTGTTCCCTTAGCGTCCAAGCTGCAGTACTAATTTGGTTGCACTGGTTTTAAGGTGATCATATAACTCTTAGCGTCAATGTAAGACAACAAGCCACAGATGCAAAATGATTGCGAATTATGAACTATGTGAACCATTCCGAGTTTTGATTAGAACAGATAATTAACAAACACACAAATATGGAACAAACCAATTTCACCTAAGAAAGAACACTTTAAAACTCTTGGCTCTATGGAATCATACTATAAAAACCCTTAATACATTCATTAACCCTTTACTCAAAATTAATCAGCAAATCTAAAGAAGAGTGACATTTCCCACAAAACAAAAGCTACATTAAATCAGATTTGAACTAAAGGAACAAAGATTAATACAGTGTCATTCGAAACTAGGTTCGAGCAAGGTCAAGACAATTTAAAGAAGCCAAAAGTCGAATTTTATAAAGACAATTCACAATGAAAAAAAAACAGAGAGAACCGATATAAAGTGACAAACCTATCACGTAGCTGAAGCTGATCAATCATAGAGGCCATTTTGGCTTTATCTTCTTCAGGAAGACCATCGAATCCAGCCATCATACTCGCGTCCATTTTCACACAATCGTTACTTCCTTCGTCTACAGATTCAGTTCCTTCCTTCGCCTCATTGCTCTACGTCTTCAAAACCCCAGCGACCTTCTATACTGGGCCTGATGGGCTTCTTAACTATTTCGATATTGATTAAAGCCTTAATTATAAACCACCACATATTTTGAGGTCTAAAAAGATTAGGAATTCTTTTACGATCAATCTTTTTGATAGATGACATTTGATTGACAGATCCACCCAAACTATATAATTGATCTGTCTTTAAATTTTTGTTTCCAAATGTAAAGTAGAAGACAAAATATCATCAATGAGTATCATCCTGTCAAAGATCATCGTCGGCTAACTACGTATACAAACTATTTGAATCCTACTAAAATCAAAATACTACTCCACTAAACGTTTGTTATAGGAGATCAAGATAAAACTCTGCTGCACAGCTATAAAAACTTTCACATGCAAACGAAAAAAACTTTAAATGGCACTGTTATTATTTTTAAAAACACTAATACCCCACGTGGACACCATCTTGAGCTCACTCACCAAAATCTAATCACTACAAGACTAGAAGTGTCCACAAAAGCATCTCTCTGACACAATGACATCTGTTTTGTCCTTGCGCGTGTACTTTAAACTCCCTTAACACCGCGCGTCACTAAATTCCTCCCAAATATGTCTCTCTCTAATTAATTTCATTTTTTTTTTAATTTTCGTCGTCTCCACCAAAACTTCACTCACACACCACTCCCTTCGTTTCTCTCTCTCTATCCATCAATCCACTTCTCTCCTCTGTGTTCTTCTCTTTACCAAAAAAAATCTCATGACCTAACTCTAAACAAAATAAATGGCGAACGTAATCTCAGTTTCCCATTTTACCCTTCCCGTATTAGCTTATTTACTTCTCTTCCTATCCACCACCGCCGCTGCCATCAACGTCACCGCCATCCTCTCTTCTTTCCCTAACCTTTCGTCATTCTCCAACCTCCTCGTCACTTCCGGCATCGCCGCCGAACTCTCCGGTAGAAACTCACTAACCCTCCTCGCCGTTCCCAATTCTCAATTCTCCTCCGCCTCCGTAGACCTCACGCGCCGCTTACCTCCTTCAACGCTCGCGGATCTCCTCCGCTTCCATGTCCTTCTCCAGTTCCTCTCAGATTCCGATCTACGACGCATCCCTCCCTCAGGCTCAGCCGTCACAACTCTCTACGAAGCTTCAGGTCGTACATTCTTCGGATCCGGATCCGTTAACGTATCCCGTGACCCGGCTTCAGGATCCGTCACGATCGGATCTCCTAGTACCAAAAACGTCACCGTTTTAAAACTCCTCGAGACAAAACCTCCCAACATAACCGTCCTCTCCGTCGACTCACTCATCGTCCCCACCGGAATCGATATCACCGCATCGGAGACTCTCACTCCACCGCCGACATCAACATCTCTCTCCCCTCCTCCGGCGGGAATCAACCTCACTCAGATACTAATCAACGGACACAACTTCAACGTCGCTCTCTCTCTCCTCGTCGCCTCCGGAGTCATAACAGAGTTCGAAAACGACGAACGCGGCGCCGGAATAACAGTCTTCGTACCAACCGACTCCGCCTTCTCCGATCTCCCTTCCAATGTTAATCTCCAGTCTCTACCGGCGGAGCAAAAAGCATTCGTGTTAAAGTTCCATGTGCTACATTCATACTACACACTCGGTTCGCTCGAATCAATAACCAATCCGGTTCAACCAACATTAGCCACCGAAGAAATGGGAGCCGGTTCGTACACTCTCAACATCTCCCGGGTTAACGGGTCAATCGTAACGATCAATTCGGGTATGGTTCTAGCCGTAGTGACTCAAACGGCATTTGATCAAAACCCGGTTTCTGTTTTCGGAGTATCCAAAGTTCTTTTACCTAAAGAACTGTTCCCAAAAACGGGTCAACAACCCGTTGCCACGACGGCTCCTCCACAAGTGATCTCTTTGTCGCCGGCGAGTTCTGAGGAGCCATCGTCACGAATCGTATCACCACCGCGTGAGATAATTTCATCCGGCGCGGTTAAAAGAACACTTGGTTTCTTAGCCTTGTGGTGGTGTTGGTGTATAGCATTATTTTGTTATCTTTTGGTATGATTTTTTTTCTTTATCACATAAAAATGTTTTGCCTTCGATTAGGGCTTTTATTTATTTTTACTGGAATTTATTTTTTCTTTTCACGAGGGTTTATATATTTATTTTTACGTCATAATTATGAGGAAAAAAAACATTTCACCTTTCCCATGTAAATTTAGATTTTAATGGGCAATTTTGGGTAAAAAAACAACCCATGTCTATAAAAAAACCTTCATTCTCTTTTGGTATACCAATTTTTCACATCATTTTTGCTATAACGTTTTCGTTTATTTATGAAAAATCTATTTCAAAACACTAAAAAGTATATAGTGAATAAGAATGGAATCTAATCAGTGAATTAGATCAGCAGGAATAATAATAGTAGAGACAGTAAGTGCGTGACAGGTGCCATGTTGGGTCGTACCATGTTGACACCGACGGTCCAGATCTTTCTCGGGTCAGTTTCTCGCTAGATTTTCGGGTTATTTAGAGCCGTCAGATCCTTGAGATCCAGTTTCACTTAGACGCGCGTGTGGGATGTACGGTCAAGATCTATCTTCTAACTCTCACCTTATTCACTTCACTTCTTCTTCACTGACTCGGTGAACTGAAAAGTAGAGAGAGTTACAATCCTGTGTGGTCGCTCACACACTACTACTGTACTATACCGTATTTTAAAAAAAAATTATTTATAGCCGACCAAAATATAAATATATGATTCGTTATCAAAGATATTATTTTTTTTTTGGAATTTTTTTTAGAAAATATAGCACTATCACACCGTTTACATGTTTCATATTACACTATCACACCGTTTGTAGCCAAGACACCGTTTCTATATGCGAAGTTTCTATATTACCCTTTTAACTAAAAGACAACCAATGTTATCTTGTTAGTCCAATTTTTCATCTTTTTCTCGACTCTACTTCTTTTTCTCTCTCTCTCTTTCTCTCTCTCTCTTATCCAGGTTAACCTTGATCTCCTTTTTCTTTCTATCTTTTATTGATACACTTCCTTTGTTCTTAATTCCAGTTTTTTTTTTCTTTTTCTCGCAATCTGGTATTGATCTTGGGTTTGTTTGATTTCTCTTCTGTTTTTGTTCCCATAAGATTGTTTGAATCAGAGAGATTAAGTGGATTTTTTTGTGGGGATTGCCATAGTGTTGGGTTCTTTGATGAACTAGATTTTGTTTACCTACCTTTTAGCCCACATATGCTCAATTAGGTTTTGGAATTTGATTAACTGAAGTTGTCTTCTATTTTCATGTAGATCTTGGATTTCACAAGCATAACTCAGTAGATTTTGGATTTCACTAGTCTTCCAAGCCCAACCCGTTCGATTCTGATGATGAATCCGACAACAAACATACCCGCCGCATATGAACACCTTTCTTCTCAACAAAGTCGTCAGAATCGTCAATCCAACCATGCGTTGAAGTGTTGTTTTGTGGACAAGCCTTAGCAAACGTAGCTTCTATGGTCATATAATCGTGGACTTCAGTTATGTGGACTTCAGTTATGTGGATTGCACTTCTTGGATAAAACGAGTTCCAGAGATCAAATGTCATATTTTGGTTGATTTTGAAATCTGTTTTGGATAGTCTATAGTTAGAAATGCATGTGCAGTGTCATAGTTTTCCTTTGATCAATCATACATGTTCATTTGTATTTTTTATGCTTAACCGGTTTTCTTTTTTTGCTTTAGCTCAATTTTAGTTTGTGAAGATTTTTTTTTTTGGTTTGAGGTTTGAAACTATACGACCATTTGTCTCTATTTGTTTTGTGGACTTGATTTGATTCACGTTATATTGATTTTTCCATTGAAGTTGGTCAGAGATACAATGGTTTCATGTTGGATGATAGTAGATGCATAAACCTACGTAGGTTTATGACACTTTTTTTAATTTATTGGTTTGAATCTGTAGAATTTGTGTTTATTGGTGTGACATCAGTTTTATACATAAGTTCCTCTTTGTATGGATGAAGAATTATGAATGTGGTAATGTGGATGCCTAAACGTGCCTCTTTGTATAAACCAGTTTATGGACTTGATTTTATGGATATGGAGAATGAAATACTCTATATTCTTGAGAGCCAGTTGTAAAAAAAACTCATAGATAGACAATGCCTATTTGAATAAACCATTTTACAAACAAATTTGTTTGGTTTATGGTGATTTTTGTGCAAAAAAATGTCGATTATGGTACCGTATAACTGAAGTCCACAACACCAAGTCTTTAGCTTTTTCTCAGGAAAAAAAAAAACTTGAATGTTCAAGACAACAAAAGTCAAAAGAAAAAAAAAACACAAACCAAAGTACGACATCCATGTGGACAACGCTTGGTGAATGAGATGTAAGATATTTATGTAGAAAACACTAGCTTGGTGAATGAGCTTAAGAACAACACAAGAACTTTTAAGACAATATTTTCTTCATATCGATTCTGCAATGGACTAGATGCTTTAAATACACAAAACATAGCTAACTCCTAAGAACATGAAACGTCGGCAACGAAACACATTCCCACTACATGTTTGGCCACGTCATCTTCTTCCTCTAGGTTTTGGCCACTAAATGTTGAAACCGATCAGTGAAGCTAGAAGAATCCACAAACCAAGATTAAGGATGCTTTGAATCGTCCCTTGTTGAATGTACACTGAATCTTCATCAATTGTATGCTCACTGTTCTTATAAACCCAGAAACCTTTGCTTTTATATGACTGAAAACATTACCATTCGAACCAATGGTTCATGTATTCATGAACCAAATTGTAAAAACGTGAAAATGGACATGGTAATAGGTATACCAAACAATCTTTCCCCGAACACATGGTCAAGATTAACATATCCATAGATACTTGAACAATCTTTAGTTCACTATACAATATCCATAGATACTTGAACAAATATTGTTTTAAGGAAAAAAACATTAACCATTCAAGGGAATATGAACACATGAAAGCCTTACATTAAAAAACTACAACACAAACATTCTAACTGATGGTCATCCATGATCTTTATCATTAGTTTTCACATCAGCTACATCACATCCACCACATCGTAACCATCGAACTGTTGCCACCGCATCGCACCCACCAAATCACATCACAACTACAACATCCACCACATCGTATCCACCATATCGCATCCACCACATCGTATCCACCGTATCGCATCCACCACATTGTTTCACATTCACCGTATCAAATCCACAGCAAAAAGTTGAAATCTTGTTTAAGAATCCAGAAATCAATGTAGTTTAAGTAAAAAATCCAGAAAATAAAAGAATCTCTTACTCTTGTTTTGAGGTATTAGATTCCGTTTCCCCCAAAGAGAACAAAACGACGTATGGAGAAATTGATTTTACACAAGATTTAATTTGTATCGACTCTCTGAAAAATGATTGAAATTGAACTCTAATGTTTTGATTTTTATGATGCAGGAATCATGACCGTCGCATGTGAAGCCGACCGGCTAAGAAACAGAGGAGATATATATATTTTTTTGGTGGACAGAGTAGATATTTTTGCTCCAGATAAAAATGGAGAAAATGAAAGAAGAAGATGAAAGATAAACAACTTCAGATCTAGAGAAACAACACATACCTCTCAGTTTTGGTTTGAGAGAGAGAGAGAGAGGGAGAGAAAAAGGTAGAGGGTGAAAGAGAAAAAGCGAGACAGTGAGAGAGAGAGAAAAAGAAAATGACTCTAATTGTTCATTTTTCATCTTAATCTTAGGATCATTCCTAGCCATAAGATTCTCAAATATTTAGTTACTAACGTATGGTTGAAAGTTAAAGTTTTATAATTGTTTCTGATAAGCTTTCAAAAACTTAACTGAGGGTGTTTTTGTCAGAAATTAATATGTACAGTACAAAAGAGAACAAAAAACGGTGCCACAAACCCAAAGGGTGTTAAACTGAAACGAAAGACACATAAACGGTGTCTCTATGTAACTTTCTCTTTTTTTTATGTCTAACTAGTAATAAAAATTAAAAATGATTCACTATCGGATCGGTTAGAGGAATTGATGTAAGAATTTATTGGTATCATATAGTGCTTTGCTTGACTTTTCTGATGTAACAACGATCATTCAAAGATTTTCAAACTTGAGGACCTTTTTGGATCACAGATTTGGACTTTCCTTGAAATTTATATTAAAAGTTTTTCTTGTCTCTTATATTCAATGACCAATCTTGAATTTATATCTCTCTCTGTGTGGTTTTTGAACTAACCTCTCCAATACCGTATGAAATAGTTTCAAAACATCTCTCTTCTCTTTCGTTTCTCAAGAGATGTCGATGATGAGCAAAAACAGAAGCAGCAGCAGCAGTATGGCCATGGGAGGAACACCATCGTTTCTTGAATTGAAGAAACAAGCTTCTTTTTTCTTCAAGGAAAAGCTCAAAACGGCGCGTTTGGCTCTCACTGATGTCACTCCTCTTCAACTGTTAGTTTTTTTTCTTTCTATCTTCTGCTGATTATAAGGTTTCTTGATTTTCTAAGACATGGCACAGATGGTGATAATAAAGATTTATGTGTATGTAATTTGGTTTGAAGAATGACTGAGGAAGCTACGGATGGTGAGTCATGGGGACCAAATACACAAACCTTAGGATCTATTTCAAAAGCTGCTTTCGAGTTTGAAGATTATTTGCGGATCGTCGATGTTTTGCACAAAAGGTTTCATTATTCCTAATTTTAGTTTTCATATAATAACCAAATTTGGATTTAATCGCTGCTTAATCTATAGTTTCTGTACTTAGTAGTATACATGCCTTTAACTGAGTTATGGATCTGTTTGTTTGTTTGGTGTAAACTAGATTGGCAAGGTTTGATAAGAGAAACTGGAGAATAGCTTATAACTCGCTCATAGTTGTTGAACATTTGCTCACTCATGGACCAGAGAGTGTTTCTGATGAGTTTCAAGGCGATGTAGATGTTATCTCCCAAATGCAACCTTTTCAAATGATCGATGAGAAAGGGTACTCATATTTTCAAGTTTTAATGTTTGGTATGAAGACCAGTTTCAATGTTCTGTGACAATAAGTTTTGTTTATTTGGTAGGTTTAATTGGGGATTAGCTGTTAGAAAGAAAGCAGAGAAGGTTTTAAAGCTACTTGAGAAAGGGGAATTGCTCAAGGAAGAGAGGAAGCGAGCTCGTGAGCTGTCTCGAGGGATTAAAGGTTTTGGTAGCTTTGATCACAAGTCTTCATCTCATTGTATGTCAGAGAGTGTAGTCTTACAAGAATCTCCAGTCTATAGGAAATGCAATTCCAACTTTACCAAGTACAGCGAGGATGACCAAGAGATCATCAACTCAGTGGTTTCTTCTAATGAAGCCGGTCACTTTCCTCAGCAGCGGGTTACTGACCCGAACGAGGAAACTGGGACGGGTATGAAAGAAAATATGGATCCTGAAGATGATGAGAACACAGAGGTAGACCCACTTTTGAGTTGTAGTAAGGGTCAAGATTTAGATGAAGAAGATGAGAACCATCCATTTACTGATGGCGAAAATAAGCATACAATAGTCTCATTGCTTGATGAGAACACAAATTGAAATTTTCTTAAAATGTAATCGCAGTCTGTATAAGAGAGAAAAATCAAGAAGAAGATAATGTGTGTATACCCATATGTATACATATAGATAATAATAACACTTCTGTTTATGACTAATCTGTTTTCAACTAGATTTGTTTTTAAAATGAACAATGATGGAAAAAAAAAACACATATAGAGAAGAAGAGCTAAGTAACTACGGCAATTGTCTAAAGAATGATATCAAAGTTTCACCCGCACTTGTGTTACTTGGTATTTTGATCCAGAGGGCACTTCCTATGGTCTGTATCCGTTAAATTTGAAACATTTTGTAACACAATCTATTACAAATTTTTATACATAAGAGCACTAATCTTATATAATAAGACAAGGTTTCTTCTAACTTTGCCTCACAAAGCGACATTTGGCGCTCTATATACTTGACATGTGTCATTTTTATTAATTTCTAATTTAACATTTTAAAATTATATATTTGTCATATTGTGTTGTAAGTTATAAGATATGTATTGTTTGCTTTAAAAACAAAGTGTCATTGTTGGAAAAAAGTGTCATTTGTTGGAGTAGTTAAATTTTTTTTTTGTATTCAAAGAAAATTGGTATGAGTTTTTTTCCTCCAGATTTAAAGTTCACATCAAAATTTCCTCCTTTTTAAGGATTTTTCCTAAATTTATTAAGATGGGTAATAAATTATTTATAACATATTTTTATAACTTTTGAAAACTAAGTATATAATAAAATAATTAAAGAGAATTGTTTTTTCTTTTACTTTAGCATGGTGAAGTCTATGGTAAATAATGAAATTAGAGAAAGTTTGATTGTTTTCAGTATAATAAATTAGTACATCTAAAATATTTAGATAAAGTGACTATTTAACCAAAAAATATTCTATTACTTAATTTACTATTTATTTAATTTAGAAAACAAAATTTATGTAATTTACTATTATTAAACAGTTGAGAGAGGAAACTCAGTCTAATAGAATAGAAAATCATGAAATTTAATCAAAGAATAATTATCATATTATTCAGAAATCATATATATAAAAATAAAGTTTCACTCTCTTCTTATTGGTTCACTTGGCATGTAAGTTAAAAAAATATATTATGTATTATCAATTTATCATATATATATATATATATATATATATATATATATATATATATATATATTTAATTCACAATTTAATATAAAACTGAAAAACAATTAAACCACAAAACACATTTAGTCATATACATTAAACTCACACTTTAATATAAAAACTGAAATATTATAAATTTGCATTAACTATATTTTTCATTGAATTTTTCAGCACACAATAAATTATAATTGATTCCCATAATTATTTTTTATGAAATTGTAACTCCCATCACTTCTCTTCCTATATATACTCATTTTCTCAGTTACCATTCCCTCATTCTCTCATCCTCTAATTCTCAATCTCAATTATTATATAAAAAAATAAGCTTTGTGTTTTTTTTTTGTTGTATGAGTTTGAGAAAAAATTAAAATATTCTTTTATAAAATCTCAATTGTAAAAAAAAAATAGAGACTATATGATATACATCTTATATTATTATAATTTTTGTTTTTTGAAACTTCATCCCTATTTTCTATTCATCTATCCATTTTCAAAAATACCCGTGTTTAAATATTAAAAATTATAAAATTTTATATAGTTTATAAGATACTACTATATAATCACTACTACTGAGAGATTCGATACAAATATTTGAAAATGTTTTAAATGGTTTTAAATAGTTTTTATAAGTTTTATAAAGTTTTAAAAAGGGTTTTTAAGGTTTTAAAAAGGTTATAGGATCATAGTACAATAGATGAACTTTACATTGACTACTATTTTTGTATCCAAACATACAAAAAAATCAACACTTTGGTAGATAAATAAGAGAACTTACCTGGTACTAACATAATATATCTTCTTTTAAATTTTAATATTTTCCATTTCTTCTCTAAAATTTTATTTTTTATTATTTTCATTATTGTCCTATAATTTATTTATGTATGAATTCCCAAGATGTTATTGTTACATTATTTTAATTTTCATTTAAATTAGTATATATTATTTTTCTCGAAAATCGTGGTAGAGAGCAAAGCGGGTATGGTAAATTATATGTGACTTTTCTTTTAAATTAACATAACCTATTTTTAAGAATACATATGGTTTAGTTTTTTAATTGTATATGCAATTAATATTAGGCTATTTTGATGCTCTGGATTAATATAAGGTTGTTGACAAAAAAAATAGAAATATTAATGTGTCATTATATAATATTATCCTATATGAAATATTAGAAGATATGATTTTTTTGAGAGACCGAAGGGAAAAGTAATCAACATTTCATAAGAAATGACTTTAAGAAAAAAAAAAAAAAAAAGAAGATGACATAGTAACAAACCTAAAGTAAATTTGTATAGATTACAAGTTCAAAGAGTTGGTTGTAGTGATGTAAGACTATAAATTTTACTCTTTTTTATCCTAATGTAGTTGAATAAAAGAAGTATTATAATGCTTATTTCAATTGATGATGAAATTTGTTGAATACAAATAAAAAAATTATTAATTTTTTTTTTTTTTTGTAACAAATTTTTTAATTAATTCTAAATAATTTATGCAGTAGATAGCAATATGCATAATACAAAATAATCATAAAACATAATACAAAAAATATTCTATGAGATAGTACATAAAAATGAAGAGAATCACTTAATTGCTTCAATCAAATTGATTTCCAAAAAAATATATTAAAATTATTATAAATATAATATCAAATTTATCTCGCGCATCGCGCGGGTCTACTTCTAGTTAAACTATAAGACAAGTATGGCGTTTTATAACTCACTCGTAGTTTTTGAACATTTTCTCACTCACGGACCAGAGAGAAATGTTTCTCATGTTCTTCAAGGTGATAGATGACATTTCGAAATTAGACACTTTCAACATACATATGAAAAATTGAAACTTCCACGAAAGATAGTATTGGCAAGTTGAGCAATGATAATCTAGCTATATTGGTCCCACGTCTATGAATTATTGTGGACATGATTACAAACTATGCATAGTTCCAAGATAATGTAGGAGCGGTCGAAATATCATTTCAACAAGTCAAGTGTGAAGGTTTCTGAGATAAGGTTGACACAACTAAACAAAACATTTCTTCAATCTTGTGCTTACTAGTGTGAAGATGGTAGATGCAATCACGAAGTTCGTTGTGGAGAAGATTGGCAACTATCTCATGGAAGAAGCATCAACGTTAATGGGAGTCAGAGATGATCTAGAGTCCCTGAAGAATGATTTGATGTGCATCCAAGGTTATATCAAGGATGTTGAAGCGCGAGAAAGAGAAGATGAGGCCTCCAAAGTGTGGACAAAACTAGTTTTAGATATCGCTTATGACGTCGAGGATGTTTTGGACACCTATTTTCTGAAAGTAGAAGAAAGATCACAAAGACGAGGTTTGAGAAGATTGACCAACAAAATAGGCAGGATGAAGGATGCGTACAGCATAGTTGATGATATCAGAATCCTCAAGAGAAGAATCTTGGATATCACTCGCATGAGGGGCACTTATGCTGTAGGAGGTTTAAAAGAGCCTCAAGGAGGAGGGAGTACTTCAAGTTTGAGACTGGGTCAGCTTCGACGTGCTCGATCTTTTGACCATGAAGAGCTTGTAGTTGGTTTGGAAGAAGATGCTAACACTCTTTTGGCAAAGCTTCTCGATGGTAGTGAGTACAATAGATTTATTATCTCGATCTTTGGTATGGGAGGTCTCGGAAAGACTGCACTTGCTAGGAAGCTCTACAACTCAGAGAATGTGAAGAGAAGATTCGAATACCGCGCTTGGACTTATGTTTCTCAAGAGTATAAAACAGGAGATATACTTATGAGAATTATTAGATCTTTGGGAGTGGCTTCTGCGGAAGAGTTGGAAAAGATTAGGTTGTTTACAGAGGAGGAATTAGAAATTTACCTTCATGATCTTTTAAAAGGGAAAAGATATCTAGTGGTGGTAGATGATATATGGGAGCGAGAAGCGTGGGAGAGTTTAAAGAGAGCACTACCCTGCAGCCATGTTGGAAGTAGAGTCATTATCACTACGCGTATTAAAGCTGTTGCTGAAGGTGTAGCTGGGAGATTCTATGCTCATAAGTTAAGGTTCTTGACATTTGAAGAAAGCTGGAAATTGTTTGAACAGAAAGCATTCATGAGTACGCAAGGGGTTGATAAAGAGCTGCAGAAAACTGGAAAAGAAATGGTTCAAAAGTGCGGTGGACTACCGCTGGCTATAGTCGTGCTTTCTGGGCTTCTGTCTACGAAGAAGACGGCAAACGAGTGGCATGAAATGCGTGCTAGTTTATGGCGACGCCTAAAGGATGACTCCATTCATGTTTCCACTTTGTGTGATCTAAGCCTCAAGGAGATGGGACATGAGTCGAAACTTTGCTTTCTTTACCTTAGTATATTCCCAGAGGACTATGAGATTGAGGTAGAGAACTTGATACAGTTACTTGTAGCAGAAGGGTTTGTAGAAGGGGATGAAGAGAGAATGATGGAAGATGTGGCTCGGGCCAATATCGAAGAGCTGATAGACAGAAGTTTAGTGGAAGCAGTGAGGGTAGAAAGAGGAAGAGTGATGTATTGTAGAATCCATGATCTTCTGAGAGACGTGGCTATCAAGAAATCTAAAGAGCTAAACTTCATAAATGTTTATAGCGATCATGTGACACAACATACATCTAAAATTTGCAGAAGGGAAGTGGTTCACCATCAGATCGTCATCAACAAACACTTCTCTGAGAAACGCATGAACAAAGGAATGCGATCCATCCTGTTCTTTGGAGTATCGACGGTTAATGGTAGAACCACTAACTTGAACCTGAAGCTACTTCGAGTGCTTAATCTTGGGTTTATTCGAAAAAGATATATGTACTCGAGTTTCCCAGAGGCGATCGGGGATTTATTCCACTTGAGGTACCTTGAGATGAATTCTGATAGTTCAAAAAATTTACAAGCTTTCATCTCTAAATTACGGTTTCTACAAACGCTACGTTTATCTGGCCCGGGTTTCAGCAAAAAAAGAATCGATCTCCGAAAGCTCACGGCACTGAGGCACGTCACAGGAAACTTCGTACGAGAATTTCTAATAGGCGACGCACTGAACCTTCAGACCTTGAGGTCTATAACATCCTACAGGTGGAGCAAACTAAAACATGAGTCGCTCATAAATCTTCAGGACTTGGAGATCAGGGACATTTTTGGGTGGAAGACGTCGAAACGCATTTCTGTGTGCTGGGCTTCCTTTACTAAACTAAGAAATCTTCGTGTTCTGAGGCTGGACGACATTAAATTATCGTTGGGATCGGAAGAGGCAGTTAGGTCCATGGATGTGATATTACCCAGTCTTGAATCTGTAGAACTCGTTGAAGGGGAACTCCAGGAAGACCCAATGCCTTTTTTGCAGAAATTGCCGAGACTGGAAGATCTGCTCTTGGATTGTCATTTGGAGGGAAGGAAGATAAGCATCAGCGAAAAAGGTTTTGGTCGGCTGAAAAAGCTTCACTTGTTCCTACAAAATTTAGATGTGTTCCACATAGAAGAAGAGGCCATGCCCAATTTGATCCAACTGAAACTGGAAACCAGACTACAAAAAGAGAAGCTGCTAATTCCAGAGCGATGCGAGCGTTTATTAGAATATACGGGATTGACTGGTGATGAGTAATGATCCTGAAGATTTATGTCTTTTAATATCAAGTCTGCTAAAGTACGTACATCTTTCACATTTACTCTTCGCCTTCTTTAATCTCTTTTCCAAGCTTTCTCTACAACTAAAACATTGTAATTTCCCTTTGATAAAGTCCGACGATGATGATGATCTTTGTTAGAAATGTCTTTATTGAGCCAGCTGCTGTTTCTAATAGATGTAATTTCCTGATTCTAAAAGGTTGATTATTGTGAGTTTTGTTGTGAGAAAAGAGTGCCATTGTTTCTTGACTACTATCTCAGTTTCCTGAAGATGATACAAAAGCACCGAAGATAATAAATCCAGTTCTTGGTTTTCAGAAGAACAAAACGAGCCTCAAGAACTAGCCGAAGAAGACGGGAACCATCCATTTACGGATGGCGAGAATAGTCATACAATCGTTTCATTGCTTGATGAGAACACAAATTGAAAAGATTTAAAATGGAATCGAGGTCCAAGCTTAGAAGATATACATATATAGAATAATAACATTCTGATAATGATTGATATGTTTTTTTTTTTTAACTTGGTTTGCTTCAAAAGCAAGATTAAAATGAACAATGAGGAAGAATAATAAAAATAACACAAATAGAAAAGTTGTAAGTAATTATAGAAACTGGTTTCAGGGTGGAAAAATGATTTATCAAAATTTTTACCGAACTTGTTTTACTTGGTGATATTTGATCAGAAGCACTTCCTGTGGACAATCGACGGTCCAGATTCATCATACTCGGCTTTCGCAATCCACATCTGCAGATTTAAACACATTTTTGTAACAATTTTATACACCAAAACGATTAATATGCTTTATGTACTGATAAGATTTGTATGTATAAGTGTAATTTACCTGCTGGAAAGTACTGAGAGAGGCCAAGATAGAGCCACCAATCCAAACACTGTACTTCCTTTCCGGTGGAGCAACAACTTTGATCTTCATACTGCTTGGAGCCAACGCGGTGATCTCTTTACTCATCCTGTCACCAATCCCGCCGAACATAGTGGTTCCACCACTGAGCACAATGTTCCCATAAAGATCCTTCCTGATATCCACATCACATTTCATGATTGAGTTGTAAGTAGTTTCATGGATTCCAGGGTTTTCCATTCCGATCATCGATGGCTGGAACAGGACTTCAGGGCACCGGAAACGCTCTGCCCCGATTGTTATCACTTGACCGTCTGGCAGCTCGAAGCTCTTCTCTACGGATGAGCTGGTTTTGGAAGTCTCGAGCTCTTGCTCATAGTCCAAGGCAATGTAAGAGAGCTTCTCCTTCATGTCTCTAACGATTTCACGCTCAGCAGTTGTGGTGAAGGAGTAACCACGCTCTGTTAGGATTTTCATGAGGTGGTCAGTTAGGTCACGACCAGCAAGATCGAGACGCAAGATTGCGTGTGGAAGTGCATAACCCTCGTAGATTGGAACCGTGTGACTCACACCATCTCCAGAGTCCAAAACAATACCTAACCAACAAAATTATAAATATGAGAGCAAAGCAATAGAGGAATAAACCTATATCTTATATAAATCAAATGGTAAAGAAGATTGTAGTAGTGTACTGACCAGTAGTACGACCACTGGCATAGAGGGAGAGAACAGCTTGAATGGCAACATACATAGCAGGAGTGTTAAAAGTTTCAAACATGATCTGTGTCATCTTCTCACGGTTAGCCTTGGGATTAAGCGGCGCTTCGGTTAGCAGAACCGGATGCTCTTCCGGGGCAACACGCAGCTCGTTGTAGAAAGTGTGATGCCAAATCTTTTCCATGTCATCCCAATTGTTAACAATACCATGTTCGATTGGATACTTGAGAGTCAAGATACCACGTTTCGACTGTGCCTCGTCTCCAACATATGCATCCTTTTGTCCCATTCCAACCATCACTCCTGTGTGACGCGGACGACCAACGATACTTGGGAATACTGCTCTTGGAGCATCATCACCTGCAAAACCAGCCTATATGCAAAGAGTTGAATCATTTCACTTATGGCACATAATAACATTCAAATCTTGTTTTTTTTGTAATCATCAAGAGAAATTAATTAGCTTTACCTTGACCATTCCAGTCCCATTATCGCAAACGAGTGGCTGAATATCTTCACCGTCCGCCATTTTTCAATCTCTAGCTGATTACATCAACAAAGGAACAAAAAACATCAATGGTTAAAGCCTTTCTTTAACCTCGTTAGAAAAATCTCGCAGTTCTGTAATATAATAACGTTACGTATACCATAATCTAACACATTATATAACAACGTTACATTTATAAGATGTATGAAAGTTTATGACACCAAACAAAGAAAGAATATAACATCTACCTGATGAATTCTAGGTAGAAGAAGAGAAAGAGAGGCTTCACGAATCTTAAAACGTCCCGGCCTGAAATGGGGTTTCAAAAAATTTCTGAAAAACATAAGCAACTTAGCCCCTTAATATCGTTTGACCATAAACTGATATGAGCCATTAGTTTTTTTTCTTAAGACCACTATCTCAGCATGTATTGACACGTCGATCTCCACCTATTTTTAGCTTGAGAAATTATAAGAGACCACCAGCCTAACCAGAGAATACGGTTTCAAGCTCTGTTTTACCGGAAGAATCGGGTCACCGAACAAGCCATGAGTCACTTTGAGCCTTGGAAACTAAAAAAAAATGGCCATGGTTAAAGAACTTATCGGGAAAATCTCAGTTTGTTTGTATTTCATGTTTTTGAAATTTATTGTATCTTAAAAAACAACAAAAATAAAAAAATACATAGAAAATCATAATGATACATGAAGTGAATGAAATATTATCTAAATACCATCTCTTTTTTGTAAAAGAATTTTTGAGAAATACCCCTTTTGGTGTACCCCTTTTAAAAATACTCCCTTTATCTATCCATTTTCAAAAATACCCCTTTTTAAATATAAAAAATTATAAAGTTTTATATAGTTTATAAGGTACTTCTGTATAATAACAACTACTGGGAGATTCGATACAAATATTTAAAATGTTTTAAATAGTTTTAAATCGTTTTTATAAGTTTTATAAGTTTTTTAAAAGGTTTTAAAAGGATTTATACGGTTTTTATAAGCTTTTTATAATTTATTTTTACGCTATTTATGAAAGGAATATAAAGTTTTATACACATATAAAGGTAATTTGTGTATATATTTATAAGCTTACACACATATTTGGATAAATTTCAACATTTTTAGTGGGGTTTTTGATAAAATTTGAAAATGGGGTATTTTTAAAAAGAGGTATATAAAAAGGGGTATTTTTGAAATTCCCTTTTCTTGTAATTATAAGTTTATCCAATATTAAAGTGATCAGTAAAAGAGTGCTATCCAAACTATAATTAAAGAACAAAGTAAAAGGAACTTAGTGGGTGAGGTATGTGAAATTGCTGAAAAGGTTGGGGAAGACTGGGAGTAATGATGATGGATGTAATTGACAAATGTGATAATGATGATGGGGATGTGTTAAATTTAAATAATTAAGCATGTGCATGAGATTTATATTTTTTGTCATGAAACTTTTAATTAGTGTGTGTGAATATGTGTCCGTTCAATTGTTTTTGCTTTTTATGTAGTTTTGAATTTCGATTGCTATACTCCGATTTATTTTAAGTTGTTTTAGTTAAAAACATAAAAAATAATTTAATGCAAAACAAAAATTAATTCAACCAATGAAAATAAATACAGCAGAATATGAATGATTATAAATATTGAATATATTTTTGTTCCTTAAACTAAACCATTTTATAAAATGAAATGGAATAGAACGATCGAAAAATTTAGTGAAAATACTAAATGTCAATGACTTTTGAAAGTAATTTATTCTCTTTTAAATATGGAAACTATTCCTACTGCTATTTAGTGATTTACGATGTACATATTTTGAAGAAATTTCCTACATAATATTTTGTTGGGTCTGATCAATTACCTAAATTGATATAAACTTATTGTGGTAAAAAAACAGTAACAAGTTATAAATAGTTTAAAATGATACAAAACAACGATAAAAAAACGGTAAGAAAAATGGTACAAAAATAAAAGTAACAATGTTAAATTTATTTTTGTGATCGAAAACTTTTGAAATAATATACTTCATACCGGAATAGTTTAAGGTTATAGAAAAAAAAAATTGTATAAGGATAACAATCAATCTATTAGAAATGATTTCTAGATAACTAAAATTACCATGACAAATGAATAACATTTCGTCGAAATCATATAAATCTATGGTTTATAATGACCGTTCTAATTTTCCATTCTTTCTTACTTTAACCTTTTGATTTCGTCGTGAATTGTATTTCATTTCTCTTTAGGTTAGAAACACAAAATTGAAAATTCACGTATCGATAATATCCAAGAAATGAAATGAATGGTCCCAAAATAAAATAGTCTTTCTAATACTCTCTAGTGCTTGTGTGGCTTGACGATTTTTAGTAGAGAAATATTTATTTTAATTAATCGAACAAATACGATGAATCAATCTCAATCAAGAAAAAATAATTTTGACTTTTTGGTAAAGGGGTTAGGGACTTTGGAGACAGAGGTGAACTATGAAGATTGGTTTTTGACTTTTCTAGTGTTTGTATTTTTTAACTTTTAGCCCCAAATCAAAAGCACAAACATACATCCATGTCGATCGATGCACTTATCTTAACTAGTTGCATTCCCTTTTCTAGGTACTCACGTTTTTATAGAGTGAAGATAACGTAACATTTTTTATTTAAAAATGCTTAATAACTTACCTAATAACAAGAAACATGTTTTAAAAAGTTTCAAAGAAGGATTAGATCAAAAGAAAGAACTTTATTGGGATAATTTGGCTGTCCAAAAATGTTATAACTATTTTTATTAGTTCTTTTAAAACATTTTCTTGCATGATTAGAGAGAGAGAGAGGAGGTATTAGTTTTTTTATTCTTCAATTATTGCTAATTCCAAAACTATAAATTCATTAACAATTTTTTGCTCTTCTATAACAACTATATATATATATATATATCTATTTTTTTTTTCAAAATGTTAAAAGAAGAAAATGACCACGAATCGATTAGATACACATAAAAATTCAATCCATTTAAAATTATTTAAAAATGAAATGATTATTCATATTTTCACAAAAGTAATGGTAAAATATATATAAAATCATTTTTCGATTTTTTTTTATACATAAAATCCTTTAAAAGATACTTATTAATACTTTATATTAAAGAAAAAAAGAGAACATAGTATTACAATCTTAACCGGTTCTGATTTGAAATAACCTGCTTCGTGGTCGAGTCAATTTTACTATTACTCCGGTTTATTAAGCCGGTTAAGAGAAAGCGCACAACTTGCAAATAAACTAAAAAGCCGTCGTCAGCTAAACAACGCCGTTTTGGGAAAAGTCCTCGTCTTCTCCTTTCTCTGCTCTTTCTCAGAAATCTCTCTTTCCCACTTCTGCAAATGGTTCTCTTCTTCTTCTTCCTCTAAGCTCAAATCTCGCCACTTGTTTCCTAAACGGGAAAGATCTCCACCTTCTTTGGAAGAATAAAAGCTTCACTAATCTATACGAACTAGATCGGATCCGTAATCGGAACATTTGAGAAAAAAGGATCAAATCAATGGAAGAAGAGAAAGCTGCTGTTGCGCAGAGCTTAATCGATGTAGTCAACGAGATTGCGGCGATTTCAGATTACAGGATTACGGTGAAGAAGCTTTGTTATAATCTAGCGAGGAGATTGAAGCTGCTTGTTCCTATGTTTGAAGAAATTAGAGAGAGCAACGAGGTGATCAGCGAAGATACTTTGGGGAATTTGGTTAATTTGAAGGAAGCGATGTGTTCTGCTAAGGATTATCTCAAATTTTGCAGCGAAGGGAGCAAGATTTATCTGGTGCGTCTTTGATTGCATCTGTGTGGTTTCGATTTTATTTGGTATTTAGTTGATTAGATCTGTGTTTGATTTAATGGGAAGCTTGTCGAATTGGTGTTGTCATTGAATGAGCCATCACCACGTGCTTTGTTTTGCTTATGGTAGTTTTGAGTGATATCAATGCTTCTTGAGTTTGGTTAGATGTTAGATTTTGGTGTTTCAGTGGTTGATGTGATTTGATTGATTGGAGTTGTTGAGAATTTGTGTTCTGATACTGGAGATTGACTCGGGAGATGTTTAATTTGTAGGTCATGGAGAGGGAACAAGTGACGAGTAAATTGCTGGAGGTGTCTGTTAAGTTAGAACAGTCTTTGAGCCAGATTCCGTATGAGGATCTCGACATTTCAGATGAAGTTAGAGAGCAGGTAAATTTTAGAAACCAAGGCGGGGAGGCTAGTGTAGAGGATCACTAAAGATGATCATGAGTTCTTGAAATCACCTTGTACAAAAATGAGTTCAGATACCAGGATTAATTGGATCAAGATATGTGTCGCTTATCTAGCATAAATGGCTACATATTTCAAATCAGTTAAAAACTGTTACCAATTAACATATGGGAATCTTACGATCTGTTTGGATGTGTATTGAAATCAACTCTAGTGAGTATTGGATTGGAACTATAGCGGGTTAAGACGTTCGGATGTGTGGATATTTTATAGCGTTTTTGTTGTTGCAGGTTGAGCTGGTTCTTAGCCAGTTTCGGCGCGCCAAAGGAAGAGTAGATGCATCAGACGATGAACTATATGAAGATCTTCAGTCGCTGTGCAACAAAAGTAGCGATGTAGATGCTTATCAGCCTGCCCTAGAGAGGGTTGCAAAGAAGTTACAGCTGATGGAGATTCCAGACCTAGCTCAAGAATCAGTGGCTCTGCATGAAATGGTTGCTTCGAGTGGTGGTGATGCCGGTGCAAACATTGAGGAGATGGCGATGATTCTGAAGCTGATTAAGGATTTTGTGCAGACTGAGGATGACAACGGCGAGGAGCAGAAAGTAGGGGTTAACTCCAGAAATAATGGACAAACTTCTACGGCAGCAAGTCAGAAAATACCTGTGATACCTGATGATTTCCGCTGTCCGATATCGCTGGAAATGATGAGAGATCCAGTTATTGTTTCATCGGGGCAGGTATAGTTCACTTCAACTTCAGCTTCTTCAAATTTCTCTCTACGATCTTCTAAGATTTAACTATAGAAGCATGTTCTCCTCTATGTGTAGACCTACGAACGCACCTGCATTGAGAAATGGATAGAAGGTGGACACTCAACATGTCCAAAAACTCAGCAGGCGCTAACAAGCACAACCGTCACACCAAACTATGTTCTCCGTAGTCTCATAGCTCAGTGGTGTGAGGCCAACGATATTGAGCCTCCAAAGCCACCAAGCAGTTACAGACCCAGAAAAGTATCGTCCTTCTCGTCTCCAGCAGAAGCAAACAAGATCGAAGATCTTATGTGGAGACTCGCTTACGGAAACCCCGAGGACCAACGATCTGCAGCTGGGGAAATCCGCCTTCTTGCAAAACGTAATGCAGACAACCGTGTGGCCATAGCCGAAGCTGGAGCCATACCTCTTCTCGTAGGGCTCCTCTCAACCCCTGATTCTCGTATCCAAGAACATTCAGTAACAGCCCTTTTAAACCTCTCCATATGTGAGAACAACAAAGGAGCCATTGTTTCTGCTGGAGCTATACCTGGTATAGTTCAAGTACTCAAGAAAGGAAGCATGGAAGCCAGAGAGAATGCGGCGGCTACACTTTTCAGTCTATCAGTGATTGATGAAAACAAAGTGACTATCGGTGCCTTGGGAGCGATTCCCCCACTCGTTGTACTGCTTAATGAAGGTACACAAAGAGGCAAGAAAGATGCCGCTACTGCACTCTTTAACCTCTGCATATACCAAGGAAACAAAGGAAAAGCCATACGTGCAGGAGTGATTCCTACGTTGACTAGACTCTTAACAGAGCCCGGAAGCGGAATGGTCGACGAGGCACTCGCAATTCTGGCGATTCTCTCTAGCCATCCTGAAGGGAAATCAATCATAGGATCCTCCGATGCAGTCCCCAGTCTAGTTGAGTTTATCAGAACCGGCTCGCCTAGAAACAGAGAGAACGCAGCTGCGGTTCTAGTCCACCTCTGTTCTGGAGACCCACAACATCTTGTCGAAGCGCAGAAGCTTGGCCTTATGGGTCCATTGATAGATTTAGCTGGAAACGGGACAGATAGAGGGAAACGAAAAGCAGCCCAATTACTTGAACGCATTAGCCGTCTCGCTGAACAGCAGAAGGAGACAGCTCAGTCACAAACCGAAGAAGCTGCTGAACCAGCATCCACTACAGAAGCAACTGATACGTAAAGATTGGTTTTTGTTTTGGTCATCTGGTCATCTCTTTCACGTACGTATGTTTATTATTCTCACTTTTCTTTGTCCGCTACTCGATCCTCCCTCAAGGTAGGCTTCACGCGGTAGATGCAGAAGAGGAAGATGACCTCCTTCTCCGATCTATATTTTTTTACTTCTTATAACTTTATGGTGATATCTTTATGTGGACGGAGCAATCCAGTCCACAGGAGAGAAAAGCAAATATGCATACATACACGTCAACTTGTATCATTGTAACATTCTATGTTTGTAATCATTTCCACGAGATTTTTTGTTTTTCAATACAAGATCTCTGTTTATTTTCTAAATACCCATAGCATTAAGGAGATACTGATTAAATATAATGCAGATTCCGATTTTTCATGAACAGATGCGTAAAGTGCTTGTAGAGTTGATCTATAGATCACATGCGTAATGTTTCAATACAAACACTATAACAAATCAAAATTTTAAGCCGGTTTTTAAAATATAGAAATTCTCTCTTTCAAATCTCGTAATAGGTGATTTTATTAATCCAATAGGTGCCATTAAGTAGGTTTAAAGCTTGATGAGCAATGCCAAATACAAGACTTTTTAAAAGCATTTTGATAGTAAGAGGGCTTGAACCCTACTAAAATACCAAAGACTTCTACTAGGTCTGTTTCCTATAGATGCTCAAATCCACTGGTGATTCCTTGTAACGTTGCGTGATGTACGTTGAACATTTGATAGCTGGATATTTAAACATACATCATTAAAGCCGTACATTAAGACATTGTTACATTGTCCATGGTCTCAATGTAACAAGGTAAAGAAGTTATAGCCTTACTTGGGAGGGATGTTTTCGGACTGGCATGTAGGAAGACATTCTACTAGACAGTCATGACTCGGTTCCACGAAGAATGGAATCTGCGGTGATCATATACATTTTCAGTCTTATAATATTTTTCCGACTCATTTGAAAACATATTAAACAAAACCCTAAGATTGTGTATATGAACTATTTCATCGACTCATTGAGCATATGGCTACATAATCTCTTCGACAATATCCCCACCGAAAAAATGGTCATGTCGCAATTTTTGTAAAGATAGACGCAGATGGGTTCTACCAGGAGACTTACAGAATATCAGTCCTGACATTTCCAATTAATTTATCTGTACGCGATGCAATGTGGATCCGTGTGTTACCACATTTACTAAATAATAGTGAATAATTTCAACAAAGATACATACCTCTACTATAGCTTACTAGGCTTCAATCAAACCTTTCAAAACAACTTGGAGAGTTCAAGTCAAAATTGTTCATACCTGGAAACAATACACCAAGTACAGGAGAAACTCTCGAAATGATTCTGGCTGATTCATCTGTAAGTTTTTCCTACGTATTTGGTGCATTGTTTCTAGGTATGAAACATTTTGACCTAAACTCTCTAACTGTTTTGAATGGTTTAATTGAAACCTAGTTTGTGAATGCAGAATTGGAAGCCATTGTAAAGAAAATTAGCATGAAAAGTCGGTGAAGAAATTAGTAGAGGTATGTTTCTTTGTTGAAATTATTCGCTATTATATAGTTGTGGTAAGTGTCTAGTGTTTAGGTTAGAAATTATGTGAATTTGCGAGATTTTTGCGAATGATTGTGATACTAACACGCAAAAAATATATTGGAGAATCTTTAATATTAGAACTTTAATCCTAAATAAGGTATGTGGGGAATATTTGAGTATACTGTAAGAATATCGTATTTTTAGTGTAGAGAGAATAGAGAATAATTTAGTTGAGTGACTTGCCTTAACTCGAGGCTTTGCAAACAATTAACGTCGATTTCGGGATACTATAGTTAAAGCACTCAAAATGGTCCCAATCTATAGGATGCTTGTTAGTAAATTGAAATAATTAAATGATAATTCTACTTTCACATATGAATCTCTTGGTGTGAAAACCAAATAACAACACTTTTAACAACGAGCTCAACAAGAAAAACAAAGCATTTATGGTGGGGAAGAACTTGAACCCTACTAGAAACCCAAAAGACTTTCACTTACGTCTGCTTTTTGGTCAAATCCACTTGTGAATCCTTGTAACGTTGGGTTAGGAACGTTGAACATTTGACAGCTGGATATCTAAAAAAACACAGATCAGTAAACGTTGTTAAGACATTAGTTGTTACATGTCTCAATTGTAACAAGATAAATAAAGTTTAAGCCTTACTTGGGAGGGTTGTTTTCAGAATGGCAGGTAGGAAGACATTCTACTAGACAGTCGTGACTCGGTTGCAAGAACAATGCAATCTGCGGTGAGAACACATAAAAAAAATACACTTCCTGTGATATATAAATGTCGAAGAACTCATTTAAAGACACATTGACCGACCATATGGTTAAAAGCACTTCTACAATAGCCACACTGAAATCAAAGTGGCTGTGTCGAAATGTTTTAAAAGATAGCTGCGGAAAGGTTTTGCCAAGATGTACTTACCGAATATCGGTCCTGACCGTTCCCAAGTACGCGATGCAATGTCGATCTGTGTGAGCAAAATGTCAGCTAGAAAACTTTACTTTAGAAAATCACAATGCAGATGATAATTAATAGAGAGAAATTTATAGGATAAACAAGTACATACTTAAAAATGCCGTTGCTCCAACGCTCCAGCAAGTCACCAATATTCACTATGTATGCACTGCAGATGAAAACGAACCATATATAAACAAAAGAAAATTGTTATGGGAGTTAGTATATGTAACAAAAACAGATCATGAACCGAGAAAAAAGACAAACAATCTCTCATTTGTACTCTTTAATCGATGGTACATATTCCCACTTTCTAGGCTCCATGTCTTTATCCTTGCATATCTGCCATTAGGCTTTAGCGATTTAACATAACCAAACCTGGTCACGTCAAAAGTTATATGACTAGTGAAACTTGTTGCTCTACCTGAAGATCCATTACATTATCGGTTGCTAAGAGAGTCATCATTCCAAAATCGGAATGTGGCCCGCATCCATATATTCCTTTGGAGGGATCAGATATCCCTAAAAGGCCATAGAAGAAAATAGACATTATTTGAGATGAGTATATCATTGACATATATAGCATAAGGTGATAAACAAAAAATAGATCACCTTCATAGTGAATCAAGCGCATAAATACGAGCGGATTTCCCAACATTTCCGGTTTATCAAAGTAATCTTCATCAACGTTGAGTGCCAATGCCAATACTCTAGCAATAGCCTTACAAACCCTCCTAACAATGCATAAGTCATCATAACAATACAAGTTATGATCACAATTTGTTAACGAAAGAGATTCCTATGTTATTCTATCAGCCAAAACATCCACTTTATTGCACTCAAACTTAATGTAGCCTAAAATTTATTTGTTATTTACCCAAGGAAGCACACATTGAAACAACTACTTTAAAAGACGAAAGCAAAGACTTACAATGCTTCTTGATGATATTTCTCCATGGTCTCCCGCCATCCCGGCAAAACATCTGCCAGAAATATCAAAGTTTATTCAATAATTACAAACTTTAAAATTTACAAAAAAAAAAGTCTTCACTAACCATGGCTAGGCCAAATGTTGGGGCGACAGAATGGTGTATCCGAATGCGGACCATCTATGGAGCCTTCGATTCCGATGAAATAACTCTCTTTGTAATCACCTAAAATCCACGAGGTTATACAACAGGACTTAGAACCACTAACAACATTTTTTTTTGATCAAGCAAGTGAAAGCTAGAAATACGAACCGTGGATTTGGTTATCGGAGATATGACTAAGGACGGATGAATAGCCTTGATGCTTTTCGTTTCTCAAGGCTTTCATTTTTTCTTCCAAAGGAAGAGCAAAGAACTTCTTGCTTTGCTCGAAAGCCTCGTCCCTCAAATCCTCACTTATACCATGATTTGTGACATAGAAAAATCCACAGTCTAGACATGCCTGGAACAAGAATAACCCACAACGAGTCACATAAGTAATAAAAGGTCACACCATAATCATCATTGACGTTGAGAAAGAAAATAAAAAAAGAAAGAAAGAAGAAGAGACAAGCCTGTTTAAGCGAAGCAGCTGATTGATGAAGATTGGAGTTAGCAAGATCTATACAAGTAAGTGATGAAACGTTGATGATTGAAACTTCTTCTTGATTAGTTTTGTTCTCCATCTCTCTCATTCTCATGTGTTGACTCTTTCAGGATAAGAAGGAGAAATCGCATTTTCCAAGATCCTACTGACATAAATTCATATAGTATATGTACGCTTCACATGTTAAAATTTCAATAGGACAATTATCAAAACTCTTATACTATGGAATGCTCATCAATAATAATTATCATTATTATAATTGTGTAAAATAATTGCTTTTGGTGTGAACAAGTGTACGTTGAGTCTTTTTCTTTTACTTTGGTTGAAGATCTTCCATCTAACTTTTTAATATGCCTTATTGGTAATTTTTTTTTTTTTTTTTTAATATGCCTTATTGGTAATTATAAGTACAATAGTTTAAATTTTTGTTTTGGCCATTCGCATATTGATTTGGTTGGCTTTGATTTACATAAATTAAGCTTTATTTCTCTTAATAGACCACCATAATTATTTGTATATTATCAATTTGCCATATATATACTCGTATGTGTATTGACAAGTTAGTAGGTTTAAGTAGTAAATCACACATTGTATTGTCACAGCCTCTACAAATAAAAGAGTAGAGAGTCAAACATATACATGAATCAGAAGTACTCTAAATAAGGATGCAAAGTAGTTTATATCACAAAGTCAGGATGGCCGAGTGGTCTAAGGCGCCAGACTTAAGTTCTGGTCCTCTTACGAGGGCGTGGGTTCAAACCCCACTTCTGACATTTATTCTTTTTTTTTTTCTTTTAATTCTGGCTTTTATTCGTTTACCAAAAAAACAAAGTGATTTATAAATGGGAAATTGCAAAGCATGTACATAGATAAAATTTTAATTAAGAATCTAGCAACTATAATTCAATATTTAGCTCCATTTTTTTAAAGACTGTTCTAGCCCTATCTCTTCTCTCTCTCTTCCCTATCCTTCACATTAAAAGCCTATTTTGCTCCAGTTTTGTCGCGCACACTACTTGCTTGCCTTCACTCTATCCATCAATCTACTTTTTTTTTCTATGTTCTTCTTCTTTTTACCAAATCTCATAACCCAACTCAAAAAAATATGTAACGAGGGAACGATCTTAATTTCTCATATTAGCTTATTTACTTCTCTTCCTATCCACCACCGTCGATGCCATCAGTGTCACCGCCGTTCTTTCTTCTTTCCCTAACCTCTCTTCTTTCTCCAACCTCCTCGTTTTTTTCGGTGGCGCCGCCGCTACCCGTTCTTTCCGCGTCTCCTTCTTACCCATTCCCTCCACCGCAGTCTTCGCATGTCGCCTCAGATTCTCCGCCGTCGTTGACTCACGTTTCTCTGTCCACGCCACCTCCAAGGTCCAATCAGTGTGCGGAAAGGGCACCAAATGAGTGATTACGATGGCGAAGAAGAGGATCTGACTTCAACTAATTATAAAGTTACTGCTATACATTATAAGTTATTTGATAAATTCATAGTTTTTTTTTTCGTCAAAATAGTAATTATATTAATGAATGAATGTAATCAGAATACAATTGATTTGTTAGCCAATTTGGCGGATAAAAAGAATTAGAATAAAAATTAACAGAAGAACAACCAAATTATTATAGTTAATCATACGTTACCGCTATAAATTATAAGTTATTTGATAATCTCATCATTATCTAGTTAAAACTTATATTATATATTTACATACATCTATGTTTATTGCTTTTCGTGTTTCGAAACAGTGTAGTCGTAGACGAAGGGAACAGTTTTTTTGATAAAGAATGTCAGAAAATATTAATTTCCAAGTTTCCAGCAATAAATATTAATTTACTGGATAATATGTAAATTACCGCGATAACAGATTATTTAACGTGTTTAAAATAAAGTTATTGAATGCTATTAATCACTGATGAACAATGTTATCGTACTCGTGAAATATATACCGGTTTGGGTTTATAAAAGAGTGGTTAAGGTTTAGATTTATACAAAATATTGTATTTTGGTTTGGGTTTATAAAATAGTGGTTAGGGTTTAGATTTTGTAATTAAACAAAATTATATTTTGGTTTGGGTTGACAAAATAGTGGTTAGGGTTTATATTTTGTAATTAAAGGAAACTATATTTTTGGTTTGGGTTGACTAAATAGTAATTAAAATAATTTTTAGTTAAAATACAGTTATTTAATTAATAAATATATTGTTAAAATAAAAAAATAGTGATTAAAATACAGTTATTTGATAACAATATATTGTTAAAATGATCTTTAGTTACCTATTAACAATGTATATTATTGTAATTGTAAGTGTAATTTGATCATATCATATAAAATAATTGTTAACTGGTTATTACTGTTACTTGATAAAAAGATATCGTCTAAACATTATTTTGTTACCTGATAACAATATTTTTTTTATCCAATGTGATATATAAAACCACTCATTACTTCCTCTGCACAAGAACAAGAAATAGGGATAGTAAAGTCAAATCACATGACTTAATACTGCAAATCTAATTTTCAAATTATTGATGCTATACTTTTAATTTTCAGGTCAACTGGTGTCACAAACTTAACAAACCCTTTATAAATTCAGTATATAGTGACAAAAGTCTATATATTGACAACATAACGAAGCCAACTAGAAAAACCACACCATTTCACACAAAAGTAAAATAAACAAATCCAACTCGTAAACCAAATCATATAGTGGGACTTTCAGGGGTGGTTCCACATGGACCATGCATAAACTTCAGCTAGGTTTGTTTTAGGTGCGCATATACTGTTTCTGCGGTCATCTTGCGGTGCTTACGCGGAAAGTTTATAGAAGAACGTTTTTCTTTATTTACAACTTCTTTTCTACTCCCTCTAACTGCTTCACAAACGCTCTTTAGCGATTGTTGTGGACAGTTCTCTAGAACGTAACCTTTCGGGTTTCCACGAACGCTCTTGTGTGAGTGAGTTTGTGAAACGTAAGGTTCTGCAAACGCTTTCTGAGCGAGCTTGCAAAACTAATTCAGGGTAATTTAGTTACTTGAATTATTTTGATTAATATACTAATCAAATCTGTTTATTGTTAACAGAATGTCTGGATCCGATACCAACGTTGATGTTACCAAGGCTCCTGATACTCCTGCTGATATGGCTTTACGTCTTGCAAAAGAACTAGAAAGCACGACGCTGAGTGATTCCGATCGGGAAACCGTGCGCCGAAATCTGTTCGGTAAGGAGCCAA